AAGAAAATAAAAACAGTTAAAAGGTTTAAAATTTCTTCCTCTTACGGCTCATTGAATAACATTTTCCAAATCTACGAAGATAAAAACTGAACACAATACAATGTAATTCTGTTGAAATAAAATAATTGAACATTCCACTTAAAAAAAAATATTGCTTTGTGTTAATCTTTTATATAGTGTTAGAAAATAGTATTTAATGAGTTAGAGTCACTACAGGAGAAACTTTTAAACTTATTTACAATTTTGAGATTTTTAAATATTTTTTTTGTCACTTTTTTCTAAACTTTTTTGCGAATTTTAAGTACTATAATTTCCGAGCACTGATTATCGTGTAATGACAAACAGCTTATTTAAAGCTTAATTAATAAAAGTAGTTCCTAATTTAAAGACGACACTTTAAATTTTCTTAGAAGGGCCAAATTAGTATATTAGTTTTTTTTTTCAAACATTAACTCAAAAGTGTTTTTGAAAATACATAAATAAAAAAAATCTACTTATCATGATTAGAATACATATGATCAGTTTTAATTTTTAATTTTGTAATACTCGTACGTCTATACGGTATCTACGTAATTAAGTGTCGTCCACGCTCCCCGGCGTGCCGGCGGCAGCTATTTATCTAAATTAACCCAAGTCGCGATGACGACAATATGCACAATGAACCGCAATAATAATATAAATACTACTGATTCGAAAAATAAAATCTCAAATAAAAATAAAAATAAAAATAAAACAAATTGCACGTCGTCCAGTCGTATACAGAGTGCATCAAGTGATGTGTTCGAAAATTCTGACATGGACATAAACGTTACCGTAAATAAGTCTAGTAAATCCGGCAGGAATTTTTCATCCTCTGGCGAATTTTCCACAAGTAAAATAGCTAAGATGACCCAAAAAAGTATATTTTCAACAACAAATAGATACTCCTGCCTTGTTATTGAAGACAACCCAGAGATAGCGTTCCCATCTCAGAATCCATCAATCAGACGATATTAGCGAACCCGCCAAACCTCCACCACCAATTATGATTCAAGGGATGCTTGATTTTGTGGCGCTTCGGAATGATTTTTTCAAACTGCTTGGTGCAGAAAATTTCTTATTCAAATCATCCACTAATGATTTAAAAATCCTCACTAAGAATTCCGACTCTTATAGAGCTGTGATAAAGTATTTAAATGAAAATAAAGCCGAATATCACACCTATCAACAACGTGAGAACAAAGCTTTTCGTGTTGATATCCTTCCACCCCATTAAATGAGATTGGAATTGCCAATAAAGAAATTGGCTTCACAGTGCGTCAAGTTGCTAATGTCCGTCACAAAACAACAAAAAAAAAATTGACTCTCTTTTTTGTTGATCTTGAGATCAACAAAGAAATATTCTACGTAACATCCATTTTTTACACCAAAGTTCGAATCGAAGAACCACATAAACGTCGGGAAGTAATTCAATGCCAAAACTGTCAGAAATACGGCCACTCCAAAAGCTATTGCGCACACCCACCTCGCTGCGTCCGCTGGGCTGAATTTCACACATCTTCGTCTTGCACCAAATCCACAGATCAACCTCCAACGTGCGCTCTCTGTGGGGGAAGTCATCCAGCAAATTACCGCGGATGTACTGTTCACAAAGACCTACAGAAATTTCACAATAATTCCAAAGCTACAACTAAACAAAATGTTAATTTAAATTATAATGTAAATGGAGGTAAAGCCACTAGCGATGGAACACTCTCTGGTCAACCCAATCTCAATTTAAATAATTCCAAGGAATTCCCAAACCTTTCAACAAACGTGTCTCACCCACAAGATAGCAAAGACAAACCAAATTACTACAAAAAAAATCATTAAAATTCAAATATGTTTAATACTCAGCCCGATAACTAACTTTAAAATTGTTACATTTTATATTTTAAGTACTTTTATAATTGTTTTATTCCAAAAACTCCCATTTGAGTATCTCTTATTTAATAGTAGTCAAATCTTAGTATGTAGATACTCGTATTTTAATTTAATATGAGTGTTCAAAAATATATGTGTTTTTAATTGTACAATTATTCGGATCCAAAAATTAGAATTATTACTGATAACAGTCTGATAAGGAGTGACGAAAGAACTAACTGTACATAATGTGATTCACGTTTCTCTTAATACTTACAAGAATAAAAAATAGATTCAAAAATTTTGGACAAATATGATAAATTCAAGATTATTCTGTAGTAAGAATGTTGGTGGGATCACTCGATTTATAAATTAGAATAAACAAACAAATTTTATAAGAACCCTGAAAAATTCCCTCAACAAAAAAAAGGAAAATTGGGAATGCTAGGGAAATGCAACATTCGTATAGTAGTATAGCTGAAATTCCATCAGGACTACAGGATGTACTAATTTGAAATGTGCTTCTAAAATGTTCTCTGGAAAGAAATGGATATTAGATGGAAGATCATAAGTGATATAGTTATTTGTAGAGGCTATGTAGGAGGGTTATAAATGGAAGAATATTTTAAAAATATATGAACTAATATTACTGGTAATATAAAATAATATAGGTATATCTCCTTGTCAACTAGATCAATAACTGTAACTATACAGACAGATGGATACAAAGATAAATTGTATTTTAAACTTATGTTTAGAAACCTTAAACTATTTACTAAATATACACGTTATAAAAAAAAAAAAAACTTAAACATGATATTTAATTAAGTATATAGGTTAGTTAATTTATTATGTTTCTAATATATTTGTAGTAATTGAAAATGTACTCATTGTTTTAATAATGGATATATTATTATAACATTTAATATATAGGAACCTATTTATTATAGCAGCATTAGATAGTATAGGTATTAGAGAACCACTATTCTCTTGGCTTCATTCATATTTAGTAAATAGAGTCCGATGAGTAAATGTTCACACCGCCTTTTCAAACCACTTCACCCCCTCCTCAAATGTACTATAAGGTGCAATACTTTCTTCCTAACTATTCACCTTATTTATAAACTCTGCAGTTTCAGTGCTCCATTATACAAAAATTCTTATCTTTGCTGACGATATGAAACACTTCTTCCACGTCAAATCAATCTTTATCATCTTCTCCAAAATTACCTTCAATATTTAGTATAACTGATCATATGAGAGCTAGTTAAAACTACTTAGATTTTACCCTTACACAGATTTAATGCCCTAATATACATATCCAAATAATCTACTATACGGCTTTCAAGTTATTAGGTTTCATTAAACACGTGTCTATGAAATTTTATCTGATTGTTCCATTTAAGGAACTTTTTTGTTCACTAGTACATCATATCCTCGAATATAGCTTTGAGCTTGGTTATCCTTCTACTACTTCTGCCTGTAACACGAAAGAAAGAGTCCAAAAGAGATTTCTCCATCATGCTGCATATTTATTTATTTTATTTTATTTTTTTCACCGAGTTGAACTTGAACTTTAACTAGGCGTCCACTAAAAGAACTCGTATGGTGACCCAGGAGTTTTAAATAACACTATAAGTACATAAGTATACAATAATTAATAGTGAAATTACAAAATTAAAAAGTATTATGTATATAGAAAATAATTTTAAATTTTAAATTAAATTAAACAATTAATATTTAACATATATATTATAAAAATCTATTATCAATTAGTCGGGAGATTCATAGAGTAAGGTGGTATAGTGTTGTATAATTTAGCACAGAGTATATCAAAATGTCTACTAGCAGTTATTTTTTTAAATTGTTTTATTGAAAATTGTTTTTAGGGTATTCAGTGTTAATATATCATGTGATATGGGCCGTAGTAAACTATGAGTTTTATATAAATGGTAGTTATTTTCAAATATATTTTTTTTACAGCTAGTACTTTGAGTTAAATAAATAGATCGTTAGTTGAATATCTTTGGACTTAAATATTTTATTTTGACTAGTTTGTAGTTGGGATATTGTATTGTTAAATGCACCCCCCACCCATCTAATAATGCCGTAAGATATTAGCGATTCTACTAAGGCAAATTATACTTGAGGCATTGGTCATAGTTAAAGGATTTTATTTAAATTCCTAAAAACATAAATCATTTTTTATCTCTAGCAAGCCTTTCTGATCATTAAAATTCTGTAAATATGTCTTTTTTATCTAACATTCTATCTTCAAAAATTGATTGCCCCAAACTATTGCATTTTGCATAAGTAGATAGCAAATCTATAACATATAATAATCTGTATAATTATAATTATAGTGTTAGCTAAAAGTTATAACATTTGGAAGTAGTGCAAATATTGAAGATTATAATATTTAGTGCACTAAATATCATCTTCATTTTATATATTATATATATATGTATACTCATCTATTTATAACATACATAAATGCTTGATGAAAATATGGTGTGTACAAATTGCCACCATATAATTTAGTCAGTAGGTCAGATCATAATATATGGGGCGGGCTTTACTCATTTTAATTACTATAATTTTAAATATATATATCAATATATAGGGAAGCGTACTTATTTAAAAATGGGTGAATGTACTCTCAATAATCTAAAAGATATTACATATATATTATAATCATAAATTATTACATACTTGGTATTTCGGGTGGCTTGTCTTTTTTAACATATTTTCCAACCACTCCTTCTTTTATCGTTCGTGTATCTTTATTTTTTCTTGACAACATATTCAATTACTATAATATTATATGTGTTTAACTTCTTTTAAATAAATAAATTATTCTATTAAAAAACATTAAAACAGAAATGTAAAAATATATAATTTAGAGTATACATTTTAAATTAGTTATAAAAACATTACCAATAGTTGTCATGGTTTTTAAGAAAGTACAGTATGTATGAATGGTATAATGTTATTGATTCATACAATTTCAGTACCTACTTAAATACCTGATAGAAATTACAAAATAAATATTTCATAAATTACATGGTAATATAAGATTTATTATATAAGTATCTATAAGGCTATAACTTATTATAAATATATTATTAAACACATTCCTCAATTCACTCAGAATTTAAAAAAACTACAATAAATAGGTTTCCAACTGAGCTAATTACTGTTACCTAAATAAGTAAATATTATCGAATTAAGTGCCTGATACAATAAAAATTCTTATCATCTAAATAACCTTAAATCTTAGATAATATACAATACTATGTATTCTTATATGGTCCACGGTTTTATTTACTACCTTGAAATGATTTAAGCATAGATTTCTCTATGGATCTAAACCACTAATTAAGATATACATATATCTTAATTCATGATCTAAACTAAAATTTCTCTTCTACAATAGTTGAATCAGAGAAGATCTTCTTTGTATCATACCATTAGCTATAGAATTTATGTTCTTTTTATCATTGTGACGGAAATAATTGTTCATTGAACTAAGAAATGTTTTTTTCAATAATATCACAATATTATCATTTTCTAAATATTATGAATATACGTATATCCATGAAATAACCCAACAAAAACATTCAAAAATTCAAAACAGAAGAATGACAAAAATAATATTATGTGACCACGAATAAAGATCTACTGGTTGCCAACGGGCTATAAGCGTTATCACATGGCAATTAAAATTACTCTTAAGAACAGCTGCTTAACCTATAATTTATATCATCGTAAATAATGAATATTGATTATTGGATAAATTGAAATAGATAGAAGGTAGGTTGAATTGTATTTTAATTTTTACTATTAGAATTATTTATAATTCATTTCTCTAATGTGTGTAGTTAGTTTAGCATAATTTTCTAAATTTTGCTTGTAACTTTAACAAGAATTTAAAAAATTACTATTCAAAACTTTACGTTATTATTAAAATACATAAATTAATTTTTGACAAAAATATTTATAAAAAATAAACTACTCAAATCAATTGCTTGTAATTGATAAATGTTTATATGGCATTTAGTAATATTTCATATTTTATGCAACATTGAATATTAGGTATAAACTTAGAAATACAAAAATATTACAATCATATATAGATCTTTATCCTTAGTAAAAAACATTAAATAAAATATTTATAATCAAACATAATTAATCTATTGTGAGATACTGGATAATACTTGTATATATTATATCATTTTTAGAGCAAATTAAATTTGGTCCAGTATTTTTTAAAATATTAAAATGAATTTTGTAAGGTGTTATAAAAATTGATTTAAAATAGAAAATAAATTTAGATAACTCACATACCTACTAATTAAGTTCTTAAAATAATTTTTTTATGAAAAATGAATACTTAAAAATCTATCTCATTATATATGTATGGTTTTGAAATAATTATTTTTTAACAATACAACCGTCCTGTATATAAATCAAGTTTACTTAAATTATTAAATAATCTATTTGATTATATTTATAACCTTTTATAATACTGGGCGTGGCATTAATTATCATTTATTTCTGTATAATAGTCTTTAAGTGAATAACTAAACCAAATTATATTAGGTACCTACCTATTTTTATGGTTTCAAAATTATAAGGTTTTTTTTTTTAAGATGGCTCAAACCTACAATACAGTTATCATCATTGGAGCAGGTATATCAGGAATCGCAGCAGCTACTAAACTACTAAAAAACCAATTCAACAATTTTATAATTTTGGAAGCCGAAAATAGAATTGGTGGGCGCATTCAAACTTTACCATTTGGTGGTAATTATTATAATTTGTTTAATCACATTTTAAAATTAAGTAAATCGTGTAAAGCAAGCCATTATTAAATAAAATTTAATATTGTATTTAATATTATTATTATTCACAATTTAATTTTATAAAAACAATTTATTATAAATATTTAGTTAAAATTATTAGAATTCATTAATTTTCATAAAACACTTAAAATTTAAAATTTCAAGTACCAACTCATATTTGTTAAATAGTTAAAGTAATATAAATAACTTTTTGGTTTTCTTAAAATACAAAATATAATTAATATAGTTGGATGTAATACCTTTTTTTTCAATGCATTCAAAGTGTCAACCTATGAACCTACTAAATTGTGTTTTAGGTAGAAATTTGGTAATTACCCTATAATAATATGTATTGTGCATACCTACAAACTTATAGCTTTGCTTATATAGATTTCGATCAATTGTTAAATATATTAAACTTAAAACATTTGTACTTAAATTTATTCAGCAATATAATTAACTATATAGGTATACATTATATTATATACCTAAATCTATGTATTTAGTATAAAAATGTGTTAAAATAATCCATAAAATAATGTTATGTTAATTGTACCTATACAAATATTCCAAACATTTTTAATTAACATGTATATGAATTTTAATAATTGTGAACATCTATTATTACTGTTTACTCATAACTTATTTCAATTTTAATTTTCTGATTAAGTAAATCTACCTAATCAAAAGTTTTGCAATATAATAAAACTTCAAGAATTTTAAATGTATACACTTCATAATACTGACTTGATCACTAATTTATTATATGTTATAATTTTAAAACCCATATGAAAATATGATCAACATATTTATATTTAATGAATACTTATAAATTGTTTTTAAAATATTTGACTATTAAAATAAGCTAATTTTAATGTTTTATAGTATATTTTGTTTTATAAGATTATACAGATCTGGATACATCAACAGTATATAATAAGTACCATAGACGTATACATCTAGACAGAATATTCACTATGAGGGCTGGGAGACATGGTCAGTCCAAACAGTTTGTGTGAGATAGACCAATGTATAGACTAGTGGGAGGTAGTACAACTTTGCACTCTAAGAATAGCCAATTAAAATACTCAAATTATTATCTCATTTGTTTCTGTCCTCAAAATTGTTTTCATGCTAAGTATACTGTGTAGATGTAAAAGTCTGGTTAGTACACTTCTCTGATTTGTATCATATATTTCATTGAGTCCCGTCATAGTTTATGAACTTCTAGTATCAATATTGCATTTTATCTTCTGTTCCTTAACTACCGATGTACAGTCTGACAGACCATATCTAATAATTACAAAAAAAAAAAAACAAATTTTAAAAGAAAATTAATTTTTTTTTTTATAAAATATATTATATTATATATTATTATTAACATATTAATGTTAAAGGATAAACTGAAAAATAAAATTTGAATTTTGTTTAATTGTGACTCAAATATATTTTTATTTACACATACAAGTATGTACGGCTGGTAGACTGCACACTGGTAACTATGTTATAAATGTGCATGTTGGTAGTTAAGAGTTAATTAGATTTACAAAATAATTAGTTTAATACAAGTTAGTATTGTTCCAAACAACATTATTACTATTATTAAATCAGTTTTTTATCATAAGGTTTAAACTTAAATTCAATGCTATCAATGAATTTTTGTTTCTTGTACAATTTTAGATGGTCACATAGATCTGGGAGCCCAATGGATTCATGGGGAACAAGGGAATATAGTTTTCCAAATGGCTTCTGCTCATAATTTAATTTCTCATAAAAGAGAAACTATAGAGCAATTTATGAAATCAACATTTATAACCTCATCTGGTAATGAAATTGAATCAAGCAATCTCCATGAGAAATTGAATGTATTTAATTCTGTGTTGGAAGATAGCCCAAAAGATGATTTAGAAAGATTTATGTCTTTAGCAGAGCTTTTTCAAAAAAGGTATTGTTATATTTTTATAAATATTATTTAGGTACTTATTATATTGCTTTAAAATAGACATGAAGTTATAATTATATAATTTATAGAGTTGAAAATGTAACAATTGATGCACAAGAATTACCACTTCAGCAGTTATTTAATTGGATCCATCATTTTCAAAGTTCATATACTGGAAGTGATAATCTGTCTGAGGCATCAGCGATTAATATAGACACATATAAGTCTTGTTCAGGATATACATCAATTAGTTGGAAATCGAAAGGATATTCAACCATTATAGATTTGTTACAAGTATGGACATTTTAGATTTTGAGCGGAGCGAAGAATATATTAGTTTTACTATGTGTGTTAATTTTTCTCTTTTCTATCTGTATCAAATTTTTTGATCAGAAATCTTGCCTCGATCATAAATTGATACTGCACTTGATTTTGTCTAGTGGTGCATTGGAGAGATCATTTTTTATGTTCCTTGTTTTTTTTAAATATATAATTCAGTTAGAAATAGTTGTTAAGACCTAAAATTTACATAAAATATTTCTAGACGTACATTTTTAAAATTTTCTGCTGATTTTTTAGCTATTTATAGTCATTCAAATTGTCAAATTCATTTTAGTTTTTATTTGGTGTTATCATTTTATGTGGATAACATTTTTTTGACTGAGTAAAAAGGCAACATGTTGAGTGTAATATAGAAATAATTTGTTTATAACTGCTTAACCTTAAAAATCATGGTATTTCAAAACACGTTTAATTGAACTTAACCAAGAATCGTTTTTCATTAGTAATGATTAGGATGCAAATTTATATGCTAAAAAAATCTTAGAAATATAAATGTATGCTATTATTTTGTAGAAATATACATTTTAAAATGAAACGCATACAAAAAAAAATAAATTTAAAAAAACATAAATTTTAACTTATTATTTCTATCATTATGTTTAATATTAATTTAACCAAATTATTACATATTATGTATTTTTTTTTCGTATTTAAACCAACAGCAGTGAGGGATCTGTTTTCATAATACTTCTTCAGTGCTCCCATCATTTATTAGTTATCGTTTATAAAATATACTTGTAATTAAGTAATATTTTAAAATTCTGTTTTCCCCTTTGTGGGATAGGCTCACATTGAACTTAAAAATACTAATTAATACGAAGATTTGGATTGAGCATAGTACCTCGCATCATTCATATACAAATACTAACCTATACGTACGACCTTAAACCGACAGCGAAATCCCCATCAGAGTGGACTATCATGTTGGAGAACATCAGATTGACTGAACTGTAGTGATGTTATTAATCTTCAGATGGCTGGTAGGCCTTGCTTAAAGCTTCTTGTCCTCTTGCCCTGTTCCTTACGACACAGTATGCCCTCTACTATGTCGTAGAAAAACTGTGTGCTGCGGATTGAAGCGGAAAAGAATTGGTGATGTCTGCCACGATAATAAAAGAGGTCAGATGGATCGTGAAGAAGGTCCTGAACGTTGCTGGGAATAATGCTCCTGTTGACAAAGAACGCTTTGACTGCCTGTCGATTAGGTTCCCAGTTAGGGGCAGTCAATGAACGTGTGCTCTGCAGTGTCCTCAGGGTGCTGACAGTACAGACGCTCTGTATTTGGAGTACGCCCCATGCAAAATTGGTAGTGCCTGAAGCACCCATAACCTGATAGAGCCTGGGTGACATGGAAGATAATGTCTTGAAGTCATCTCATTACCCAATTCTTCAGGTCCGGCAGTATTCTGTGTGTCCAGACAGGGTTGCTTGCGTAGTCCCACCTGTTAATTAATCCAAGCATTAAGCACAATGTTGTGCTGAACTCTCCAGATGTCTGAAGCTGTTTCAGTTCTACCTGTGTGGCCCATCTTTAACCGATTCTGCTTCATCTCTAGGATGATGAGATCTCCAGGAATTTCAGCAACGAATAGAGCCGGGTCGGCAGATACGGAGTGGTAGGCTCGCACAACCCTGAGTGCCACTGTTCTCTGGGCCTTAATCATAAACTTACGGCAGGTGGTATACTTGGTGCACTAATGAACCATGTTGGCACAGCATAAAACAACCTGCTGTTGACCACAAACATGAGAAGACCCTCCCAATTTTATCATAAAGTGTCCAATGGCGAGAGTGGCGTGTGACGCCTTGCTCGAGATTGTGCAGAGGTGGCCACCTAAGGTGTGATGTCAGTCCAGATGGAGTCCAAGGTAATGCGGATTTCTTTTGATAGAATCCATGTGACCTCCAACCGTGAGCAATGGGTTATGAAAGACCCATTTTTTGGTCAGTATATTGGCCTTGGTCTTATAATGGGCCAATTGAAGTACATGTTTCTCAATCCAGGTGTCGATAAACCTTTAGCATGGTGATAATGACCTCAAACATGGCATCAGATATTCTGGGCGACGGTCCGGAGCACCATATTGTCTGCAAAACTCAATAAGCTGAACTCCCCCAGAACGTCGAGATTGAAGAGGTTGTCATAGAAGGCGTTCCACAGTGTCGGCCCAAGAACCGAGTTCTGGGGTACGCCACCTTTAACTGATCTGATAGAGTTAGAACTATCAGACAAGAATATAAATCCCGGCCCTAGTAATGATTTATCATTGTGTATATATATAAATTAAATTAATCTATGTATCCTACCTAACCAGCTATACACCTATAACAATAGCACATATATCAGCAGTATCAGCACTTTTTTATACATTATTTTTATAATATAGTAATAAATATATACATTTAGTTGTAATTAATAATAATTATAAAAATATTTTAGGAAAAATTTAGTGATGAATTTGAACATATATGTATTAAAGATAAAGTCATATTTGGAAAGGAAGTTGTTAAAATATATTGGTCAGGTGATCAAGCAAAAGTACTTTGTGCTGACAATAGCAGTTTTAAAGCACAATGTGTTTTATCTACAATGGGCCTTGGAGTTTTAAAAAATGTATGTAATGAATTATTTGAACCTGAACTTCCTGAATATAAATTAAACGCTATAAAAGTAAGGAACATTAATATTTTTATTTATATTAGTCAATCAAGTGTATATAAATATATAATCTTTAGGAAGTAAAACTGTTTAAACAATTTTAACTTCCTAAGTAATAAAAGTGTTAAATAATCTCAAATCTACAATATAATCTTCATTTTCAGAACTTGGGTATTGGAACTGTTGATAAATTATTTTTAAAATTCCCACATTCGTGGTGGCCAGAAAAAACTACAGGATTTAGTTTTTTATGGTCTGATGATGACCGTGAAAAATTTATAAAAGACAATAAAGTATGTAATTATAATTAACACTAGAATATTTTGAGATTTATTTTTGTATTATGAACGATTAGTTTTGAATTTAAAATTTTTACTTGTATTACATAATATATAGAGATTTAGCTATAAGATACCTTAATATTTTTCTTCACATTCCCCTTCAACCCAAATATTTGGGGTCGGCCACCCTCGTTCTAAACTTTCACTTGATTCAATCTCCCACCTCGTATACACTAGCTGTTATGATATCATTATCAAACACATGCACCTATCTCTTACGGTCTTCTTCCTCACTTTCATAATAAGTTTATATTAATTATAATTCTTACTACTTCAGATTTTTCTCTTCCTATGATATACTCAAACCATCTCAGTCTATTTTCTCTCATTTTTCTATTAAGCCCCAGAAAATAACCCTTGGCTAAACTACCTAATTCTGTTTCTTGGAAATCTATAAAAAAAAAATATAAAATAGAAGCCAGTACATTTTTTTCCCTGGGTATTTTTCATATCTCTGATGATTAAAAAATATTGTGGGCCATGTGTCAAACCATACTAATGTACTATTTTGGATAAAGAATAAATTGCTTTAATAAATTTGGTGAAATTGGTTAAAGTTTTTAGTGCCATTTTGAACTGTACTATTTCCAAAAACACTAAACTTTTTATTTTTAATAAAAAATTATTCGAGTCATATTTTCACCACTTGAGAATTTAAATTATTTAAGTCATATATTTTATAATATCAATGTGATGCAATTCTTATTTTATAATATAAATAATGAGTTTGTATTTTCTATTTATATTATATCTTATAATATATACCTATGTACAAATCTTTAATAGAGACGCGGTTGGGATTATCTATGTGATGTATTTGGATTCTATATTTGTGATAATTGTCCAAATACACTCCTTGGTTGGATAGTTGGCCCAGCTGCAAGAAACATGGAACGCAAATCTATTGATGAAATAAAAATTGGTTTGATGTACTTATTGAATAAGTTTTTAGGAGACAAATTTACTATACCATCACCTGATTTAGTAACTAGGTAAAATATGCATATTATAAGTTATATACAGTTTTATTAATTTTAAACCAATTTTATGTATCATTGTTATTTTTAATTATGTACTCAAATAAATATTAATTCATTTCATTATTAATATACAATATATTTAAAATATGTTACATAAAGAGTCCAGAATTGTACATTTTGCAATATGTACAGTTAAAGTACACAAAATTTAAAAATAATATTTTAACCAATATCATACAGTTTTTTACAAAAAAAATCATTATCACTCAATTTTTTTTTTTTCAAAGGATCTAGAAAATTCACATAGTAATATATATAATATTCATATTACCAAACAAAAAAATAAATAAATATAAATTCATCTAGTTTACCTAGTACCTATAATTATAAAATAATAAAAGCATAGTAAAAAAATCACATGCTCACCAATACAAAATCATACAATTTTCATATAAAAAATATTATAAAACTACATATTACTAAAATCAAATATAATACACTAATCTGTATTAAAGCCTGTTCAAGTTACATTTCTGAATGACAGTATCCTAAAGCTGTTTAAATAAACTTAATCATTTTTATTGTATTATATCTTTACCAGTATGTAAGATATAGTTGAAACAAAACTCATAAGAGACAATAATATAAATATAAAAGGTATATAATATTTATTAGGAAAATACTTTTGAGAAATAACTGTTATTATAGTTTCACGTATTTTCTATTTTATGTTGCAATATGTACAGTGATTGTTGTACACATCGCGAATTGTATACTGTAACTTGTACAATGTAGTTACTATGTACAGCAACATTGTACAGTTCGCAATATGTACAAAAATTACTGTACACATTGCAAAATGTACAATTCCGGACTTTGTATGTAACATATCTATATATATATATATAGTTATGTGTTTTAATATTTTAGATCACAATGGGGTACAAATAGTCACTTCTATGGTTCGTATTCTTTTCATTCTATGAACACAGATAAAGAAGGAAGAGCTAATAGTCAATTAGCGAAACCTTTAACAAACTCAAGTGGACAAAATGTGTGTTATCAATAAAAATGTCTACATTGAATTATTGTTAAAGAATAATTTTTCATGTATATTATTTATTTATTTAGTCTTTGCTGTTTGGTGGTGAAGCTACTCATAGTTGTTACTTTTCTACTGTCCACGGAGCCATTGAAACTGGTTGGCGAGAAGCTGATAGAATATTAGAACAATTTAAAGAATAAAAATTAAACATTATTTGTTAAACACAGTAAATCAAATCACTAAAATAATATACATTTTATTTTATTGTCTTGATAATTTATTAGATATAATAATTATTTTAATATATTTGTGTTGATTATAATACATTTTATATTCATTTATACACTTTTGAATTAATTACCTTTGATTATTATTGTTAATTTTTTTATTAATGAATGTATAATTTTCCAAACAAATTAATCTGATAATATTTTATCTGATGGATTTAACTTCTTTAAGTTTTCAATTTGCAAATTTATTTTTGTCAAGATCCATTCGTATATTGGGCTTGCAAAGTCATGTAGCATAATTATTAAATTCTTTATAATTTTATACCCATTTAGAACATTTGCCGTATCGTGAACTCCACCATCACTGTTAATGTTATCATTCTTATTATCAATAAGACCTTTTTCAAAACTATTAGAGGAGTTCTCAGATTCACTGGTACCGTTTTCTGTTAAGTTTTCTTCATCATCAAATTCTTGTGACACCTTAAAATATTTACCACTAGGTACAGATTTATTGACTTGGACTTGGTTAATTTTATTGCTTAGTGTTGTAATCTTTATTGGGGCACTTTGATTATGTTCTTTTTCTTTTTTCTCAGCTTCTTCATTTTCTTCTTCTTCTTCTTCTTCTTCTTCCTCTTCTTCCTCTTCCTCTTCTTCCTCTTCTTTTTCTTGTTTTCCCTTTACTTCTTTTACTTTTTCCTTCTCTACTGCTTCTTTTTCTTTATTTCCTTTTATTTTTTCTTCTTTTTTTACTTCTGTCTCTATTTCTTCATCATTATTTTCTTCTTTTTCTCCCTCCTCCTCCTCCTCCTCCTCCTCCTCCTCCTCCTCCTCCTCTTCTTCTTCTTCTTCTTTCTCTATGGTTTCTTTTTCTTGAACACTAGGAGATAAATTTTGAACTTGTTGATTACTATTTCCCTATATATATATAAATAAAAAAAACAGTATTAATTTATTTAAAATAAATTTATTGTAGGTTCCTAAAACTTACTATTTTATTACTCTGTTGAACTGTAGTAACTGTACGGGGTTTATTTGTGATTATTGCATCATTTTTATTTATAGGTTCCCTTTGATTTGCAATAGGCTGTTGTATTTTACTTAGTAATGTAAGAACTGTTGGATTTACATTTTTTTGTTGAGAATCAGCTGACTGTTGAAATTGGAAAAATTAAATACAGTGTGAAATCAAAATTATGTTTGGGAAACTAGTGAAACATAGCAATCATCAAGGAGAAACTAGAGTTATTTCTGTTTAAAATTGAAGGCATTATTTTATAAAATTATTTAAATAACAGTAAAGATGTGTTTGTTGGTTAATGTTAAGGTACTTGTGTTCTAAAACTCATTTGGAGTAAAATTTTGCTTAAAAAGTTTTGAATCTATAGATGAGACTTCCAACCATTTGTTGACATACCTACAACTTGGTGTTCCAAAGTAAATAATTTGCTAACTAATTATTGGTTAGTGATATTTTCAAATTTAGAATTTAAAAAAAATTATTTTTGACTGTATGTGTTGTTAAATATTTGTTTTTATTATTTAGTATCTAGTTTTAATTTTTAATTTTTTGATACTGATATTAGAAACTGACAGAATGATAAATCAAAATACATTTCCATTATTGAATTTGAAATATACATAATATATTTGAATAGTTATGAAAGTATTGTACATCTTAAATTACAATCAAAGAATAAGTAATTAAAATTTAAAATTTCAATTTCATGTCTCATACTTGATCATAATAATATAATTAATCATTCATTATCAATTGTGAATCATAATTAATTTCTCTTTCGACACTTGCACCAGCTTTAAAAAACCATATTGTCTTTAGTCGCTTTTTTAAACTTTATGAACTATAATAACTTTTGTTTTTATCAAATTAAAAGAAAAGCAAAGCTGCGATACAAAATAAATATATAATTGCTTACTTGTAAATTTATTTCATGTATTTTTTTATGTTCGTTGATTATTACAGTATTTGGAAGTTTTGTAATTTGATAAAATCTTTTTTGAGCTGATACATTTTCCTAAACATAATATTGTATAAATTAATAGGTAGGTTCTTGTATAATTAGTAACTATGGAAAAAAAACTAACGCATAATAACATTTGATATAAAGACTTATATGAGTTAAAGATTTATATGGCCTATATTGTAATAATAAACTTACCGAAAAATATGCTAAAACCAAAACTACTAAAATTTTAGAATACTTCATTTTGATTGTTTTTGAAACACATTCAATTAAGAATACCTTTTTATAGATTTTCTGAAATTATACAATTTATAGTAAAACTAATTTGTTATTATTTATAATACAAATTACAACATTGTAATTACATATTTTTACATATTTTTGTGTTTTTGTTTTTTTTTTAGTAAAATTTAAATATTTTCATAGTATATTAGATAGACGTAAGAATATTTGAAAAAAACATTACATAAAGGTATAACTATTATTATTACCTATTTAAACATGTGTTTTGTATATATGTAAATATATATAGGTAATACGTACAGTAGGTATTATTAAATTTATATTTGTGTATATTTCTAAACACATAACGACATAGGTAAAATTGTGCACAACTTATGTACCTACAGTTATACATTTTAATATAAATAGGTAGGAAAATAGGTAAGTATACCTATTATAGTATTGGTGGGTGTAAGTAAATAGATACAATAAGAAATTGATGAAATGTGTTTTATTTTTTTATAGGTATCTGTAGGTAGGTACCTAAACATAATCATATAGATAAGTACTTACATATATCCATTATTTTTTCACTTTATTATTATTATTTTGTATTTATATTTTTAAAATACCTATGATACTTTATGTTTGATCATAATATACTTATTCCAATCAAAAACACTGATAGATTTATAGTTGTGACTTGTAAATCTCAATTAGTTGATTTTATACACATTGAGGAGCTTACATTTAATTATACATTTCTTGTACCTATCTATTTTTCAAAAAAAATGAGAACAAATTAGTACAATAATTGTTGATCAAATGTATGCAGAGGCGTCTTTAGACCTTAACTATGGGAGAGGGGAAGCGAAATAATTAATTTCAATATATTAATAGTTATTAAAAAAAAGGACGGATGTACTTCGCACGATGGGTAAACCACTGTTGTGGGTGAGAAGTTGGGAATTTAGGATATAAAGGGAAATTTAATGTATATCTGTAAACAAAAATTAATCATTGCTAAGGAAAATCGATTCTGAGCAGAGCTCGGTTTATAGTACCTATTACTTTTTCAACAATATATATGTCATAACATTAAAATAAATGTCACCTATAATGAAAAAATTAGTAGAGACCAGTAAAACCAGATTTGTTTCACATACATTTTTGTCAAAATATTAAAATATATTAAAGATATTGAAATTCTTATAAAAAAAATATATTACATTAAATTAAATTATTTTTGTTTTGACTGCAAAGTACGAGTTATAATTAACCTCCTGTTCAATTTTTAAGCATTTCTGTTTTGTCTAACAATTTTATTCACAGAGTACCTACCAAATAAAAAGATGGACATCTTCACACATGAGTGCAGCCACTATTGAGAGAAGGTGGGAAATTGGAAAGGTTGATAATATATTGATTATATCTATTATATCTACTTCTGGGCCAATGACTAGACCAATGGCATTAGCCAACGTAAGTCCACTTCTCTCGGAAAGGACTACGTTTGTCCTCATTTGGCTATCTCCCTCCCTCAGAGACGCGCCTGAATTTATATAATATGTACATATCTATTGGCTATTATTATAACTATTAGGTACTTTATGTATTTGTTTTTTGTAACTCAGTGTGAAATAATGGTATAGATACAATTGTAGTGACCTTAAAATTTGATACAAGTTTTATTATAGAAATAGGTAATATACAATTTTTTCTTATATTGAACAAAATAAACATAAGTATAAGTACTTAAAATACTCAGTTAAATATTTATTTTATTTGGGTCTAAGTTCAAATTGTTGATCAAATTAGTTAAAAATCTGAATGACATTTAATAATTTTACAGGTAGTTGAAAATTGTAATAGATAATATTTTCAATTTTAAATTTAGGTAAAATATTCAACTGAACTCCACTCAGAATAATTTTTTTTATTTACAATTTTTAATACATTCAAAATAAAACTAATTTAATAAAATAATACACAAGACTATTCGGGAAAAGGGTAAGGTTGAACTTTCAAAACTTCCTTATGGCTTTGGGTATAGATAAAGGTAGTTATTATAGCCTATAGGTCTTATAATGTTATGCATTTTTTGTGATAAGATGTGGTACAGTCGAAAAATAATCATTTATTTATACAGTACCTAGGGACCTAGTTTTAATAACTAATAAAACACATGTTACCTATCTTAGTAATGGGTTGAATAAATTTACTAAAAATTGTTGGTACAATTATATGTAAAACTAACATATACTTAATATAGGACTACATGCCTAGTAAACAAATTATTGTAATACCTATAGGTACTTACTACCTACCTAGATAAATATTTAATTATGTGTATACATATTTTAATTACCAATAAGTTGGTACCTATAACAGATGGAACAGACTTTAAAAAGAAAAGTGTTGTTACTGTTTATATACTTTTATGCTATGTATACAGAATGATCAATCTATTGTAAGACATTCGTGTTATCTAGGAAAGTATTAACTTTTTCTGGAATTTGTTTTTTACAATATTTAATAGATAAATTGTTCTACAATTTTATATTAATGATATTTTTTTGGCATCCTTATTTTTAGGGGTAAACCACTACCTTCTTTTGATTTTCAAGTAGCAACCTATAATACAATTTTTATAAATAGATGAAGTATTAATTAGACTATATTTTGGCATCGACATTTTTGATTTTCGTCAATCCGTTGACGAGATATTCCCCTTTTAAGTTTGTGTTAGGGGAGAGTGTTAGTGCATTATAACACGCCGCGTGCCGTACCGCCCCACAAAAAATGACACACCAATAATCTCTTCCAGCTGAAACTTAAAAGTGGAATAATTCGTCAATGAATTGATTTTTTCTTCCAGAAATATTGTTTTAATCAAAAAATGCCAAGAGACCTGTTTTGTTCTTTAAAATATCTAGCCACTAACAGTGAAAGTCATTATTTGATACCCAATGTAGTTTTGGTTTTAAAATAAATTAAAAACGTTCATAATCCTCATTAAATCATTTAGAATAATGTAAAACAAGCACTGAAATTGAACTATGCGTAGTTGGTGGGAAAAAAACCGTGCGCTTTTTGTCATTTAATTTGAGTTTAATCTCTTTATCTCTAATTTTCATGTTTTTCTTCCAGTCATATTTTTATTTTATTGGATTTTATTCCAGGCCTCAGGGAGCGTCTGTAAACATAACCTCAAATAACCAATTCAAAGGAGTCTAATGTATTAAGTCATAACATTATTTTAATTTTTAATCTCAATGCGGTATTAGTGTGGTACTAACTACTTAGGTTATTTCATTTTCTCAAAATCATTTTTTGTTATTACTCAAGTAGTTGAGTTATTTAAATATAAATTACTAATCCATCAAAGGTAAGACAATCTATTTAAAATAAATATATAATTTTTTATATTGCACTATAATTATTATTATGTACGCTACTTTTAATTTTATATTTTTAATGTAAAATTTGTTATAGTTAATTGAATATTTATCAATTTAAATTTATTTAAAATGTTGGTTTAAATCTAGTTTGGATTTTTTTTTTACCAAACTGATTTACTTTTTTACTTATTTTGTTAGTAGGCTGTCAAACTTAGTTTTTAAGTTATAAAACTTTGAAATCTATTTACACTGTATATTATATATGATTCACAACAAATTGGGTTTTTTTTTGGTTTGAAACAGTATGAGTGAATTCAGATTTACTTAATTACACTTTTTTGGACCATCAGTTGTCTACAAAACCATGTGTGGTGGTCGGCGACTCGTTACATTCAAAATTTAATAAAGTATTTAATGTAAATCAGTAATAGTTATCAGAATTTATTATAAATTTATTGTACTTAATACCTATGTTATTATTACCCTTTGTATACGAAAAAAGTATAAAGTTAAATAGAAAAAAACAACTGTGAAAAATACTGTAAAAGTACTGTATACAGGAAAATATTATATTTCGTGTATTATAAGAATACACAAATTTTAATGTGTTAAAACTCAAACTTATGATTTCCTCAATTTTGTTTGTACTATCATTTTCAAAACTTTGAAATACCTGGATTGTCAGTGTTGTTTTTTAAGTCTATTCTGATAAATAATAACTGAATGGTATTATGGTACAGATTTTATAAATAGAGCTATGAAATTTCTCATAATGGGACTTACATTAAATATTTTGTATTGTTCAATAGTCAGATTGGTCCCAGAATATGGTTCTATGAATTGATATCCTTTCATTTATTTGATTTTAAGTTACAGTAGACTTTGATACATTCATATTATTACTGCCTAAAAATAAAAAACAATATTCTTTTGAGTTCAGTTTCGTACATTTTTATTGCATAGTTTTGTTACTGTTATAAGAAATGAATTGCCATGCTTTTCTTAGATCTGTCTGTACTCTTTTCCTTTCCTTATCTGGGTAGAATATTACTGTTGTTTATCTAGTGTTATATTATTTTGAAAAGTTGGTCCTGGACCTATCCCAAGTATTAGTCCTTTATCATAGTCTTTCCCATGACAGAATAGGCGATGCAACAATTAAAACCGTTTGTCACCGATCATCCCGATAATGCATGATGATATTGATGGAAAAACAGTTGCTTAATCGACTACCAGATTGGCCGAAGCTCAGTATGTATGTGCATAAATAGGCCGTTCTCTTATGGGACAGACTAGGTTTAAATATGGAACTTCTGTACAAAAATAGATCAAATCAAGACATTAGTGTTAAAATAGTGTCAGGATAGAAGAAAATAATTGGTTAATGCATAACCATTAACTTTCTCAGACAATTTCAAATTACAACACTGAAAACCGCATCCAAATCCATTTACTGATTCTCGAGACTAGTTAATAACAACTAAACTAATTTATATAATAGATAATTTATTTTGAATTTAACTGTTTATTAGTTTTCATAAAAATAATGTAAATTTAGAAATGTTGGTAAAATTATTTGGGTACCTTTTTATTAACACACTAGGTAACTACAGATCAAAAATTAATGATAGTAATTAATTAAGTATTATATGTTGAACTAGAACAAAATAATTATAATTAATCTGTATTGATACCTGACAATTTTTTAAAAATATTAATTTACTAAACGATATTTACCTCCATCCCAATAGAAATAATTACTAAGGGGACTCAAATTAATCAAAAAGGAATTGATTTGCCATTTAATAAAAACCTTTTGTTTACCATTGTTAAAGTAGAGTCCTGTTTTTTAGAATTGATTTTTTGAAATTAAAATATACAAACAATTTTTTTATCACATAACTTTTTTACTAACACACTTGTCTGGGTTTTATTACAACTTACAATGAATTGATTAGATAATAATTTTTAAATTCCTGATTTTATGATTCACTATATTAAAATATCTTTTATCATATGTTTTATTGTTTCCATTTACTAAATGTACATAATATCTGTTTTAGATGAAGTTGAAAACTAATAATGCTGCTCCGAAGTCAGCCAATACAAAAATGTAAGTATAGATTACCCTATACATAGTTGCACAATAACTACTTCTATTCTTTTCCAAGAGAAAATGAGACCTTTTCACACACGTTAAATGAACTCTGGTCGGCTCATTAAGCTAACAGATCCCTTCATTGTAAACAGTGAGCTGACAAGAACAATATATCAATGTTTTATATTGTTGGGAGATGCGTGTCAGTGATCAGATTTGATCAGGAGACTGTCACGTTTTCTTATGGAATGGAGTTTTTTTTTTTTTTAAGAAAATTTACAATCTATATACAAGTTAATATAATAAGTAAATGTGTTGATAGTTACTAGACATGAACACTTAAGGGAAGGGAATGTCCAGTGATACTACTTCCGATTAACTTGGGGGTAGGTAACTTAACTAAAAAGTACTAATCATTGTTTAATAAATCACGCGGCCATTTGTGTTTGAGACGATGGAGAGGGTTGTCAGGAATTGTACAAGAAGAGAGTTTGGAAATGAGCGGATATGAATGGTTAAAGGTATTTTTATGGAATTTGTTATAATGATGAGAGGTAAATGAGGATATTGGTGGTATACTGAGGTCTTGGTGTAGAGTGCGGTTGTTGACGTACCAGGGAGCATTAGATAGGACACGGAGAGATATAGATTGGAATGCTTGGAATTTGATTAAGTTTGAGTTACCCCACAATTGGATTTCGTATGTCAATGCGGGACGTAAGATCTGTTTGTAAATTAGTGTTTTATTATTAAGAGAGACTTAGGATCGGAGAAGTGGTCTTAATTTGTAAAGTCTGAGGTTAAGNACCTAAATATTTAACGGAATCGTCCATTGGAATTTTTTGATTGTTCATGTAAACAGGAGGAATGGTAGTAGGCCTGAGGGTAAAGGTGATGTGAGTGGATTTGTTTTCGTTGACTTTAATTTTCCATAAGCTGAACCAGTCTTGTATTTGGGTAAGGTGGGCTTGGAGGTTGCTTGTAGCGGTAGCTATTTCGGAGTTGGTTGAGATGGTGGCTGTGTCATCGGCAAATGTAGCTAGAGTAGTATTCATAGATTGTGGTAGGTCTGCTGTATATATATTATAGATAGTCGGTGAAAGGATACTGCCTTGAGGGACATCTGCTTTTATAGGATGCGAGTCAGAAGTTTTGTCTTCACATCTTACTGTAAAAGTACGGTTTGATAGGAAAGATTTAAGTAAGAGGAATAACGGGGTGGGTAAGAATAACAATTTAAATAATAGCCCTTCGTGCCATATCCTATCAAACGTCTGAGCAACGTCGAGAAAAATCCCAGAACAAAATTTCTTTTGTTCAAGAGATGAGGCAATAGTGTCAACTAATCTATGTAATTGGTGGAGAGAGGAGTGCTTTCTCCTAAAACCAAATTGAGCATTTGGAAGAATTTTTTTCCCATTGAGTATTGGATAAGTTCTTTTTAATATGATTTTTTTTAGAATTTTTGAGAATGTAGGAAGTTAGCTAATGGCTGATTAGCCATTGATGTTAGGCCTGTAGGCCTGTGATGTTAGTTAGGCCTGTATGAGGAGGGCTGATCAGGGGGTTTTCCTGGTTTGTGGATTAGAATAATAACTGAGTGTTTCCAATTGGGAGGGATATAGGATAGATGTAGAATATTTTTGTAGATATAAGTGAGAAGTAAGATTGCTTTCTTAGGCAGGTGTTTAGCAATAGTATTAGATATTAAGTCGTGGCCTGGGGATTTGTTATTTTTTAAGTTTTTAATGATATTTAGGACTTCCAAAGGAGAGGTATGTTTGGTAGGAAGACACATTGGGAGAGTGTTTAGAAGTGAGGCTTCAATATTAGAGTAGTGACTTCTCGTGAGTAAATTTGGATGTGATGAGAATTTATTTTCAAGGTCTGATGCGAGATGGAATGGAGTTTTAAGCCAAGATTTCTAATGCACCTATACCAATTGAATGAGAATAAATAAATTAAGAATACGTAACTTTATTTTTCTCATAATATTACTTAACATGGGTACGTAGGAATTAAAAAAATGTGAGTAAAGTTCCCCATTATTTCTCCATTCAAATTTTTTTTTTTTTTTTTTCAGAAATATGATCTTATTTTGGTATAATTCCGTATTCCAAATTACATCTTAATGAATTAAAAATTAGGGTTAGGTTAGGATTAATTCAAATAATTTATAAAATATTGACTACTTTTTATAAGAGCATATTATGTATGTATAATTTTATTTTAATTTTTTTTTTTAGAAACAAGTCGCCAAAGAAACAAGGTAAAGGTGTTGAAGTTAGAAAAGAAAAATCAAAAGTAGTTGTCAAGCCGGAAGTATTGAAAAAAGAGGCGGTAAAAGCCAAAGTAGACACGCCACCTAGTCCTCATAAATTAATACAACAAGAATTGTGGGGTAAAGCTATTGTAAATGTTTCGAATCTATCCACCCTTAGTGATGAGGAAAGCAGTATTGCTAAACTCTTAGCAGATTACAAAAAGAAAAGTTCTATTCCTTTTAAAAGTTTAAAATTTAGAGTAAGTTTTTATTTTATATCCAATAATTTATATAATTTTAATTGGTCATGTTTGTGTATGTTTATAGAATTTTATTACAAAAGGATTTTCAAAATTCAAGGATACAAGCATTGAAGTTGCAGATGGTATTTATGAAAAAATATTAAGTGAATACAAGTCTTTAGGTGGTGTTTCTGAGGCTAATGCAAAAAAAACTGATGATAAGAAAGTTGTAGTAAAAAAGACTAAGAAAGTAGTTGTTGCTGGTGATGATGATGTTGGAGAAGAAGATGGAGATGAAGAAGAAGACGAAGAAGAAGAAGAAGTAGTGGACGCTGAAGATGATGACAAGGATGATATTGATGCCGATGAAGATATTGTGTTAGATGCTAGTGATGATGATATTGATAATGAAGAAGAAAGTGATGATGAAAAACCAAAGCCTAAAGCAAAAGTTATTAAGATTAATAATAAGAATGGCAAAGGACCAAATAAAGGTAATAAAGGTTCAAAATTTAAAGGTGGCAAAGTGCAGAAAAATAAAAAGTTTGGTAAGAAAAAGTAAATTTAATGCTTAGTAACTTCACTATTTGACTTAATATTGTAATACTATAATTTTATCAAATACATACAATTTAAAATATTGTATTCAATAAAGATTACTATTAAATTTTTAAATCGATTGTTTTGGTTTTTAAAGGTATTTTATTTATTATTACCCATCAATTTTTTTTGTTAATGGTATTGAGCAATGTTGTTTAAATTCCTTTTAAAAAAATGTATTCCCGTTCCTCATTCCTTATTTAAAAAAAAGGAATTCATTCCTATAAATTTTTTTTTTTTTTTTTTTTCAAATACCTAATACACCAAAATATGTTTTTATATTCTTAATTTGAAAATAATATCTAATGATATTTTGCTTTGGAAGTATTATACATGTATTAGTATATATATTTATATACTAATATATAATTTGACATTGATGATTTTCATTTGCTACTTGCGTAGACACCTAGTTTTCATACAAAATTAAGAGTAGTTAGAGTTGATCAAGTCGTTTAAAATCTTACTAAAGTAAATTTCATTATTTTCATTCAGATTCCTAAAAATAATGAATTAATTTCTTTATTTATCCTTTAAAAAGGAATCGTTCCTTAACATTTGTATTGAGTATTAACAAATACATTTTTAAGCTCTATGGTCCTAGAACTGACTTACTAGTATAATATTACACAAATGTACAAGTTGAAAATTTAATTCCATAATATTACCTGACGAATCAGCAGAAGTCAATTACAGACATTTTTGGAGTGTAAATAAGATAAAATATAAAGTTTTTAATCTTTATCATAATTACCTACAATTATAATAATAAAATGTTGATTAATACTGTAAATTAGGTTTAATAATAATTGATACAATTTTTTATTTATTTTTTTAAATAGCTAAATAGGATAAATGTATTTAATAAATAATTGTACCTATTTTAAATAAATGCTGAATTTAGGTACAATGTTATTTTATTTCAGGTTTACTTTATTTTTAAGTAATCTATCAGCTGTATTGTATTAGAACTCAAATTATAGTCTCGTAAACTAATTGAAGACTATATAATAAATTGTTTTTCTTTATTCTGAATCAATAACTAGGTATTATACAATTTAATTTGAAAACCCCATTGCAGTCAATTTAATTCAGTAATTAGAACACATTAAAATGTCTTTCTTTTTTTATAATGTAACATTGCTTAGCTATAGCCAACAGGTAATGAACAATACTATTTTTATCATAAAAATTAAGAAATATTTGTTACATTTACAGGTATACAATACATTATATTAGTAGTATATTGTTTTTTTATTTAGTTATTAATTTGATTAATTTAAGGCATTAAAGCAAGCAATATACCTGTATTGTATTTTTTTTTTTTCTATACCTTCTATAGATGATTTAATATTTAACTAATTATAATGTTGATTTCTTTGAATTGCAAGAAAAAAAAACATTGCTAATTCTAAATATTAATATTTTTCATGAATATTATAGTATAAACATTAAACATCTATAATAAATGATCTTGCTTATTCTTATGTATATGACTTTAATGTCTTCTTACTATTAATTCTGTGATTGGTGGATGTACTTCTAAATGATATTTTTAAGAAATTTAAATTCAGATAAACGGGATATTTTTTTAGAATTATATTTTCTATAAGGCATTCACATACACAATAGAACTCTTGATAGCCCTTAATTACTTCACCACTCTGGCCATTGTATTATCATAAGTAAAGAAACAGATATTTAATATATTGCTTTAAAAATACATTTGAATTTACTTTTCCAATTTATATATTGTATCAATAATTAAGTAATCAATATTTTTACTATATTTTATTTGATTCAATTAGAAAAGGGTTACATTACCCAAACATAGAAGAACAAGTAATATGAAAACAATATCTAAGTTACAGGTGCACATGTTGAATATAATTTAAAGAGAGCTCAGTAGCTAAAGTTAGGGTCTTCATTAACTAAATACATTAGATAGTTTAGGAGAATTCAATAAATAGTTAGTGGTGGAGAAAGGTAAGTAAAAGGGAGTAGATTTTCTTAGATGACAGAAAGATATTCTAAAGTTAATACCAACTAACACGATAGGAGAGTCAACGTGATCAGATAAAAGTTTAAAAAGAAATGAAAGATTAGCTGCTTGACGACAATTTGAAAGACTGCTTAGACCAAGCAATTGACTAATAGGCGTGTAGTAATGTGGGGGCAAATTGTGTTTAGGAGAAAAGCTACTAAAAGCAAGGACATCCTTTGCATCTGTTTGATAGCTTGGCGGTCGCTAGAAGTTGACTATAGGTTTATCTTCAATTTTTACAGCATTAATTTATGTACAATAAATTATATAACAATATTTTACATACATACTATAAATCTGTATTTTTCTGGTAATCCGATTATAACACCAGTTCCAAGGTGACTGATTAAGACCATTTCCCAAAATTTACTCACATTGTATAAATTAAAATAAAAAAATTATACCAATTATAAAATAACTAATAGCATTAGTTAATTGAATAAAATGTATGTGCATCACATAAAAGCACAGATCACAAAATGGATATTGTTTAGGTAGAGTTCAATAATTACAAGAAATGCTGATTTTATTTTATTTCGCAGTCACTTTTTATTTTGAATAATTTGGAAGGATATAGGTAATAATATAATATCAAGTATACACCAATACTACAATAGTGGTTGTTTTTGATATTAATTATTATTTCTATTGTTTGTAATGTTATAAAAAATAGAAATAAATACTTCATTTTTATTTTTGTGTTTTCATGACTAACACCAATTTAATAGCGGATCTGAATATTATTTGCCTTGATACTGATCTAATATAAATAATTACAATTATATAAATAATATGTTGTTTAATTTGTTTAATAATTCAACTATCATTATTACATTTTTAATTCCAATAGGAATACTAAATACAAATTTAAATTATAAAATAATATAAATTATTAATGTTTTTAAATATAAATATGTATATTTTATATGTAATTTGTTTATAACATTCATGAGTTTCTAGAATATGAGAACAAATTTGAGATTTAATAAAAATAAAATAATTAAAATATTTTCATACAAAGATCACATTTATATTTTAGTCGAGTTTATGTCATTATTTATATTCAAGTTAAAAGGCATATTTTTTTCTTCAAATGCAAAAGTAATACTAAATACATTCTGACATGATGTAACATGAGCAATGCAAATATTTCGGTCAACAAATTTTTCTTGACAAAACTAACATTTATAATACCCATAGTTTATGTCTGCTACTGAATTGTTTTTATGTGATTTTATACAATTATTATTAGTAAAATTATTTTTCTGTAATTGTTGGTTTGTATGAGTTTTTAAATGTGAAATTAATGATGGTAATAGAATAAATGATTTTTGACATACATTGCACTCATAAAGTTGTCGACTTGTATGCTGTATATTATATACTGCTGATGATTGATTTAATACCTTATTATAACACATACTTTTCAACTGATTTTTTTTTGAATATACCTGTTTTATTATGTTTTGATTATTATTACATGCCGAGGGATTTTTAAATCTTAAATGAATATTCATATTAGATTTAACTGGGAACCATTTACCACAAAAATTGCATCTAAATGGTTTTTCTTTTGTGTGTGTTCTTTCATGTGAAAAATAATCAGAAAATTTTGAAAAGATTTTAGGACAGTATTGACAGATAAAATTATTTATTCCAAGATGCCATTTATAATGTTGGTGAAGTCTATAAGATGTAATAAATGATTGAGGACACACATCACATTTTAACATATTGGTTTCTAAATGCAAAATGAATTCCTGTGAAGACTCGTACAATTCTGAACATGGGTCACAACTAAAAATTGAATAGTCTTCTTGGTGATCATTGAAAATATGAATCACTATTTCAGAACGCTTATGAAATACTTTTGAGCATCTTGAACATTCATAATTTTTACGTAAATTATGCATTCTACTGATGTGCTTGGTTACAGATAATTTTGAAGTAAAACATTTTTGACAAATTTGGCATTGATTGACACGGTTCAATTTGTGAATCCTTTCATGTGCTGTTAATAATGATAATTCAGAAAATTGTTTGTGACAAATATGATTTATTTTATGTTTTTCTAAAGAACTTAAACTTAAGCATGATTCGTTCAATTTATTACAGTTAACCATTTCATTTTCTGGATGAATGTATTTATGAGTATTTAATAAAGACAATCTACTAAATGATTGCCTACAAGTTTTACATGTCCATTTGTATTTGTCTTTAACATGGTGTTTTTTTTCATATGTGGTATTGTTCAAGTTTAAACAATTATCACATTTTAAATTATTATCTTTAGAATGCAATATTTGATGTTTATTTACAAACTTCTTTTTTTGAATTACAATTTGGCCAATTTTGAACTCATCATTATTGTTTGTGTTATTAGTAATACAATTATTTGCATTGTTTATATTAGACAACATTGAATTTTTAAAATGTTTACCCAAATAGTAATTAGAAACATCATTTTCAAAATCAAAAGGGCTTTCTGGAAAGCATAAACTAGTTCTAAAATGCTTAATAATTAGAATACGTTGATAAAATATTTGTCCACATATATCACATTCATACTTCCTGTTTATATCATTCAAAATAATTTCTTGTTTTCTTGATATTAGACTTCTTTCAGATTTTAAATAGTCATTTTTTCTTAGTTCTGTTTGACAATCAATAAACTGAGATTTATTAACTTCTTCGCACTTTACAATATTACAACTATCAATTGGATGTAATACATTTGCAATTGATGAAATAGGTAATTCATTATTTGAGTAACTAAAATTGAATTAAAATAATGATTAAATATTTAAAGTTTAAACAAAATTTTTATCTTACCTTTCACTATCAGATTGAATATCATCCAAATTAATGTTTTGCCATTTTGTAGAATTGAAGTCGTCAAGTGTTTTGGTATTGAGATTATCGCTAATAGTTGTAATTGATGAAATCGCTTTACTGAAATTTAAATAAAATAATAATTAAATAATTTTAATTTAAATTAGTTTGTTACAATACTTTTCAATGTTTATTATAATATGATCCAAGTCATTAATTTTCCATTCTGGGATATCAACATTATCGACATTATCATTAGTAGAGAATAACATCATTTCCAAGTGTTGAACTTAATTTAAATCTAAAAAATAAAATACATTTATATATATTCATGTATAAAAGATCATAATATGTACTAATAAAATGTGAGTTCTTTTTAAAAGAATGATATTATCAAGGCCAATATAGAATTATTGAAATGCTAAATACTTTATTAATACTACTATAAAATACTTTTATAATTTATTAAGAATATTAGTGTGTAATGCAAGTTAACTGTTTATTATATGTTAAATAATAATAGTTTCCTATTTTATTATCTGTATGTTACCTAATAGTAGATTAACCTAAATAATGGTATTTCAAACGATTTGATAGTTTTACTAATTTTATTAATTTGTAATGTAAGTTTTTAAAATAAATTTAAGTTTATTTTATACATTCAAAAATTACAATACAATGCAATAATTTTATAAATAGGTATATTTTGTATAAATATGTATACATGATAATATACCTAATATAAACAGGTATCAACTGAATAAGTAGATTTTTATATTAAAGCAATATATTAATATACTAAAATAAAAATGTCTTCATTAAAGTATTGAATTATACAATTAATTTGTATTGCAATTTATTAATTTAATATTATTAAGTTGTTATAGAATTTATTTACCTACATAGTTAGTATATTTTCATACTTATCTACTATAATAAATACACAATAAAACATCACATATGAAAAATAAATATATTTATTTAATTGTTTTAAATATATAGTTTGTTACCTGTATTCATAAATTCAACATGCATTAAAAAAAAAAAAAAAATAAAAAGAATATATTATAATAGGTATCTGATGAAAATAATATCTAACCACTATATGTTCAACTCTGTCCTCTGGCTCTGATAACAACAAATTGGTTGTGATAGAAATATTAGGAGTAATATTTTCAATTTCATTTATTAAAATATTTAATTTTTTTAAATTAAATATCTTTATAGTATAAGTATTGATCCAAGTATTTAAGTCAATAAAAATATTATAGGAATGGTCAATTTTATTCTACTTAATTTTTGTATTATACAGCTATTATTTTGTACTTAACAAAAATAATAATTATTTTGAATTTGATTTTCATAATAAATTATGAAAAATCATAATAAAAAAATATTACATAGGTACTATATTGCTACTTTATATTGATACAGTCAAAGTTTACTAATTCTTATTTTAAAACAAATTAGTGCACACAATACCATAATTCTAATACCGTAATTTGGTACAAACTATAAATTATTTGTGTATATTTTTTGTAATATTTATATTGGCCAAGTTAAAATTTTAATATTTAAAGTAAAATAATATTTTAAATTAGAAAAAATTTAAGTAAGATATTAAGGCTGGTTCTTACAATTTTCCATAAAGTTTTGGTTAGTGCTAATTTAACTGATACAATTTTTTAGTTTGTGGCAAATTTAATTGGATATTATAAGAACGGGTCTTACAATATTTGTATAATAAAATTGTTAAATAGTAATAAAATAATATTGAATTTAAAATACTCAAAACTAAACACAAAAATTACCTATATTATGTAGTTTCGATAAATTTAATTCTAATCTTTTCTATTTATCCATTATTTTGATTTTGGTTAATAATAATAATGATTTAAAACTATCACAATATCTACAATAGTAAGAGTTCAAACAAGTTAGATACTAGATAGTTATTTTGTTCACCAATGTGATATATATCAACTCTACTAGGTACCTTTACTAACATTTGACTGACACATAACTATATACAACATACAGTAAAACTAATTTACAATAAATATGGTCTTACAAAAACAAAAAAAATTGAATGTTTAGTATTCAGTATAAAACTTGTTGGGATGATCTTGAATTAATAAAAAGAATATAGAGTGACTTGAGCAGATGGTTATAGGTTTGAAGCTTGTTTAGGTTAGGTTAGGGTGACAGCAGATCTCTTGAAAAGATTTTTTTCTAATACATTGTAGTCGTTTTTGATACTAAATGCATGATGAGCAGATTTTGACTTATGAGGTAATGGTTTTTAATGGAATCCTTTATCAAATAAAAATGTAATTTGATTTTTATTGATAGTCAAAAGATGTAATTTAATATTAAGTGTGACATAGATGATAAACTATAAAAACTTGAAAATTATTCTTAGGTAAATGGATAGAAAGCTGGGATAGTTTTGGTTGTGTATTATATAATGGCACTGTAAACCCTAGTTTTAGTAGTATTTTATATAGAAATAGTTTAATAGGTATATATATAAACAACTTAATTAATATAAATATATAGTGAACTGCTCACTTTGTGATTTGTCTTGCGACACAGTTTAGAGTTCAATACATTTGTTTCGTACATGGCTTATAAAATAGAATAAAATATAGATGAATACAAATAAATTTTATATTTTATAATTTCCCAAGGTAATAATTGTAATAATTTTAAATTCACTTTTTCATAATAAAATTGTTTGTACAAGTATATTAACTTTTAAAATAAGTAGATAAATATAACTACTAACAAAAACCAATACACATCTAAGCAGATCTAGGATATCTAACCTTAGTACATACCTATTAGAATAAAAATAAAATAAAATAATTTTTATGAATTAGAACATTAAAAACAAAAAACAAAAAAACCAACCTATAAATAATACTCTAGGCTAAGCAATTTTCTTTTTATTTATTATTATAGAACATCAACTTTTAATCAAATTGTAACATTTAAGTAGTTTTAAAGTAAAACAATAGATATACCTAGCTAGTTTAAATCTTATTCTTATAAGTATTTTAATTTTACAAGTTATAAAAATAAACTTATAAGTAATTAATTGTATAATTCAAAGTATTTAAATATGATAATTTGATTAATTATTTTATTATTCATCAAATTATTAAGAAAATAATTAAATTTTAAAATGTATGTAAAAAAATTAATAGATAGTTATAAAAAATTAGTTAAGTAAAAAGTACAAACATGAATCATGATTAAAAATGACAAAGATGACCTATTTATTTTAAATATATTTGCACACAGTAAACAATATCAGTTAAAAATAAATTATTTAAATATTAATTAATTTTTACAGTTAAAAATTGGTCTAATTCTGAACACTTTTTAGGGTTTTTTGCAAAGGAAAAATGAAATACTTAATCTATTAGTTTTTTTGTTTGCCTATAGACATAGATATAGATGTTTTAATGTAGGGTGACCAAAATCTGGAATGTTTCCAATTTTGTAATTCATGAACTGGTTTCGAATTTTTACATAGTAATGTACTTACAGGAATCATAAATTATTCTCATAATTTGTATATCTACTCTGTTATCGTTTTTATTTTGAACAAAAACTAACAAAATATGTTTTCATAATAGCAACCAATTTTGGGCTGATGTTTGAAATCAAATGTTTACAAAAACTATTGAGTGTCACCTAATAAAATATATGAACATTTTACAATGAAATAATAAAAATTCCTATTTTACTAAAGAAAATCTACAGTTGTGATAAAAGATAAAAGGTGTCCAAAGGACAAAAAATATTTCTCAAAAGTGTATATATATTTGGATTAGGACAAGAAGTTAACAGAAAAAGACAGCTAATGACAATAATTGGTGGAATAAAAGGCAAGGTTGAGACTTTGAGAGGTTTAAGTACCTAGGATCATTTGTATAAAATAATGGTAGCTTTGACAAGTAAGTATTTGAAACATAAGATTAAGTGTGGTTGGATAAAGTGGAGAGAAGTGTTAGGTAAGAACGATTAAGTTGTGTGGTTTGGAGTGTTGGACGGTAGACAAAAAAATAGAACAGAAAATGAATGTACCAGAGATGTGAATTCTTGGATGGATGAGTGGAATGAACAGAGAAGATAGGATAAAGAATGAGTAATTACAAAAGAAATAATTAAGGTGTGGCTTCAATAGTGGACAAATGAGAGAAGAGTCGAGATGGTTTACATTTCATTAAGAGGGAGGAATAAAAAGTAGTAAAAATTGTAATGAAAAGAAACATAGTAGGAAAGAGAAGAGGAAGACCAGATAAAAAAAGGAGGTGGTTGGATGCAATTGTGAATGAGGATGGTGGGTGTATGGGGAGGATGTTGGGAGATCGGGTCAGAAGGAAATTTAGGACGATGGTGGCTGACACCAACTAGTTAGTAATGAGATGAAGGCAGAGGAAAAATAGTATACATAATTAATGCGTGTTATGTCTATACTGGTAACTATTTGCCATAATAAAAAGGCGAGAAAAGAATTATACATTAACATAATAACATATTTACTTGGTTTTTTATTTTCCTTTTTTTTTTTACGATCAATTCAATTTTGTTATTTAATCTAGCTACATTATATAAATGTGATTTTTATTTATTTAATTTTATAAATAGTTTAAAAACTTGTATTTCTTAGATTCTAAGTGGTGAGAGGAATGTACTATATTTGCAATGTTTATTTTTTTTCAATTTTAAAAAGTATCCAAAATAATATCTCATTACATTTAATTTTTTGATAGACTCCAGATTTGGATGATATTGGTATAGGTGAATACATGATTTATTTCGTTCAGTACTTATAGTCGATTTTTAAAAACGTTTCATGTATGCATTTGTTTTTATTAATTCTCTTTGAGTTATAACATATTATAAATGTAACATTATATAACACTTTAAAAACATAAAAATATTAAATAAAAATACAATTTTGTATTTAAACGACTGTACATTAAGACCTATTTCCGTTTAATGAAAAAAATTGAATTTGTACCTTGAACGGTTTGAATGTGATAATATGGTCATATGGAATCACAGACCACAGCTGTTATCTAGTTTCTAAACGGTTTATACTAAACTGTAGATATTAGATAACCGTGAATGAAATCAATTACAGAAGTTGTACGTGACGTATTATTTTCTCAAGATCTATTTTTTTTTATAGACACGAATGAAAATATACATATGTATATATATATATATATATATATATATCTTAATTCGTGGATCATACATAAATATACAATCATTGTACTATATGATAAGAATTGAAATGGTCCACTATCACCATCATACATGTATTATCTATAATCATATACATACCAATTACCATTGCCAACCCGATTAGGTTACACTCACTTCACATTGTTTAACTGTCATTTAAAAAATATTTATTCAAATAAAATTTTTATTACTCACAAGATCAAATATTTTGCATTAATTATACAAGTATTAATTTATGAACTTTTATAATAAATTATTATAAACTACCTACATTTACATAATAACATAAAACCTTAATTTTAATTTATACATTATAATGGATGATTTATGTTTTAAAATTGATTTAGTTTTAAATGAGTGTCCTAGATTGTTATACCTTCTAGAAATCGAGAAATCAATTCATATGTCAGTATTTAAAGTATGTTGAATTCTATTGATATTTTAATATTTATACTATCTAAGAATTAGTTAACAGAGTATGAAACGATAAAGAAATATAAGTATAGTTTATTCTTATTTCCTAGTGGACGAGTCTAAAATGGAGACAATGCGTCCTTTTCCCAATTACTTGTATTTCAATTAAATATACATTTTAGTCAGATGCTGTAATTATGTATTTTTTATGTTTGGTAATGGATTGAAGGAGAAAGAACCAACACACAGTGAATAGGTGATGTGAGAGACCGAGTTAAGTAGATATTAAAGACCTTACCAAGCTCACTAGGCTTACCAAGGTAACTTCAGACAGATTTTTTTTAAATATTTTTTTGAGAGAAGGGAGAAGAAAATGTGTTAATTAGTTGGTTTAGAAATGATTACACTGGTCTATTACGTAATTTAATTACAAATAAATATTTTACAAAATTACAGAATTTTATCAATGGACCTCTTCTTCAGTTTGTGAAATCTATTCAAGCATTTTTAAAAACAATTCAGGGTAAAAGTATTTACATGTTTTGTGTATGCTTAAATCAAATTCGAAAATGTCTTTTGATTTATGAAACAACAATGTTTGAACAAAATACTATTCAAGGTTTTGAAAATGTATATATGCTTTTATTTTAAAATATTTATTTAAAAAATATGAAAAAAAATATTATATTAATTTAATTATTTATTTCATTATTTTATTATTAGGTTTTAAGTATGTATTTGATTAAAAGGATTCAAAAATGTTTGTATAAGTTAGAAGAATATTTGGGTACATTTGATTTAAACGACGTAGATGAACATCCAGGAATATTCATCGATAGAATGAACATTGTTTTAAGTGCATTAAACAACAAAGAAAATATTGAATCTAATAAACTGAATATTGAAAAAATATTATTTCAAGCAATAATTATTGCTAAAGTTTCAGATAAAATAGACAACTTAGAAATCACATCTTTGTCTAAACATGTATAGAAAAATCAATATTTTTGTAATACTTTAATGTTTAAAATTAACGATAATTTTTTAAAGGTTTTAAGTGCTGTTCAGGGGTTTGAAAATACCAATGTCAATGATATGAATAGTTTTTTCCAATTTGATTCTTTATCTTCTTCATTATCTATTCTCGAAAGACGAATTAATACAGCTGTATTGCATCTTATTTTTAAGGTACAGTAAGTATATGAGATGGTCAATGGTCATTTTTTTTTTTTATCTGTTGAAGGGACAAATCCTACTGACATATGAAATTCATCACTATAGAAAATATTCTATATTTATAATTTGTATTACCATTATATTTTGTAATAATTTATGTACCTATTCAATGTTTTAGATTTTTAACGATCCATTTTGTCTAGTTAAACAACTAATAAAAACATGTGGAAATTCTGTTAATATCCAATTTAGAGATTCATCTGATTTATCAAGTATGATTTCTGATTTAGATAAATCTACTGATGTATTAATTCAAATCGGGTTATTTTCTGTAGCTTGTTGTAAAAATAACGAATGTGAGTCAAAAGCATTGAATGATTTACTAACTATTTAAATAAAAATTACAATTAATTATAGATTACAATTAATAACATTTACTATACAGTAATTTATTTTTTAAAAAATTGAGTAAAGCTCTATTTACACACAACAGTGGTGTAGCCAGAGAGGCTTTTGAGTATTGTAGTTATTCATATTGGTTTTTCTTTTTGCTAAGATTAAGAAGGTTATAGACTCCTAAATTTTTCATTTATAAATCCTAGCTACATCACTGTTTACATGACAGTGCTGTGAATATTTTGGGATTCCACCTGCCGTAATTTCTATTCACACTTGTCAGTGTTTTATCTGGGATTGGTATAGTGAAGTATAACTTTTTTGAAAAATTCAATATTTCATTAAAAATCACAGTCTGCAGAAATAATCATCCGCAAGAAATCTCCCAATCACTGAGTACTAATGACGACAGAACTGCTTGTAACTACAGTCACACACTGAACAAGTGAGAATAACAAGCTTACTATTCTTTTGAAAATGCTATTAAGATCGCCCAGAGAAATATTGAAACGGACACAGTACTGTCATGTCACTGCTATGTGTAAATAGACATTTAATCTACCTAGATTTGTATTTAAATTTACAACATATTGATTAATTATGTTAATTAATTAACAAAATTATGTACAGGGTGATCAATCTATCGTAAGACACTTATCTCATAAAGTATTAACCTGTTTTCGAAATTTTTTTTATAAAACATTTAAGAAACAAGCAGTTTTACAATTTCACAATGTGGCAGCATAGTAAGCAACGTTTTAATTATGCACTACCATTCTCCTCCGACTCAAATTTATAAGTTGAATATCTTGTCAACAGATTGACAGAAATTAAAAATATCAACACCAAAATTTATTTTAGTAAATACTTCATCTATTCAAAAATATAGGCTGCCATTTTAAAATAAAAAGTAGGTAGTGGTTTAACCTCCTAAAGAAAGGTAAAAAAAAATAAAAATTTAAAACTTTCTGAGACAATAAGTGTCTTATACTATAGATTGATTCCCCTGTATATATTCTGCTTCTTCATTTATATGAATTATTTTAATATTTTGGTTTATATAGATGTTATTCCTTTGAAATGTTGTATATCAAGCTTAGAGCTTTTAGACAGTGATATGGTACCGGCTATAATTGAGTTTTATTTGGATCCAACTTCTTTAGTGAAAAAAACCTTTTTAAAGATACTTATAAACCACTGGGTTTGTGAAATTTGTGAAATACAAAATCTTCTAGACAAAATAATTGACCCTTTCGCATATATACAAGTAAGTTTTCTACAATTTAATTTTTTTAATTATTTAAATTACCAAATTCAATTTTTAATTAGACAACCGTTGAAACTTCTGTGGATATTTTTGAAACAATTATTAAAAGCAATTCCAAAATCAAAATTGATTTATTTTTGAAATTGTTAAATGGTTTTGTCAATTTTACAAAGTATATTGAAAAAATATTTGTTACTGAAATGTCTAAAGATAATGATGTATTTAAATTCTTTAAACAATACAAAAATGGTAGGTAATAATTTATTTTCTTAAATATATATATATGATAACGCATTTTGATTATGAAAAAAATAAGTAAACATTTTATTTTAGCTTTGGAAGAATACAAATCATGTTTAATTTTTACTCAACAAACAAATTGTGATCATAATGGCATATCTGCAAACAAAAAATTACTTAAAAGGTGTGAAATTGTAATTAAATACTTAAAGAATATTCAAAATTCAGTTTGCAATATCCTGGACAATAAAAGCTGTAAGATATATTTTAAATATTTTTTTTTTACTATTATCTGGGTTTGGAAGTTATAGCACTAAAAAAGTTTGTTTTTAGCACTTAAATATACTTTGAAAAACATCAAAATAACCTAAATAATCTAAAAATTAGATAATATGCTAAACAAAAAATATTATTTCTGAAGAAATGTTTAAATGTAATTGAGTTTTTAAATTTTTCATTATTTTATTAGAATATGGCAATAGCCGATTTTCAACTAATGTATAAATAATTGTACTTTGTATGGATCTAGATTATTTTCTGTTAACATAAATATAAAAAAAATTTAATTATATTAGGGTATGAAAAAACAAACAACCATACTTCGTATGATGGGAGGTGCCACTGTTGTAGGTGAATAGTTGGGAAAGTCAAGGGAAAATTTAATATATAGTGTGCCCCCTACCGTGTTCAATAGATTTTTCTAGCACTGTTAATATTAAATTTTTTTTTTTTCATTTGGTTTGTCTTTGGGGAAGACATTGATTTGGAGAAAAATTTAATTTTTATTCTCATCCCTTAAAGATAAAAAAACAAATAACTTTATTTGTTCACTTTAGAAAATGTTCAAAATGGCCATTTTATAAAAAATATTCAAACAATTTTGGTGTATCATACATTTATATCCAATGAATAATTTCTTAGTTATAGTTTTAATTAGGCGTGACAACAATTAACTTTAATATTCAATAAAATAACACGTTATGCAATAAGGCATTACAATCAACACGATAGTTCTTTACTTTCTATTGAATATTGATTGTTTTCATGCCTATTTTCTAGAAATTATAACAAATACTATTCATCTAATATGAATGATACTTAAACATTTTTAGAACAATATTTTGTACGTAATTACTATTTTGAAAATTTTCTTAAGTGAATAAATAAAAAGTTATTGTTTTTTTTATGGTCAGGGAATGAAAATGAAAATTTTTCTTTACACCAAGTCATTGCGATTTAAATCTTCAGGCCTCTAAAATTTTTAAATGTTTCTGTGTCAGTTAACCCGTTTAATATTTTTAACAACACCAAGAAACCGCAATTATTTTTCAGAACTTGTTCAAATTTCTTTTGAATAACTTTTCTACGTTGATCACGTAGAGTTTCAAAAACTATTTTTAAATATATTGAACTTTCTTATAAATATGAAATCTAAATCGGATTATCCTATGCAACCAAAACAATTTTGAAAATAACCAAATTATTGTTAACAAACATAATTATGTTTAATTATGTTTAATTATGTCCAATAACAACCAATTATGACTATCTTCTTCGGATGAATTTAGTCATACTGTTTGATAATTAAAATTTTTCATTGTATAAAAACATGGCAAAAATAACACTTAAAACTCAGAATTATTCTTTGAGAAAATCAAAAAATGACTTTGCTAATGTACCATCCCAAGAAAATTTCCTTTCTCGAAAAGAGTCTACATTGTATACATTAGAGTAAGTTTTCTAGTAGAAAAATTGTTTACATAAAAAATAAAATCTTTGTAAAATTAATACATTCTTAATAAATATATATATATTAAAATATATATATATATAAATAGAACTACTAAAAACTACTAAATATTAATTTTTCTCAAATTGGCATAAAAGAGACTTATGGTGTTTTTTTTAGAACGACAGTATACAGTTCACTTATCTAATCTAGTCTAGGAGAAAACCCATATAACAGTGTATCAAATTTACTACCTATATTTAACAGATTAGTGAAAACCAGTAGTCCTTTCAAATGCTGCGGCACGCAATTTAGACCTATTACAGAATATATGTGTACGCAACTCAGTCATTGACCAACATCACATTTTTTGGTCACTCAATTCAAATTCAGCTGTGTATGCGTATAGATTTATTTTTCATATTCAATATAGTTAACTAGAAATAACTGCAATAAAATTTTACAGTTCAACGATTTTTAAATACTTCTATGATGTCTTGCATTTTTTTTGTATGTACAATGTATTTATATATTTATTAGTACCTAGTTGTCTAAAATATTATTTTCACACTCTAAACTCTTTTCAACAAATAGTAAAAGAAAAAACATGATTGAATTTATATCTTTAATAAATTAATCTATACCAAAAAATAAATTCATAACATATTTATTTGATTATAAAACTAATTGGTATACATTTCTTGAAACTGAAATGTAAACATATTATAAATTATATGCAAATAATAAAATAAATAACATTCTCTAAATGAAACTTTCAAATTTTTGTTTAGTATCAGAACTTGAAAACACTAATTATATTCTGTCAAAAACATTGCATCCTTCCATGACATTAAACAATGACACTATTGATGATTATGATGATTTGAATTTAATATTTTCAACTACTCAAGTTCAAAAATCATTCTACAATATATCAGATCGAAAAAAATTAAAATTGGTTTATCCGAAACATGATTATTTAACTAATGTTGATGAAACTACTTATGGAAATACTATTACTATGGATCTCACTAGTAAATTTAAAATTTTTATTAATTATTGTTAATTCAAAATATTATACTTTGAGCCATGCCCATATTTAAATATAGTAATAATTACCATAAAACATTTAAATATGCAACCATTTATACAATTTTTACAATAATTATGTTTTAGATATCTTAGATAATTTTATTGAAACATTGAACATAAACAGTAAAACTGCAGTTAATGTATGGGATGAAATAGGTATTGACATGCCTACAAGAATAAATAACCATGGAAATATTGGTAGTATAATTTAGAATTATTAAAATACTTGTTTATTATAATGATTATAAAAAACCATGTGTGTGGTGTTGGTGTAGTATAATTAATACATTAATGTATATCTAGTTTTTTTAAATAATTGTGTCTAATTTAATGTATTTAGTGAATAAAGACAGCATACTATGCATATTATGCTCTTCAATCTTTTTTTGACTAGTTTCGTTAAATAATTATAGTTATATAATTATTTGGTTTTTTTTTTTTATTGTATCTATTTATAATTAGTAATTCTTATTTAATTGTATTATGTGTTTGTTTATTTTAATTCTTTATTCATCTCAATAAAATAAGTTTCTTATTTTCTAAATTTTAGTTTTATATCATTAGAAGACTATCACTTTTGAAGTAAAATAAATTTTTACTTTACATATTAAATATAATTACAAAAAAAATACTATTTTTTTTTTTTTTTGCTAGAATGTTCATTTGATCAATTTAAGATTAATTTTTAGAAATCAGTATTTTGATAATAATAAGGTCCAACAAATATTTACCCAACTGTGAAAAAAAAGTCAGGTCTAGTCTGGCAACTTCCTGAATTATATATGTCATAAATCATAATAGTAATTAGGTCCGGGGAATGGCTATGTGATGCTACCTATTGTCATTACCACTAACATTTCCAAGTTCCAACAAAAGCGTTATTTTAAGAGGACCTACTTACGTTAACAGATTGATTTTATTTGTTTATATATTGTAAATAGCTACTGATAATTGTATAATTTATTTATTGTTTACAATACGGGTTGAAGCCTAATGTAATAGCATATGGTTCAAAACAAATTGGTACATTATTTTTATGGATTATATATTATATAAATTATAAATACAAAATTATATATTATTATTTTATTTTATGGTTATCATGATTTAAAATAATACAATCCACGGTCTTAGATTATCTAAACTATCCACTATCTAGAGTGTAGATTCTAGGTTCTAGACCAATAATCTAAGACAGTGATCACTGTTCTTTTAAGATAATGACCGTGATTTAAACCGATGATAAAATAGATTTATTTTGTCAGGTACAACGGTACAGTAAAGTTCCAAAATAGTATGTTATCACTTAGTTGACTGCATATAAGCATTCCGTACATGAGCTTGGCACATGGATTAAAATCAAGCTCTACGATTGGTTAATTTAAATATACCGCTAAATAATTGTGTAGTCAGTTATCACGGTAATAGCTTAAATATTTGTCAGAATTGACTGGTGCATTATGCATTGATTGACGCTTAACTGGTTACCTCATTAACTATTATTTTTTTCGAAGGTTGCCGATTACCGGTACCAGAGAGTGACGGTTGATAGAGTTTTTACTGTACTATTCAACCATCAATATTTGATGATGTAAATTGTCAAATTATTTTACTTTTTAGTATTATGAATAAAATTCACGAAATAAATAAAAGAAGCGGACATTTTACAAATCATGTAAAAACCAAAAATATGTAAAATAAAATGTCTTGTTTTATTTCAAATCACGTGGAACAAATTCATTACGATTTGCTCTAATTAAAATATCATGTTTTAATACAAATATATAATTGCATATAAATCTCAGCATTGGTGTGTGACGAGGGGGGAAAATCCCCCCTCATTGGTTTAAAATATAAAAACAAGAGTAATTTAATGTCGAAGTGCATTTATTTTAACCAATTTACGAGGATAAACTTGACAAATTTATTGGAAATTAGCCTTTTTTTGGGATCTGGCTTTTAAATTACCAATTCCCACATTCGATCTAAGTAGAGAAGCCAAATTTATGATTTTTATTTGCTACATCCTTTCCCATTGATAATTCCTGGGCACGTCACTGAATCCCAGCCTTAATTATAACTAATAAAAATATTAGGAAATTTTGAAATTCGCGGGTATCGTATATTGTTAATAGGTGGTGCTGATGCGACATTTTTTTAATTCTTGATTAATTGGTGCCCGTGCATATTATAGTACACGGAGAAATATAATATATCAAGGACCAAGCGTATCAATGTACCTTAATACAGTATCTATATTCGTGACATACAGTAGATAGTATAATCGTTGTTATACAACAAAATAGATATATTGTACAACAGATATTTAACCGCCATAACCTAAAAAAAATTGTTTCTCTGAATGGAAAAACTCATTTGTTTTGTTTTCATAAAACTATCAAATTCTTATGGTATAAATTATTTGAATGTGTGTTGTATTGTTCTTGTTGTGCGTTTTTTTTTTATTGTGAAAATTTAAACGAATAACTATGAATTATTGAAATATAAGTATTTATTACAGCAACAAATAGTACAAATTTAAGATGGAGAGTAAGTAAAATTAAATCTGTTTATGAATATTTACTATTGAAATTCTGACCATTTTGTTTTATGAAGTCTGGCTCTTGGCGTAAACATATCGAAAAACGTCAAATATATATTAATTTCCGTGTTAATGTCCCAAGATCAAATTTTCCCATTTCTCATTGAGATACCCTCGTTTAGTAGCGTGCATTTGCGGATTTGGAAAAATGGCAAATGTTCACTGACTGTGTCTTAACTCTGAGTCAAAACTAAACATACAAATATTAGATAATACTATATAGTTTTTCTATTCATGTATTGACCTAATAAAACACATTAGTCAAAAAATTAGATAATTAAAATTCTAACTATAGAACTTTAATAAGGTAAGGGAAAATGTAGGGGTTGATTTTTAATATTTTGACTTTATTTTTCTCAAGCTTTTATCATAAATGTCACTAGTATATTAAAATGTATTTGAAATTATATATTTTAAAAGTTGTTTCTACTAGACCTAACCATGTAAGGAATGATAAATCAAACCTCAATATAATCAAAAAAATTGTGCTGCATACGTTAGTAAAGTTGTACTTTAATAGGTAGAATTTATTGTATGTACTTAACTTTTCGGTTTCATTATGAAAAATGTAAAATGTGTAATTGAATTATGCATTATTAAATAGAGAAGAAAATAATCTTTTATTTAAAATCAAATTTTGATTATATTTTTAATTTTAGAATTTTTATAATATTTAAAATAGCTTAGGTACACTGGTGTCTTTAGCAAGTGACTGATTAATCAGTTGAAAAAGTTAAACATTAAGTTACTAATGGAAACAAAGTTTACAATATTAATAATTTTTGTAACTTTATGACTAGTTAAATTCTATATTTTAAGATATAATGGTTGTCCTAAACTATTTAGTTTGCTAATTTTATGTAATTTGTTCTCTTTTTATAATTATAAAAATACTTTAGTGAAACTACCTATGTTTTATATAATATTAATACAATTTTCTTAGCTGAATTGCTGCAAAGTTCATGGTCACCGTATACAGAATTATTACCCGTATTGGAAAATATCTTTACAAATGAAAGACCAAATGTAGCATTTTTAAAACGCATTTTACGTGCTGCAAAACCTCATTTTTTGAATGTCTTTAAAAATCCAGTAAGTTCAAGGAATTTTACCTATAATTTTAATGTATAAATAATAAATAATTTTATTCAAATAATGAATTAATTGTAGCCAAAAAATGCCAAAAGTCGAGAACAAATTATGAAAGTGTTGGTAGATGGAAAACCAATTCAGAAATTTGAAATGTTAGCATTACCTAAAGAGATGGCAGAAGAAGTACTTATTCTTTCAGATATGTATGATTTGGATGAACTTATGTCTTTAGAACTTTTAAATACTGGTAAATATATATATAAGTATAATTAACAATTTGCACATGACATTAAATTATTTTAAAGTAATATCTTTGGTTGGAATATTATTGATTGAAAACTTAATTAAATTATAATTATGTAACAGCTCGATACCAAAATCCAAAATATCCAGAACTTTGTCGAGGTTTAGTTGCAGTTTTATTGTATTATAATGCACATCGTATGTTAGTGTCTTCTTTAAGACTTCTTATTGAAGGAAGTACTGGTCGTACTTGGGTTCCACGTGTAGATCCTGCATGTGCCCAACATCTTGGCCAATTTGTTGATCAATTAATGAATGATGGATTATTTATTAACATTATAAGTAATTTGATATTAGAAATTTATTAGGTTTAATAATTTAATGCTTATTGTTATATTTTTAGTTTTGTTGGAGTGTAAAGATTTGTCTAAAGAAATTGAATTGCTTCAAAAAAATAAAGCTATTGGTGGTCCCAAACATCATCAACTTGTTGTAAGTTTATTTACTGAAATTCGTTCTATGTTAGCAGAATGCATTTTTTATTATTCTATTCAATTTGGACTATCAAAACAACAATTAATTATGTAAGTTGAACTAATTAAAATAACATTTGAAGACTTCAAATTAAATTTAATACTATCATCATTTATAATATAATTTTTTATATTTTGATCTATTGGTTATATTTCATTGTTAATTTTTTTATAAGGGTATACATTTTTTTTTGTACGAATGACAATCTTAATACTAGACCATGTTAATTTATTTTGATTTATTTAGTTTATTGCAATACTTACAAAAAATAAAGCCTGATGTGGAATCACAAGGAGTTGTTAGTAAAGTGCCTTTATTTATGGTAACATCATTTTTATATGCTATTGACTTGGATTGTATGAATAGCACCCAAGAAATTAGTGGTGGTAATTTAAATATTTGAGAATATATTTGTATTATATATTATTTCTTTAAATATTTTTTTTATTAGATGCTAAGGAACAGTTTTTATCTTCAGCTCATGCTGAGCTTATTGCAAATGATTGGGAATGGCCTGAACTGAAAAGTATAGCTATTTTTGGATTAGCTGTTGCATTTGCAAAATTACGTTCTTCGCAACATGTATTTAACAATAAAAATTTATTTAAAATTGATGAAACATTAATCAGTAATGCTATGGATAGTAAAGTATTTCGATTTTTAAATCAAAACGTTGCTCCTTCAGAATTTCTTCATTATGTGGTATGCATTTTAATTTTTACTTTTATGATTTAACCATAAAATATTAAACTTTTATTATTTAGAAAATCTCATTAACTTATTTAATTAATAATACTATTCATGTAATTTGTTGTTATGACAAAAATATCATTTAAAATATTTAGCTTCTTTTTTCTTCTAAATTCCAATTTAGTTATAAAACTTTTTGATTTCTGCATGTTTTTCATGCCTTTTATTTAAAGGTACTTTAATACTATGATCTAAACAAATGAATGGCCCATTGTAAATAATCTGGTCTAAGGTGCATATATGCATTAGTTTTTCTTTAGAACATTTCTTTCTGATAACGATAAAAAAGTAATGATTAAAGAAATTATCTGTTCTCTTTGAATAATGTCTGCATAAATCATGAACAAACTAACATTGAAAATCGTATAACCGAATGTCTACAAAATTTGTCTTATTTTTGGACTATAGTATAAACACACCTTAAACACCTAATATAATTTCAAATATATATTACATTGTATAGTTCAGCAGTTATTGTTCCTACAAGAATTTTATAAATATTTAATATTTACTTAGATTTATACTTGTACAGTTTAATCTCTATCTTATTTGGTTAAATAACTTCTACAATACTGAACTTAGAAATTTAAAATCTGGCCTCTTAAAAGCATGTTATCGAATCTCTGTATAAATAATTATTTTTATTATTCAAATATCATTTTAACATAATTCAAATATGACCTAATATATAAATAATTTACAGGAATTTATGATTAAAAAATTTCACCAATTAGTCACAGAATTTATTGTAATAATGCCATATACTGTTAAAGAAATACGCAATAAATCAGATGAAATAGCACATACAATTTTAGTTTATTACCAAGTAATTATATTTTTAAAATTATATAAAAACTACCTTAAAAAAAACAATTATTTTTAGGAAGGATTAGAGCCTCCAAATAGCGAAGAAAATCATTTTGAGCAATTATTAATGTCTATGACATCATTATATGCTAAAGACCCTTTAAATTTAAATCTAAATTTAGACTATTGGCCACCATCTCGTGAGCAATTAAAAACAATAAAAATGTCTTCATTTTTAACGGCCCAAAAATTTCAAGCATCATTATACAGATTTATTTGTCAAACCGGTGACATGTTGCCTCATATGCTTTTTGTACCTTATTTGAACATGCTGAGCTCATTAGCTATATCGGAAACTGGAGCTGAAAATGTGTTTAATCACTTTCATTCAAATGCAACTAATTCAAATCTCACTTGGGATCACTTCTTCAAGACTTTTTTAAGATATTATACAAACTTAAGACAAGAAAATATTCCTCCAACTGATACTGTATACAAAAGAAGTCATCAAAAAGGCATTACTGCTCTTGAAATACAAGGGCTCCAAGCTGTTTTACAATTGGTCAGAAATGTAGCTAGTTAGTATATTATAATTAATTATTATTATTATATAGTACGTGGTATTAAATTACTAATTATATAAAGTTTGGTAATTATTGAGCAACAATCAATTGATTTTTTCATTTAATATATTTATTTATATTTTTAAGAAAGAAATAATAAATTAACTAAAACTTGAAATATTTAAAATACATTTATTGAATACTTTATAGTAAAATGTAAAATTTACTAGTAATAATGTTTTTCATTACTTTACATGGGTCCAATTAGATCTTATTGAACAATTATTTGATAAATTGTTTTGGTGCAGGCCAGTACTAGAGCAGATGCTACATAATATTTTTAAACCAAATTTCAGTATTGATTATTGTGGTAAATTAACCCGGTATATGTAGCATTGCTCTCATAAGTTGTTGATAAAATATAGAAATTTCTAGTTAGTAAATTATGATGGAAACCACTATAACTAATAGCACTAATCTATAACTCACTAACATTACTAAGCTAATAAATGCAATAAAAACTTTGTATACTCTTACAATTGTTAATAAATAATACATTTTAATTTTAGAGCATAGTATTAAGTCAAAAATATCTTTTGTGGAACATTCTGATTGGGAAACACTTCAGGTTCTATTGGGTTTAGTATCATGTCCAGTAAGAATTTCACTAAAGGCAGATTTGATTTTGACATTGGCTACTTTAGTTAAGCCACCACCACCTACAACAGCCATAAATTTTTGGCAAACTCTTGAAGCATCTCAGATGATTGTAACTGTACCAACAATTAGTAACTACCAAAGTCGTGGTATAATGGTAAATACTTACTGATTTAAAATAGTTTATATAATTTGATACTATTTTTATTTCATCTATATATTGTTATACTTTTTTAGACTGAATTGGATGATATAGAAACTCGCAATGAAGAATATCCTTTAACAATTGCTTTATTGACATTGTTGTCTACTCTTACAGAACAACCAGTTCCAATTCTTTTGGGTTCAAGTAACCGTAAACCAGGATTTGATCCATATTTAAATTTTGTTTTACACAACATCTTTTTGAAATGTCTTTCAAGAGGTTATAAAAAACAAAATGAAAAGGTAAATTAAATATTGTTATTGTTAATACATTTTAGTATTATTATATATTTTTTAACAGTGGGAAGTAAGTGGATTATGTTTGGAACTTGCATTCAAATTTTTGAACCAATATGAGCCTCAGCAAACTGATTTTGTTGGTAATAGTGTAATGTTGCCAGACAATACTACTATTATTGTTAACCCACCACCTGGATTTCATATTATGACATATTTATGCACAAATTCTGACTTTTTAAAAACTGTAAGATCTTATTTTAATTATTATTAATTAAAGAAATAGTAAATTTTATTTAATAATATAAATTTTTATTTTATTTATTTAGATATTAAATATAATGCACACTAGTTGTCAAATGTTTGATCTTTATTCTTCATTTAGTGGTAAAGAAGAATTGGAAAAAACATCATTAATTGTATTACGTATTTTAGAACAGGCTCTTAGTTTGCAACAAAGGTTTTTAAATGCATCTATTTCTTGTGGTTCACCTCTAATATATACTGGATTACATAAAACTCTTGTTAGTATTAATGTAACTACAAATGAACCGGATTATATCATCGATTTATCCAAGTATGTATAACTTTAAAAATAATACAAAATTCATAATTATATTTTGTTCTTATTTATAGGTTCATAACTTATACACACTTACCAGAACATTCCTATCACGCAATTTGTATTTTAATTAATATAACTTCCTATCCAATACCTCAGTCACATATGGTGTCTTATTTTACTTCCAATCCTCAGCTTACAATTGCTATTCGACATGGATTTGTACAGTGTTTAGAAGAAGAAGAATCAACAAAGGTATTCCATTTATATATGTTAGTAATTATGTATTATTAAATTTAGTTGAAAAAGAGTTAAAAATTGTTTAATATTATTTACTATAAAGTTATAGGTATATTTGTTATATTAACATTCATTTAAAAATAATTACATTTTAAAGAGTATAATTCTTCATTTATTTTATAAAAAATATGAATTCATTTGAATACAAACAATAAGTTCATTAATTAGTTAAGATAAAATTTAGTTCATTCATTTCAATTTGAGATAATTAATGTTTACAATTTTAATTTGATCTCTTCCTTAAGGTATGTTTCCCTGCAATTCCACTATTTTGGCACTGCAGGAAACCTTTAGACTGTTATGGTGTCTTATAATTGAATGCTACTTAAAAAAAAAATGTATATATTTATTGTTTTCTAACTTAAATTCTGTTGAAAGGATAACCTGCCCCAAATATATTTCAAGCAGAACAAACAGTGCGGTATTTATCTGATGATCTAAGTACAGCCAAATATTGTGTGACAATCATAAAATATTAATTACTATTAAAAAGAAATCACAACAAAAAAAGTTTAATTTTGTCAATTTCTATAAACTTTATTATGTAACTGAGACATGACAATTTTAAATTTTGTTACATTTTGTTCTTATACCAGGAGACAACTTCTCGGGATATATCAATTTAGAAAAAAAAAACTTAATTTATTCGACCCACTCTAATACGTACATCTGTTATACTTATAACATTTGCTTTTTTAATAAAAAAAAAAAAAAGATAGATATTATTTTGGGCATTATACATTTTTTCATTTTGTTTAGTTTTTAGAAGAATCAAATGACAAGTCTACTGTAAAAAAATGTAAAGAATCCATTTTAAAACTTTTACTGCAATGTTTGAATTCAGCACCTCCAAATTTGGCCCATTATTTATTAGGATTTAATTTAGATAATGTGCCCAAAACATGTTTTGAAAATGCTGGTAAGTTATAAAATAATTAAATGGATTATAATACATAATGTGATTTATTTTAATTTAAAATAACAAATATATAATAGGTGTGAATGGGAATCCTCGAAACTGTTTGCACTCTATTATTGATATATTAGATGATGCATTGAAAAGTCGTAAAATTGGAGGACTTGGTAAAAATCATTCAAAGTTATTAGAGTTATGCTATCAACTAATATATATATTAGTTTCAAGTAATCGGACATCTAAGCCTGTGTTGGTATATTTAAAATCACGTAGTGACTTTGTTTTACGGCATGCTTCTGCATTGCCATTTTATTCCGAAGGTCCTAACAAAAAAGTGAGCTGTAAGTAATTTTAAACCACCCTTAAAATAATAATTTATATTATAATTATATTTCATATTCATAAAAATTTGTAATGACTTTTATAGGTAGTGATTTAATACAAATGAATTGGTTGTTACGTATAATTGCTGTTGAAATTAAAATGCATGTACATCAAAATTTATTGATGACATTGACAAAATTGATACTATTATTTATTGGAAATGCAGACAAGAGAAACAAGTAAGAATTATAAAAGATATATTTTATTGTATCTTCAAAATGTATTAATAAATGAATAACTTTAAAGTGTAACTGGGTCTGAATTATTACAATCTCAATCATCCAACAATTTATTTGATCATTCAACCCTTACACGAGATAACGGTAAATTTCTAAAATTATTTAACTAATAACCTTTATTTACTGTTTTTAACAATTTAATACTTTTAAATAGATCAAGAGGATGGTAAAGAAGATGGTAAAAAGTTATTAAGTTTATTGGGAATTGTAGACCTTGAATTTGAAACAACTTTCGAAGATATGCCAGAATTAAAATACCTTGAATCAAAACTTATTAATCAAGTAAAATTGTATTTTGTTTACATAAATGAATAAGGTTAGGTTATATTTCGCTCATCAAATGTATCCATTCAATAAAGTTTGAAAGACCCAGATGAATAATTGTAAGGTGAGCCGGTTATTGTTACTAAAAGTGACTATTTGGAGGAACTTGTTCTGAACACGCTCAATTATGTCACTAACATCAAAAGTGTTAAGGTTTCAGAGAACTGAACCGTATCCAAGAATGGGGCCAATAAGAACATAGTTAATAGTTTGAGTACCATAAGGAGGTGAAACTATCAGGATATATGATTTACAAACTTGATGGAATAAATTAATGAAATATTGTTATATTAGTGTCTAAAGTTTTAAGATTTGAGAGAACTAAACCATGTTGAAGGATGGGGCCAATAATTACACAGTTAAAGGCAGGTTCATACAAATCATTATTTTCCTTTACGGAATGTTTGTGTCCACAACAAATATTTAAATACTCTGTCATAATCTATACTTTTTAAATTTAAATATTAAAAATAATATTAAAATATATTCTACAACGGATACATTTAATGGTTACTTGAAATACCCATCTATGCCGGACAACATGTTCATACGGTACATCTTTTTTTGCGTGGCAGTCTGCCGCTCTTTTCTTTGATCTAGACCATTTCCCAGGCCAATAAGAAATTATTTCCATGTGGCATCAAAAAAAAAGTGTGAAACAAATTTTGTGCTGCGTGGCCTTGCTGCCCGGCAAAAGATGCCCCTTGTGAACCTGCTTTAAGAGATCGAGAACAACAATGAGGAAAAATTCTTGAAAATTATGATTTATTATCTTAAGGGAATACAATTTATTATATGTTTGTTAATAATGAAATTTATTAATTATAATTGCTTTACAGTTATTAAGTGAATGTGAAATTTCTGGTAAAGTTCCTTTAATAGATGTTAAGAAATTGCATTCTGTATTGATGAATGAATTAAAAACAATAGATAGTTCATCACCTGTAAAAGCTAATTTGCTTCAGGAGATTCAAGTGAGTTTATATATTTTTCTTAATTGTGTATTAAATAATATTCAAAACTATTATGTTTAGGAGTTTTTAGCATATGCTGTAAACATTAATGATAAACGTCTTCAAGTTAGTTGTATGATTAAATATTTTGACTCTTGGCATCAATTAACTGCTGTAATATTCAGCATGGCTAATTTGCCATCCATGGAGTTCCAACAAAGATTCACATTTGTAATTGATCTTTTAGTATCGCTACAGATTAAGGTTAGTAGTGTTATGCTGTATAAAACAATTTTCTATTATGAAATATATTTCAATTATGATTTAAGGTGATTCGTTATCCTCAAATATCAGATTTATCAACCCTAATTACAAATTCTCAATTACTTTTACTCATTAATTTAAAAAATACTATTGATAAACATTTGGAACTTTGTATTGTAAATCCAGACCTTAATTTAGGGTCATTTGTTACTGGGCAATCTAGTGTGTATTCTAGTATGCTTCAAAATATACTTAAATGTATACAACAATCCGGTATGAATAGAATGTATTATACAAATATTACAAAACTATCATTACTAATTCTTTTTTTGTAGGTACTCAAAAACTACGAGCAAGTTTGTATTCTTCATTGATAGCATTGATTAATCTTTTGGCCACTAATAGTCGTACTCTTACTAATAAAAATTCTAAACAAAAGAGCAATTCATTGAGTGTAAATCAACAGATTCTTGATTCTGAATCTATTAAATTCATTAAGTCTTTAAACTTTGATCAATACTTAAGTGAAAGAATTTTAGAAGTAATTTGTGTTGACTTAACATCTGGTCATGATATTTGCAAAGTAATTAAAAATACATATAACTAGTATTATTTCAAATGTTATTTATATTTTCTTTTTTTTTAGGTACTTTCATACACATTATGTGAACTTTTAATCGATATTAACCCAAAACTTATTAGCTATATATCTAATCAAGGTTATCTTAAATGTATTATATCTAGTCTTTTAGAATCTGACTCAGAACTCAAAGATTTGATTTCAACAAAAAATAAAACTTTGAAACCCATTTATGTATATGAAAATAAAATGGTATTTATATATTTTATAATTATTTTGAGTTTCATATTTTAACAACATTTTATTCTTTAGAGTTTATTGAATAAAATTGCTACCTACACAACTGGTGCTGATGCCTTACTTAATCATCAAGCTATAGCATGTTTGTCATCAGTGAAAGCCATTGATGCTCATCCATCCTTTGAAACAAGGTAATTAATTATTAAAATATCTTGATTATTATTTCAATTATTTTTTAATTTGAATACAGTATTCTATCATAGACATTATTTATATGAATTTTGTCTATATTGATGTTTGTTCAATTAAGTTGTGTCAAGTCTAGTCTAAATTATTTTATTGCAAACCCGTTAACAATATAAAACAGATATATTTTAATAATTCAATGTAAGACTTAATTAATTCTGGCTACTATATTTTTATAAATTGAAAACAATAACAATTTGATTTTATTTAATATGTTAGCATTTATATTTATTTCTAAATAAATAACTAAATTAATACAAATAATATCTGTAATCTAAACATCCCAAATATTTCCATTTTCATATCTTCTTTTCTGTTGCCTTTATCCCAACTATTAGGAATCTATCACTCATTCTAAACTTTCACTTGATCAGATCTCCTAATTTCCATGTATTATTCTCAATCGCTTCCAACCATTTCTTTTTCAGTTTTTTTGGAAAGGATGGTATAAGGAGAAATGCTGACCTATATCTTGCATTTATTTTCATTACAAATCTTACTGCTTCAGATTCTCTTTCTCCATATGCTCAAACCATCTCGTGTCTTTTTTCTCTCATTTTGTCCACTATCAGAGCCACCTCAAATCTACCTCTTATGACGTACTCATCCTTTTCTTATCCTTCTGCTTGTCCACCTAAGCATTCTCATCTCTAGTACATCTGTTATATTTTTCTGTATACCATCTAAAATTCCGAATCATACAACATAGTTAGTCTTGTTATACTTCTGTAGAACCTAACTTTAAGTCTCATTGGAATTCCCTTATCATATGAAACACAAAACATTTAACATTTCTTTCCATTTTATCTAACCACACATAATCCTATGTTTCAAACATTCCCATATACCCAAGTTCTTAAGCTAAGGAAATGCATAATTGTATTTTATTTTTATTTTCCTGTTAGTTATTTGCTATTGGGCAATTGTTAACTTATCGTTATGGCATAATTAAATAATTATTTATCGAATTTTTTTTTTTAGTATTAACTGAATATTATTTTTATGTATAGTTTTAAACGTTCTTTAAAAGAATTTATGCCAGATGAAGGTGATCGATATATGATGATATGTGCACCAGCAATGTGCTTATGTCAAACAATCATAAGTACACTGGGAACCCAAAATATGACCGCTATTCTCCAAGTAATATATTTATAAATTAAATTAATTTTATTTTGATTTATTATGCATTTTTTAGGTTGTCTATTATTTGATTAGTCATCGTGATATTGTAACCATTGCCCTTACAAATTCAGCCCCTTTATGTGAACAATGGTATCTTAAAGAACTTAATCAATTAACATCTTTATTAGTTAATGTAACTAACGATGGTAAGTTTTAATAATAATACAAGCAATTTTTTTTTTTTTATAGATTTCATACATATAACGTTTAAATTTTGAGAATTTTTATTAATTAATTTTAATATTTTATTAATGACCCAATATAAAGTGGAGCAAGAAGTGTATTGGTTTTATTGTATGCTTTTCTTTTCTGTCAAACATTTTGCTACTCAAAATATTGATCTGATATTTTAAACTGTAGGGGTGGTTTCTGGTAGCAAATCTTGTTTAGTTAGTGCTTTGATAGATCATTTTTGATTTTTCTTTAATGGTTAAAAATGTTTGTAAAATTGGAATATTTATTATTTACACATTAATGATTTCTGGTTTTTTAGATTCTGAGCGGAGTGAAGAAGCTTATGATTTTACTAAGTTGTTTATTTTTTTATCCGTGGACAAATTTTCTGAAAGGAAATCGGACTGGGGAGGTACTTTAAAGAGGTCAATTTTTGATTTTCCAAGAAGTTTTTTTAATAAATTAGATCATAACCTTGTTCTCCTAAATTAGAGAAGGCACAGGGTGCTGCACGCAATGCAATTTAAATACTGTATATTTTCATAGTCATTAATGGGGGTTGAATTAATACATGCACAAGTATTAAGTATCTTGACTAATTAATGAGAAATATCAAATAGGTACTGTTGACTGACCAATTTTACCAACATAGCTATTCTACTTCATCCAATATGATTTGCTAACAGATATGACACACTTTGTTTATAATAATAACTTAAATTAATAATTGTTTTAAATTATTTATAATATAACAAGTAGGTAATAATTATAAATTGCTTAATTAACTTAATTATATTTGTGTTTCAAATTTCCTGGGTAATGTGTACATTGCTCATGATATAAGATATAAGCTGTTCAATAAAACGTTGGATTTATTCTCATTATCTTAGGAAGTATTAACTTCGTTCAGAGTTTTATTTTTGGAAAATCTAAAAAGCAGCAACTCTAAGATGTTACATTTCCTACCTTTATATTTGGTGGTGAATCCATTACCACAGTTATTTTAAAATGGTAACATCTGTTAAAAGTTCCAAAAATAAAATGTTGTAGTTTCACCTACAAATATAAAAATATAGTATTTTTTAAAGTTTTTTAATTCATAAATTGTCAAAAGAAAAAATAAAAAAGAAAAAATAACCTTTCCAGAATTAATTAATTTCTTACGCAATATTGATTATTCTGTGTATAACATGTGTATTAAAATTGAATTTTAATATAAAATATTTCTGGCTAATAATCTTAATTATTATCTTAATTATTAAATTTGTCTCTGATTTTATTTCTTAGATAAAGGTCATTAAAATACATATAATTTGAAGCAAATTGAAGCAAGGGTGTATTGGTTTCACAATGTTTATTTTTTTTTTATCTGTGAATAACTTATACCAGCAATTATGCTCTGGTTTTGAGTTATAGCACTTTTTATGAAAGGAAATCTGACTGGGATGGTATATAAAACAGGTATTTTTTTGATTTTCCTAAAGTTTTCTTAATAAATGGGGGAAAAAAGGTTAGGTTAGGTACAATATTAAACAAATATTTGTGCCTAATTATATTACCATAATATCATATATATATTGTTAACAAAGCATCACTATTAATCAAACTCTGCTCAGAATCATTTATCATTAGCAATGGTTTATTGTTGCTTACAGAAATACATTAAATTTCTCGTTTATCTTCCTAACTTCTCATGTGACACAGTGGTTCAACCATCGTGCAAAGTATTGTCTTCAAATCTTTTTTTTCCATATGTGAAATTAACAATTTTGATAATGAACTTGCTAATTATTAATTTTTCAAGCAATTTTTTTAAATCTTAAATCTAGAACAATTTTAAGTTTCAAATAAAATTTAATTCATTTTTTTATTACAAATTTCTATTTTGCAATGATACTAAAAAAATACAATAATAAATTAAATTATTTGAAATTTTAGATTGTTCTAATTTTTATTTAGTATTCAAGGTATAAAAATTTCCTTTATAAGACAAAGTTAAATTGTTGTTTCTATTTAAGAAAATATTATATGAAAAAACATTTCAAAATTAACAACTAATAAATATGTATAAAACACAACTAGGTGAAAGTTTCACTTAGTTTAACTTTCAAAAGTGAAAATTTAAAATAGTGAAATTACAATAATAAATATTCATACAAATTTGGTTCAGTTAGAAAGGTTATAATTTCAGATTTGGATGTCCAAGTTTGAGATCCACTCGATTGCTTCCGGTGTAGCCATGTAGCGGTTGTTTTTACCTTTGTTGAATGATCAACTATATGTTCAATTGTTTATATCATACTTTCGCTATCACATTCTGGTGTAGGTCTGAGTCCCTAGTTACATAGCATTTGTCCAGTTTTACCATGCCTTGTTCTAATTGTATTCCAAGTAACCTAGTCTGCGCTGCAAGTGGAACCCTGGTTATCTGGTTGTTAGATTTTTGATAAGGTTAGGTATTTCTGGGTTCTCGTCTTTCCATTTGCTAACCAATTTGACAATTGGGTTGAAGCCATCCGATCGTTGGCTTTGATTGAGCAGGTCTCCAAAGTGGTTTACGAGATTTTAGTCTTTGTTTTTGGTTGTAGTTAATATCATTATTGATTGACATGCTATTGTTCGAAATGCATTTATTCCATTCCCGTACAAGTGAATTCATTCTATGTATATTTTGAAGTGTTATATTCATTAACATGGGGGGGGAGAGTCATTGTATAGGTGTTATAGATTTTATAGTCCCCGTTATAATTCTCATTGCATTTAGTTGGATATCGATTTTATTTATGTGGGTAGAGTTAATCCAGACTAAAACGCAATACTAGGCAGTGAGTAATAGCTAATGCCATTATTCTTCATGTATAAAGGTCTGATCCCCAATTAATATTGGCAAGTTTTCTAGTAATAGTTTTTTTTTTTTTTAGTTTTAATTTTTGCTGAAACCTTTGAAAAATGGTTTTTGTATGTCAGCGTCCTATGCAGTCACTTCAAAGTATGACAGTGTATAATTGTTAGCTATTTATTTTCCATCGAAAATAATATTTATTTCATGTTTAGCCTGTCTTAACGTCTTTGTTTAGGTTGTCAGGTTTTATGATTACTAGGATTTTTGTTTTCTTGAACTAATTAGGGAGTTTCCCAGTTTCTAGGATATCTGAGTAAAATTTTGCTAATCATTTTCAAGTCTTAGGCCCAGTATTTTTAATAAATTTTGAGTAGATTTCATCAAGCCCAGTAGCCTTACCTATTTTAATATTCTTTATTGCAGTTTCTATTTCATTTTCTTCAAAGTTTTTTTTGAAGCTAGTTTTTGCTTTGCAGCTGTTTTTAGTTGTACATTACAGTATACATTAGGGTGGTCATTAACCTATAGGTATTGAAAATAAATGTCAAATATTTGAATTCACCGGCTCAGAATTCTGTTAGGTACATTGTAAAAATAATTTTTTTAAGTTATGGATATGATGATTCAACCCCTTCATGTGCTTCAAAGGGGTTGAAGTAAGTATAAAAAGGGGAGTTTTTACATACATTATTTTGAATTTTGAAGACACAAAAATTGATCAAAAACTGTCTTTTAGTAAAAAAGATTTCCTACATAATAGTTCTTTTTAATTTTTCAGTGAAATTTACCATTATATGTGAAAAATCAATTTTTTGCTTATAATAGTAAGTTTCTCTGATATGTTAAAGATAATTATTACATAGGAAATCATTTTTTATTATAATAAAGTGTCTGATAAATTTTTGTAGGTTAAAAATTAAAAAAAATCATTATCTTAAAATTATTTTCTTCCATATGTGTAAAAAAAATTGATTAATATATTAATTAGTTTGTTTTTTTGTAAATAGATATAAATTCGGAAATAAATTCAAGTGGTGACAAAGATATTGCTGGGTTATTCCACCATTACAGTGTTTTAATGCGAAAAACCTTGATCAGATTTTCAGTTAATTTATCTATAATACGAGGAATACGTAAAAAATGTTCTGAAGAATCTAGTCCTAATGATGGCGATACAAATGTTACTTTATATTTAAGAGTTTGTAAACTTTTCAATTTTTAAAAATATATTTAATCATTAACTTACTAATAAGTTATGATTGCATTTAAATAGATAACGTTGAACTTGTTAAATTATGTATCAAATTTAATGGATGGAGGATGGGCATCTGGAGGTCAAAAATTTAAAAGAAGGATTTTGGATGTTTCTGTATACGCTGACCCATTTAGTTTTACTTCAAATGGTAAACAATTATTAGTTTTCAATTATTTTTGTAATAACATCACTTTTTTTTAAATTTAGATGATTTCAATCATGCTAATGACTTGTCAATGGGTACAATTGTGACAACAATGATTCAAACTGTTGAACATTATTTTATGCAATTTAATAATAAAACAAGGGGTGAAAATAAAAAGTCGCCTATTCATGTAACTATATATTATGCTTAGTAATCTAATTGCTAGTTCATCTTTAAATTATTTGAAACTTAAATCTTAAATCATAGTGTATATAATACACTGTGAAGAAGATATATTATACTGAATATTTCATAATTAAGAGTAGTTTTTTCTTCATCATAATTTATCATTTATTTTAATTTCTGAACTATTTTATTTAAATTATTTTAGTTGTTTGGTGAAAGTAATAACGAGGTTGATTTAGAAAAAAGTAAGGATATTGAAGGTGATCAGAGTCAGCGTATACTTTGTAAACAAATTGTAGAAGTATGTCTATATATTTTATGGGCTCATACAGATTTTTATTTTATGCATAGTCCTGTTCAAAATGTGCATCATCCAAAAGGATTAAATAGTAAGTAAATTATTAATGAAATTAATTAATTGAGATTATACAATCTATTTGTTTATGGTTTAGGATCAGGTAGTCCAAATCAAGAAGAAGAAGATGGTGTGACACCTAATGAATTAAAAGAATTAAGACAGGGCTTGGTAAAAGTATTTAATGACGCATTTCTTGAAAAACTTTTCGCATTAAATGAAGTAAGAATTTCTATAGTATTAATATTAAATATAGTGTGTGTACTTCAGGTTTGTTTTAAAATACATAAATTAAGGAATAATTTATCCTACAAAATATTTAATTTATCTTCACAGTTAAAAAAGTCTCCGTTTTTAAGTTAGATTAGTATTAAATGTTAAAACAAAACAAACTTTTAAGTAAAATATTATCTTGGTTGGTAAACTACAATTTAATATTCATAATCGAATAGAAAATTGACATAAAATTTTTTCTAACCCTGAAGGAAGATTGTTGTGACTATATTTGATTATATAATTCATTACAATTAATTACTTTATATATGTTAATGACAATACATTTTTATATTATCTTGAGCAAATATGTTTTAAAATCACTTTAAGTAATACATCAATCATATGGATTGTTTGATATGTTTACAAGTTACAACTAGTGATGGATTTACCAGCTGTTACTTATAAAAATTCATTCACGTAGACATTTATAACTCAAAGATTTTGTGAAAGATAGATTATTGATGTAGATAAAGTGAATATACTCTCAGCAATTAGATGTAGTAAAAGATATCTTAAAAATGCTAATATGATATTTTTATGAAATTTTATTTTTTCCATGCTCTCCTAAATTTTTCTATTTATCATTAAGTTTTATGCAAAAATAAAAGTCTAGGTACCTAGGTTGTTTATGTTGATTGAATATGTCTAGGAGAAGCCAATATTAATATATAATATTTATCAGAAATATTAAATATAATAAAAATTGTTTCATTTGTTAAATCCTTGTGGGACACTGTATATGTGAAATCAGCTATTTTTTATTTTGTTTGAGCAAATTGATAAGTGAGACATATAAAATTGACTTTTAGACTATGCAGAAACAAGTTTCAAACATGGGTTTTGGTTCCCTACGCACTAGGTATAAATGGCTAAGTCTTGTGTGGCCACATGATCTTCTCGTGTAGGGTAAGCTTGATTAAATGGTTTGGCCATTTTTTGGTTTATGATTTTATTTTTCTCATTGGGTTTGCTACTGGGAGGGGCATATGATTTTTAGACCATGAATAACGTCTTTATATGTTACACGTGTGTATGCATATTTTGATTTCTGGTGTTCTTACTGCTTTAGCTGCCAATTCATCAGTGTGTTTATTGCCTGGAATGCCAATAAGGGATGGAATCCACATAAGTTTGATAGTTTTGTTGTGAGGATTATGTTTTGAATGCTTCAGGCATAACTGCATTTGGCATTTGTGTTTGAGGAAATTGCACTCATGGACTCACTTAGGATGAGAACATTTTCTTTATCAAATATGATTATTGAGGGAGAAATGGCTTTAAGTATTACTATAGTTTCTGTAGTGTATATGCTGTAGAAAGAGGCAAGTTTGGAAAGAGTGGTTTTTTTGTGCGTGTGTAGTGTTAAAACTAATTTCATTGAATGTATTAATAATTAGTCTGTGGGGAGTATCTTTTTTATTGAGTTAGGTAAGTTCTCTATTGGTTTCTATGTGGTTTGTGCTCCATGGAGGGATTCTTGAGATGAATTTTGTATATTTTATGTTTTTAATTTTAAACAATATATCTAAGAGTATGTCATGAAACTTTATACATAATGGTTTCAGGAAATAGTTTCCATCATGTTTATTTGGAGAATAGATATCTTTTTGTTTGCGTATTTAGTAAAAAGGAATTTTCGTCTGACATCCAGTGGTAAGCAGTTGGCTATGCATAACATACCAGCCACTAAACTTAAACTGAATGATTTGATAACCATTCTGATTTTTTTATAATATTGAGTATTTTCATAGTGTTGATGGACCTGTAAATGGTTAATCTGTAGGCTAATGTAGATTGTATCAAGGAGTTATAGAAAATTAGGTGTGGTTTTGGATTCGTTCCTCATTTAAAATAACTAATAGATTTAATTTATTCAGTTTTTTGCAGTTGAATATATTACTTAAAATTTTTCAGGGGGAAATTTAAAACCTGTTTCTGAGGACCATTGTTTGATGTTTATTAAATTTTGTACGAGCTTGTTTTGATGTTTAATCTTGAATAGTGTATGCTGCAGTCATCGGTGTATAATTTTAACTGGAGGTGCGATGTGTTTGCCAATGTCATTGATGACTATTAGAAAAAATGTTACACTCAGCGAAGATCTTTGGAGGTTTTAAGAGCGGACTACAATTGTTTATTTCAAAAGGGCTTTTGCCTAGTTTTGAAATGGGAATTATATGTGATCTCTATTTTTTGATAAACGTGTTATTAATTCAGATGAGATTAAAGATTATAAGTAAAAGTCTAGGGATGATTGAGACAGTTTTTGATAAAAGAAAAAGGTAATCCGTCGGGGCCGGTGTTTTGCTCCATTTTTTTTTTTTTATAAGTTCTTTGATTGTAAGGAGAGAGTTAATATTTTATGTAAAGTTCTTCCAAGAGTTAGTTTTGATTAGTTATTTGTCGTGAAATTGTATTTGCATGTTTTTTAGTTTAATATGGTCAATTTGTAATTTTGTTTTTGTTTTCTTGGAGCGATTTAGTGCTTTTTTTGTAGTTTTGATTGCTGATATGCTGCAATCCTCATTCCACTAGAGACTTAAGTTTGAAATTATTGAATAGTCTGTGGTTGAACACGTACTGACTTTTTAAATTAAGCTAAATTAAAAGATTATTATTTAAATTCTAAGTAAATTAAAGGATGAGTTAAATAAAATTATGTCTATTCTTCAAAAACATTTAAAGCAGTAAAAAAAAAAAATCCATTCATGTTTGGTAAAAAGTTTTTAATTATTCAATATTTTATTAAGTGTATTCAACATTTTGCGTGTTGTTGTAATATATCTTTTTTTTTTTTAAATAAGTTTTATATGAAATAAATATAAAATATTAAAAGTCGGACTTTGACCAGCCAATCGAGGATAGAAAATCAATTGATTAAAAATTAATAACTGTAATATAATTATAATCTTACATCTAAAATGTATTTTATTATTTATTTAATTATATATTGATCGAGTGCCAACCTTAGTAAATATACATCAGACGCGCGTTTGAGCAATTTATTCAAATATGAATAATAATTCTAAAAGATGTACATGTACTATTTTTAACTTCTTATATTATTATGTCATTATGTTATGTCTGGACTTTTTACTAATTATGTTAGCAAAATATATAATTGCTGTTTATTTTAAAAAAAAAAAAACTAATAATAATAATTTTTTTACAGGACAAGTCTGAAGATACATTTGTACAAGTGATGGTTCACAGGATCAAAAAACTTTTACAATTTGTTAGTTCATAATAAAACTTAAGTAGTTATTTAAATGAAGTCTTATGGTTTTATTTACTTTGTACATTTATATAGAAATATTTATTTCATTTTATACAGTTAATATAAATTTTCAATGTATACATTTACAACTCATAAAGACTCAAATTTGTTTTTTATAATATTTATATACAATATATGATAATAGAAAACAACATTTCCCTGTAAAAAAAACTAATCTAGAAATTATGGTTCGAAAGTCTTTAAAAAAGTTCTTTCATTAAAATAAAATAATTATTTTTAATTTTACTAAAATTATTATTATTTTAATAAAACAATTATAGAAGAGAATAATGTGAGGGAAATGATGGAATTAATTCCACACAAAGTCCAAGGGTAATTGATAAAAGTAACAAATCCCAACAGTTATTGGTTTTACAAAATAGTCAATTGAATAATAATTAAAAAAAAAAAAAACAAAACTTTGCAACACTTGGAGATCACAAATAAATGTTAAAAAAACATAAATTCACTTTTTTTTTTAAATTTATGAATCCAGTTTTGTTTTGAAAGACTAGCAGCGTTATTAACCTACAGAAAAAACATGTATTAGGTCTTATCTGGTGGGCCAGCGATATCTTGATCTTCCAAATCGCTATGTGAATTTTCATGTTTGGCTAAAGGAATGGCATCAACAAATTCTCTTGTAGTAATTTCAATACGACGTAACCATGACACGCGTTCATCTTCATCGGTTTCATCATCATCATTCATATCATTTTCCCCTAATAAAAAAAAATACATATTCTCTATGATTATATGATATCTTGATATTGAAATTAATCTTTAACAAAAACAAATTTAGACCAATTGATTGTAAATTTACTAAATCAATTTTTATTTATTTATTTATATTTTTTTCCAATAGATTTATAAAAATATTTATATAACAATTTTGATTGGATTTGTACAATTTTTAAATGGTGAAATTTTAAAAATAGACTAATATGCTTAGCATGATAGATGGATCACTGTTGTAGATAAGAAGTTAGTAAGGTAGGATTATAGAAGAGAATTTAATGTAAGCAAAAATTAAATCATTGCAAACGAAAAAAACGATTCTGAGCGGAGATTGCTTAAAAGTATTTCTTTTTCAACAATATTTAAATATGTTATATTATGATGGCTTGGGTCTTTAGGGACCCAAAATGAATTTTTTTTGAAGCCCAGATTTAAACTTCCAATCTTGGGATAAAATTGACTTTATTGACAAAAAAATTGAAAAATTTGCATGGACCAGAAACTAGTTTTGTTCCACATAATTTTTTGTCAAAATTTAATACTAAAATTCTTTTTTAAAAAAATATACAATTTAATGAACTCTTACTGTTAAATTTTCAAGCACTTGTTTAGTCAAACAATTTTATGCACAGAGAACCTACTGAACAAAAATTAGGTAAAAACTCACAAAAATTTAAATAGCTAAACTTATACCACATTTCGAAAAAGTAATTATAAATTTTGTGTCCAAATTCAAGTCTACAAAGTCCATACGTAGATTTTCAACTGAATTTCTATCAATAGCTCAGAAATTTTTTAAATGTTTGGAAGTATCGTTTTCATAAATGTTCTAGTTTTTCTTAAGTTTTATCCTAGGTTTCCCTAGATATTATGAGAATCACTTGGAAAATCAAAAAACTATATCCCTAGAATACTATCGAGCCACAATTTTCTTTCAGAAAGGTGCCACACTTACATATTGAAACAAGATTTCTGGTAAATATTTTAGTCAAGTATAAAAAAATAAACATAATTGTAAAATTAATACATTCTTTGTTACACATAGAATCTAAAATTATTGAATCAACCGTTTTATTCTAAGTGTGTAAGTTATAAACTCATTAGTTTATGATTAAACAGTAAAAAATTGAAATACATGCAACATTCAGTCATTATAGAGTAATGAGATCCATTATTTTTGAAAAATTCCAATAAAGTTATTTTCTCATAAAAACAAAAAACATATCTTTCTTTATTACTTAATTTGCATTTTCTATGATTTTTATGTTTCATTAGAGTTGGATATTGTATTTTATACATTTTTAATTAAAATTGATTTCCTGGTTTAACTTATTTTTTGTATTTATCATACAAGAAGGAAAATGTACTCTAAAAACATGTGCTTAAGTTTAAATAAATAGTTAATAAAAGTATATTTAAGTGCCACACTATACGGTTGTGAATCTTGGGTACTGAACAAAGTGCAAACAAAAGCCCCTTGAGAATTTTGAGATGTGGTGTTGGAGAAGAATGTAGCAATTTAATTAAACAGAAAGAAAAAAAAACAAAAGTGTATTACACAAAATAAATGAAACCAGGAAGTTAATCAACACTATTAAGGAATAATGATGGAATATGATTGGTCATACGCTGAAACACAAAGAGAGTTTCTGTATATAATAATAGAAGGGAAAAAAATGGAAAGAGATAGAGGATGAATAAGAACATCATATATCAAAAAGGTGATTTCAGATGCAGGTTTAACAAATTACAAGAAATTTAAGAGGCTAGCTGGTGATAGAAATGAGTGGAGAATGTATAGAAAACTGCAAAATCCATCTTAGGCTTGATTTATTTAAAAAAAAAAAAAATGTAAAAAATATGGGGGGTTATTTATACACGCGAAATAATTCACTCACTAAGCATGCTCACTCAATTTCATTTGTTAAATTTGGTATATATTCAAATTCTGATTTTAGGAAATTATACATAAACATTTTTTAGTGGGGAAGGGAACTTAAAATTTAAAAAAAAAAAAAAAATCAAAATCGCCATTTATTTTCTACGATTTTTTGAAATTGTTACAAATGTGAATATTAGAATATTTAATCAATTATTAGCACTATTAAATATATATCTTTAATTGTGGTTATCAGTCAGGGCACATGACAAGGATTTTCTTTTAAATGAGCTAATATGCAATAATATTGTCATATAGGTAATATCAACAAATCAAAAATAGTAGTTTATGTTGATGATAAGCAATATTGTTATGAAAAGATAATTATTCAAATTTCAAAAAATCGTAAACAATAAAAAAGACCATAACTTTAACAAAAGTTTCAACCACTATAAATTTTGAATTTTTTAAAAAATTGTAATTAAATTTAAAACTTTTTACTTCAAGTTCCACCTCCCCCTAAAAGTAAAAAATCCTATGATTATTGTGAATACATCTTACAACTGTCTCAGTATAGATTTACCGTTCTTAGTACAATTAAAAACTGAATGAAAAAAAGATTTGCTTTTAAAAGAGATAATTTACATTCTATTCTAACTTTTGAAACTAAGTAATATTTATAAACGAAAATCAATTTATATTTTTAGTTCAGATGCAAGAATGTGTTTTGTGAAAGGATCGAATACAGAGATAAACAGTTAGCATCATAGAATTTATATAAAAAGTTTTTAATATGCTCTTAATCACTTTTGTTAATCACTTTTTTGTTTTTTTGTTGATAATAAAAATAAAAAAAAAGTTCATTCTAGAAAAGTTTTCTAAGTAGTCTACAGTGTAAAAGTTAATAAATACTAATTTAGTAGATTAATTTGATTTTAAAGTGATAAGTCATAACAATACATTGTAAAATTGATTATTGAAATACAATATTTTCAAATATGACTGTAAACAATTGATAATATGATTTCTTAGTATATACAACTAAAATTAACAAAAATATGGACATACTTTACACAATGGGTGCAGCCACTGTTGTTGGTGAGAAGTTGGGGAGGTGGGAATAGAGGGAAAATTAATTTGAATCTGTAAGTAACATTAACCCATTGCTTACTAAAAACAAGCAGAGTTCAGTTGAAAGTGATGCTTTGTCAACAATATTATGACATTAATGGTAAAATAATTAAATAGACATTATATATTATCTATAATAATATTTATTTAATATTTTACCTATTTTTCCATTTTTCGAATGTTTATCCCATGTTTTTTTCCTCGGAACTCCTGGGAAAATCAAAAAAAGACCTCCCTAAAGTACCTTTTCAGTCAAATTTCCTTTCAGAAAAAGTGCTATCATTGTAAATTTGAGTAAAATTGCTAAGTAGAAAAGTTGTTCATAGGGTAAAAAAAGGTTGAAATATTCTTCATCTAATATATTTCATACATTTTCTCAATTTTTCCTTTTTATTGGGAAAACTGCCAGGACAATCAAAAAATAATTTCCTTAAAATCCCACCCCAAGAAATTTTTTTTCAGTAAAGGGCCTACATTGTATACATTAAAGTAAGCTTTCTGGTATAAAGTATTTAAGTAAAAAAAAAATTAAAATAAAAACAACCTTTTTATGAAATCAATATTCTTCCTTACACTCAGAATAGTTATAATAATTGAATGTTTAAGACTAATTTATAATGAATTGAATGAGTATGTTCTTTCTAAAAACTTACTTAAGAATTGTTTATTATTATAATGCCTAGATATTTATGAGTAAATAATAAAATGTATAATTACCAGATGATGACGAAGGATAAATTTTGTCTAGTAAATTCTGAGCTGCTGTTTTAATTTTATTTAAAACAACTATAAGGTCATGTACAGGCGGCTTAACTAAGGAGCAAACTCTTAATGCTCTTAAATTGGATAACATCCTTTTTTCAACTACAAGGTCACACAGATTTTCCAAGTCAATTGGTAAATTAAATATAACACTTTCCAATAGTTCAAAAGTATGATGTGAAAGTATACTAGCAGCCATCTACCATAAATATAAATTAATTAATCTTGGAATAATTTTAGATAGTTCTTAAATATAATTAATTAATATTACCTCTGGAAAAAACATTCTAACAAAATCATATATTATATCAATATTTAAACTGAGACGTTCTTCAATAAGGGTAGATTCTAAATAATCCACAAAGTAATTATTTTTTGATAATAATCTTAAGTATGGTAAATTGGGTACCTTAAAATAATATATAATATATATAATTAACAAAAATTACAAAGAAAAATATTTACTATTAAAGTACTTACATTCATATTATGCACATCAAGCCAAAATTTTGGAAAATAAGTATGATGCAATGGAATAGATTCGTATCCAATCATAGCATTAAGTGCTACTAGAGGTTCAGTTAAACAGTCATTATTTACAGCAGTACGACACATCACATCAATGAAATCGTGGTAAGGTGCATAAAATGCAGATATTTCTGCATCATAGAAAGGATCACAGCCCTTAAATATTTTGATAAATTAATCATTTTTGTTAATATATTTAAATAAATTATTCTTACTTTAGTCAACTCTAATTGGTTTTGTGTTAAAGCCATTTGAACCATAGGCCTAATAGGCCTAGTATTTGATTTCAAACTAAGCATGGGTACTTTATGTCCTCTGCGGGGAAAGTAAGGGCCAATAGGCATTCCATTATTACTGTCCATACAAACAGCATGACAATGTGTTAAAATGGGCTGAAGTACATTAATTACTTCAACTGGCATTATAACAACAAGTGCTTTGAGTAAATCTGAAAAATAGTAAATTGTTATTAAAGATTGGACTTTATATAGATTCATAGTTGTTTTTAATTTGTAATATTAAAATATGATAATGAATATGTAAATTTGATGGTACTAATTTTAATTACAGTTAATTTTACCATTAAATATTAATATTTGTACTTTATAGAAAACAAATTCTTTTATAGCATTAATGTAAATTATATTAATTAATTTTAAGTCACAATAATGTAATAAACCAATATGACTTTATAAAAATAATAATCTTCAAACAAAGTATTATAAATTTATATTATATTATAATTAAAAGATGAAATATACTTTAACCAACTTGCATGAAATAAAGGAGATTGGAAAGAAAAAGATTATATTTAATAATATATAGCTGATTATTATTACCTAAAACAGATTGTCTTATTTCTTTAGGATTGTAAGTATTAAGTAGTGTAACCAGTTTTCGTAACATATCTGGCCATTCTTTATATGTCAATATTAAAGTACGAGGTGTTTCTTTTTCGACCAATTTTTTCTGTTCGTGAACCCTTTGTAAACATTTGGTGATATCAACAATTAAAGAAAGCATATCAATTAAATCACCAGTGACATGACATGCAGTAGCTTCATGGTACATATTGTGTAATGTTTGAAAACCCTAAAATACCAATCAATAAATAAAAATTAACATTATTTAATTACTAAATTAAATTATTACTTCAAAACACATTTCTAAACCACGACTATGAATAAAAAATAATTTATCATCGTCATTTTCTAAAAGAATTTTAGCAACTGGTATTAATGTTCCCCAGCCAGCTTTTCCATCTAAGTGCGAAAGATATAATGTTGTTATTTCTCGTCTATATTGATTTATTTCAGCAATTTCTTGTTCTGTTGAATCTGGATATTTCTTTATAAAAACTTGTAGTAGCTTAAACAATTCATCAACGGCCTAAATAATAATTTGAAAAAAAAAAAATTCAAACATTGATCATATTAAAATAAACTAAATTATAATTAAATTACTTACAGCAGCATATTGGGTTGGGTGAGGAGATATGTTCTTGAATGCCCAACTTACATTTTGATGTCCAGCTAACTGTCTAGCAAATATTCTAGAATGTTGACAACATATTCTTAGAACGCCATAATATGCTGGTAACATAGTGCGATTGAAGATAACCACTTCTTGATCATCATGATCAGCTCTAAAATATAATGTTTTTATAATTATGTAATTTTTCATTATTATACATTTTTATTTTAATTTCTTACAATATATAATTGAATGCTATATTTTTGACAAAATATGGATCGTGAACAAGTATTTGAACATTTTCTATGCAATCAGTCAATACATTATAGAATAACATCAATAAGCTTTGTTTATTATGATGAATTGGTATAGCCGGTTCAGAAAGTTTGGGGTGGAATAATTGCCAAAGTTCAACCAAATGTGGTCCAAACTGTAATTTATCAAATAAATATATTAAATTAATTTTACAAAAACTGTTTATTCAAACACAAGATTAATTTTAAAATATTTCTCACTTATTTCTTGAGTTACATCGGTTTTGTAATATATAATTAAAAAAATAAGAAGATGAAAAATATTTCCACAATAATTATCATATTATATAGAACATAGATGTTTAATTTATTAGGAAATTATTAGGAAAATCAAAAAAATACCTCTCTAAAGTAGTATCATGTAGATAAAATTTCCTTTCACAAAAGATGCTACACTTAATACATCGGAGAAGGATTTCTGGTAAAAAAGTTTGCACATCAAATGGAGGGATATATTTTGATTAAAATAGTCTAAGCGCTATGAATTGGGTCTGTAATACACCTAAATAGACTTGTAATGAATGAACTGAAATGTAAACATTTATTTTCAGAACACGGACTTTAAATCGTGATTACAACCATTTTATACTAAACTATCATGTCTAATTTTTAAATAAATATAATAAAATTGTTACAAACTAAAATTATGATCACCTAAATATTCAATACCTATCTTTTTAATTAAAAATTTAAAAAGCTGACATAGAATAATGGAGAAAGGTGCAGCCACTGTTCTAGGTAATTTAATGTATACATGTAGGTGATGATAAACCATTGCTAACGAAAAAATAATTCTGAGTGTAGTTCAGTTGAAAGTGATGCTTTGTCAACAATATATGTCATATTATGGTAAAATAATTAAAAAGGAATTATATATTTTCTTTAATATTTTTTTAATGTTGTACTGATGTTTTTTGGTTTTTCACATTTGATGAGAAAACTCCTGAGAATATCAGAAAATAATGTTCCCAGAGTTCCTCCACACACAGATTTTCTTTCAGAAAAGGTGCTAAACTTAAAAATTGAAGCAAAATTTCTAATAAAAAGTTGCGCACAAATAAAAAAAAAAAACATCTTTGTAAAACCATAAGCTCTTTACTCCACTCAGAATCTAAAATATATATTTTTGTAAAATTATAACACATACAATTAAGGGCTGTTTTTACATTGCATCATAAAGTGTTTGTTGAATTTGTCTGATTAACATCAACAAATATTTTACAATATATTGTAAGACGATTAATGTTTAAACTTCTTATCAACATACAGTTCTTTTTAATATAATTTATTTTTAGATTATGAATGTTGTGAGAAACTCACTGGTTATACTATCTGTAATTCATTTCAGTTTGCTAAATACAATTATAACCCGGATAGTTCTTTTTAATTAATTAATAGCTATTTGACATTTGAGATTTTACAATTTAATTTATGGGACTAAAATTATTTTGTTTTGTATAAATTCTAAACAATTTTAGGTTTCTGATAAATTGTTATTAAAATATAATATAAATACAGTGATTTTTAAAGCACAGTAGCATTGTACAGTAAGCATGCATTTATCCAAATTGAAATTTGTAACTGTATTTATAGAATTTTCTGTGGTGATATCAATTTTAGTTTTTCAAATGAGTATCTACACATTTTAATGCAAATTGTAAATCAGATACAATTTTTCTGACAATATTGAAAAATATAATAAAAATTTGAACGAAAAATGTCCGAGTTACTCTGCTTTAAATACTAATGGTAATAATCTATTAAATACATTGTAAATAGGCATGAGTTTAGTAATATTAGTATATAACCACATGTAATATTAAAAAAATTGTTTGTGTATACTTAAATAAATATTAACTAATTAATATTAATTAATAGTTATTTTATACTGCATACCTAATTATTATTACCAAACTATATTTAGTATTTAACGGAGAATAACACAAGAAACTTTTCATTCAAATTTTGGTTACAATACGTAAATCAACATTTTCAGAAAAATCATCAGATTCACAATTTGAATTAAAACATATATGTTCTTGTTGAAAAATTAAAGTTAGTTAGTATCAACACAGGATACTCCTTAAATATTGTGAAAAATCAAATTATTTTAAAATATACTTACAAATTTTAAAAATCAGAATTTGAATATATGCATAATTTAGCCATACAAATGGGGTGAGCATGCTTAAAAAATAATCATATAAAAGGGTATAAATTCAAATGTTGATAAAACTAATAATAAATTAATCAACAAAATAATTTTTCTTTTTTTTCAATGTTTGTGAATAAAACTTATATGATCACATATTAGTAATCAAAATCGACCTACTTATGAGAATTAGTTTAGTTAATTTGTCTTCAATGTTCATTATTTAACTTTAACCATACAAATTACTTGTAAGTATTAAAAAATATCAGAAATGTTTACCATCAACTTTTCTGTTCTTGATATCAAAAAATAATTGAGTAAAACAAAGTAGGCAGTTAATTTGGTAGCTCCGTGTATAGTTGTATCTGTATATTCTTTAGCCATTTTTAAGAGGTTTAAAAGGAATTTTAATATTTCATGTAATGTTTCTTTTGCATCTGACGCCAATAAAACTTCTTTTTGTAATGTACACATACCCCGTGCTGATCTATATGCTTGACGAAATTGAGTATTTGGAACCAATGAAACTAATAACATACTAGCAGCTACAAAATACAAATTTATTAAGTTAGTTTTTAACAAAATCGATTAATTAATATAGCAAATATAAAATAAATAATTGCAATATTTAATGTCATATATTAACCTGAACGAACTCTGGCATTTCCGTGTGCTAATAAAAACCGTTCAACCCACGTATCCATACCATTAAGTACCCAAGCAGACACTTGTCTATTTCGAGGAACTTGAAGACCAAGCCATTCCAATGCTACTTGGGGACCATTCTCAGTACACTGCCACAAAAGTCTTAATATAAATTCAGTAAATGGTGGCAAACTACCTGTACCACCAACACTTCCTTCACATAATAAAGTTAGCATTTTGAAAAATGGCTGTGTAATCTAAAATATAATAAATATTATTTTTATGCGTAAATTTAAAAATTGATTTTAATAAATAATGATCTTACTTCAGAATTATTAACATTTTTTTGTATGATATTTAAAATTTGGCTAATGATTTCATTAGCAAATATAGTACTTTTGTGAGATGAATCATTCCGACATAATGAAAATATAAGATTTTTAGTCATATGTAAATTTGTGTTATCTTTAATTTGTTGAATTATAAATGGGAAACCCTGAAATTAATAGAACACAATTAATAATGCATTTCATTCAAATATTGATTATCTTAATTATATGTATAATTTAATAATACAAATTACCTTCATTCCTTGTAAAACATATAAATCATTATCTGATAGTTCTAATTGACCATCAATATTTCGAGATTTTTCTACTAATGAAACTACAAGAGCAATTAACTTTTCAAGAGATAAAGGTGGTTTGTTACGATCTGCAGTTGACATCGGAATAGGTTCTTCTTCTTCATCTTCGCAATCAATTCCATTCATATTAGGATTATCATTCTATAAATTGTACACTTTATTTAAATCATTACTCATTTAAATATATATTAATATTACATACAAATTCATGTCCTTTTAAACCCAAGTAAAAATTAACAACTGTTGTAATACATTGAATAACAATTAAAAATTTGCTTTCTTCATCGCCCAATTTACTAAATTCGTGTAATAATGAAAAATATTCAGCCATATTACGAATATAATTTTTAATATTATGTTCCATCTATAATACATAAAATTAATCAATTAATTTAAAAAAAAAAATAAAATAAAAATGAAAAGTTAAATTTTAACATATTAAAAAACAAAAAATTCTTACCAAAGACACTAAAGTACGAATAAATGAAGTTAAGCATGATGCACAAGGTTTCATATGTTCACTTTTATCATCATTTATAAAGGTATTATTGAAGAAACAAACATATGGCCTAAAATTATTTATGATACCAATTTAATAAAATGTTCACAACTAAATTAACAGGATAATAAGTTAATAAATTATAAACCAATGCTATTATGTATAATTTATATTTATCTATTAACAAATTTTTTTAAATTTGTATAAATGTGTGTATTAAAATAATAATATATTGGTATATGAAAACTTATTTTTCAAAAAATCAAATTTCTAAAAACTTTTTGACACTATAAATTTTGAAATGTTACATTATTCTTACTATTGACAAGTTATGACATTTTTGATATCTATTAACCCGCTCAAAAGACATCCCACTTTCAAATTAAAGAAGAGGCTATCTCTAACCTAAATGGATCGTTATTCGAATGCCACACAAATGATGATCTACTTCTCTCCCCTTTACTCAAACTTAAAAGTGCAATATTTTATCAATGGGTTGACGGAAATCACAAACTTCAACACCAAAATGTATTTAAAATTTTAAACTAATACTCCATTTATTTATAGAATTTTAAATATAGGTTGGCTCTTTGAAAATCAAAAATATTTAGCCAATTCACCCCCTAAAAAAAGGTGACGAAATTAAAGATAATGGAATATTTCAGAATATATATTATTATAAAAATATATATATTGTTGTAAGTCATTTATTGAAAGATGTAGCATGAAATTTGAAAGACCCTGTGTATATATATATATATAAATATAAATACATAACATATAACATTTATGATTGAATTATTGTCTTCATTAAAATTTCTTCACATTGACATTATTGAATTGCGAAGAATAAAGATGAAAGATTTAAATGACTTTTATATCGAAGGTATGTGTATATAAGGTAGGTGTAATAACAAATAGGTATGGATTGTAGAGTTGATAATGATATTTTGTACTAACTACTACAAGGCAACAAATTTCTTAATATACTGCTATAAAAAAAATTTGTTATACCGGTTTAAAATAAAAGATACTGATATAATTATTGGAGTATATCAGTATAATAAAACAAATTTTTAACAAATGAGTAAGTGTCGAATCTACATACGATGTAAATTCCATGTGAAAATACATAGTGTTAATTCTATGTAAAAAATATACACATTTTGTTTAAATTAACAAATCTAATATAGTGGATAAATCTATTATAGTTTAATCCCTGAGCTGTGCAGGAATCTATGGTAACAAATGAAACAATGTATGAAACACTAGACCATTTTTAGTTTGCCACTGACCCACTTTTCACCTATATTTTTGTTTAGTATACTGATACATTTAAAGCAAAATTGAAAGAAAGGTAAAAAAAATGAAAAATTGGCACAGATAACGCTGAATGTGGGACAGCTAGTTTATATATTAAGGTATGTTTACATTTTTGCGCTTTTTTGTGCCTTAGATACATGCATAAGCACCATGAGTTGAATGAAAAAGCATGTAATAATGCATGCCTCTTCAAGTTGAACGACTATATTTTAGTGACGCACGCTACAATCTGTACCTCACGCCGTGCCTTATTTTTGATTTCATTTTGAATTTTGATTATTTGTTTTAAAAAATATTAGATTATTTGTTTTAAAATAGCTGAAACCGAAGACTAAAATAACTTAAAATATTTAAAAATTAAAAAATAAATAAAATATATTCATCTAATTGCAAATCATCTATAACTTCGTAATTTCTATTTTTAATCCACAAAAAACGCTTCTTCCTAATTTTTTTATTTGCATTTGCAATAATTAAGTATGCTGCACTAACACCAAGAAGTATATTATGTGAATCCGACATGTTTTTGTTAACAAGCTAGGAGACGACTGCTTTGTGGCGTTGCTGGTGAGAACAGAAAAAAACATAACTGTAAATCGTTCAATAAAGGCATACGCTTGAAGAAATTGGAATTGAATGTTGAAAGGCAAGTTGAATTGAAAATTGAAGAGGAAAACACACAAGTGTAAGAATACCTTTATATATACTATTATTTAAAATTTACCCTATTAAAAGAAGTATAAAAACATTATATGTTACCTATATACTTTTTGGACAATATTGAATAATTACCTTTGTTAAATATTACCAAAAAAAAAATAAATATATTTAGACTTACATTCTTCGCACGTAGGTGGGACACTATTGTAGGTGAGAAGTTGAGAAAGTAGAGGAGGATTTAATGTATGTGTATACATACACAATGATTTATCATTTCTAACAAAAAAAGATTCTGAGTGCAGTTTGGTTAATATTGTTGCTTGGTCAACAATATTTAAGTCAAATTATGAAAAAACAACAATTACATATGCATTAAATATTTTCTTTAATAATATTTGTTTAATATTGTACTTATTTTCCTATTTATTATGAAAAACAGCTGGGAACATCAAAAAATGACCTCCTTAAAGTACCACCCCAGTCAGATTTGCTTTTAGAAAAAGTACTATTATTGTAAATTGGAGCAAATTTGCTCGTAAAAAATTTTATTACAGATAAAAAAATAAACATCATTGTAAAACAAAATACATTCTTCGTTCCGCTCAGAATCTAAAAATTACCAAATTATCTCACTTTGGTCAAAATCAAAAATGAAACAAAAATGCTCTTACCTAGTGCGTTGAATCACATGTAAACACAGCTTAAGAAATGTCTGCCTTATTATTTGGTTTGGACATTTAATTAAAATGTTAAGGGGCCACCATCCTTCAACACCCATGTGTTGCAGAAACCACTCAGAACCAGATTGCGAAGCAGTAAACTGTTTGGTTAATAATTCTGTCCATTGGATTAAAGTAGACTGTAAATTTATAATAAAATAATAAAATAATCAGAATTCTCAGAATACAAAAATACATACTCGTTCTTTAGCATGTATATATGTTTCTAAGAAAAATGCAGATGTCAATTTTGTAGCAAGTTCAGCTAATTCTTCTGTTTCTTGTAAAGATTGTGGAATAAAACAACATATTTGCCACATAAATCTTAAAAATTAAAAAAATAAATACAATAATACATTTTTAAGCAAAATATTGAAGAACTTACTGAAAATAAGCACTTTCAAATATATTTTTATCTTGCAAAAATTGTCTATTATCTTGCCAAATCCATCCTTCCAACTCACTATTTAATTTTATAGGAGGACACATTTCTATATCATTAGAGATATTATGTTCTTCTACTTCTGGATCAGTTGGCTTAACAAGTTCATAAAATAACATATAAGCACTGTTTGTTTTCTCAAAACTCAAGTCCATATACTTATCTGTTACTGAATCATACGTTTTACTCTGAAATTTATTATCTGTTAGACATCCTGTACAATAAGTTTTTTTGAATACAATATTAAATATTTATTACTGTCATTTCTCCTCCAAAACATTCAGCTGCTAGTTGGCTAGCATCAAATAATTTTACTTCGGCATCATTGAAAAGATACCATTGATCAGTACTTGGAGTTTGAGACCTATTTGTACGCTCACGATTTCTTATGAAACTATAATAATGTCCACCATCTGCTGTTCCTGTATGAACTGTAACACCGATAAGTTCATATTGATAGTTTTCTTCTTGTTGCTCTGTTCCATCATTTTCATTCATTTCTTTTTCTTCAAGATAATGTTGGGGCATTAAATGTTTTTCAACATATCCCGACATGTCAAGTATCATAGGAAATGAAAAATGGGTATTCACTTTTTCTTTCATCATGGTTACCATATTAAATGTATATCTCATTGTATTAAAACAAAGAATTTGAGGTAATTTTTTAAAACAAGCTCTGAAATTTAAATTACAGGTTAAGGTAAAAATATGCTAGAATTTAATTTAAATTAGATACCTCTTTTCTGCGCGAACTTTCTTCTCACATTGAGAACAAGTATACATGTTGTCCCCATCTAAAGTATCCTTTAAGGTTACTTCATCCAACGATTCATATAAATTTCTCATATCAGCTACTTGACATCTTACAGTATAAAACTCTTCTAAAGTTCTACTTACATGATCACAATCCTGTAAAATCCAGAAATAAAATGCAAATAATTGTGAATAGTAAAAAAACTGTCGTAAGAGGGAAATTGAGAAGATAGGATACATTAAGTTCAGTTGTATATGTATTAAAATGCAATAATTCTTACAATTTTTGTCAAAATTTGATATTAAAACATATTTTTTTTAAATCAGATATAATTTGCAATAAATCATTGATAAAATTTTCAAGTATTTCTGTTGGACCAAACAATTTTACCCACTTGTAGTGGACAAACTAGACTTACCAAATAAAAACTAAAAAACGTTAAATGCCCTATAAAAATCTATTTATAAATAGCACTGACATGACAGTGCCACGACTGTTCCGGGATTCCCCAAACAAAATTAATAATCTTCTTAAAGGAAAGATACGCTTATTATTCTTACTTAAACAGTACCTGACTACAGTTGTAAGCAGTGGTGCTTTTGTTACTGTACCATCATTATGAGATTTCTTGCAGACGATATTTTATTATTTCACGACAGTGATTTTTAGTTAGATATTGATTTTCTAAAAACCTATAATGCACTATACTAACGTTAAATGAAACACTGATTACTGTGAAATTGCAGCACTGTTGCATCACTACTTTATGTAAATAAACCTTAAATAATTCAAAAATTTGCTCAAATGTTTTGAAAATTTCACCAATTTTAGAAATGGTAATAAATAAGTATTCTTTAAAAAATACAGATCTCTAAGACTATATTTAACTGAATTAAAACTAAAACAATAAATAAAAAAATAATAAAACTGTGTTGATCTCATAAACTTACCCATATTCTCTTTTTTTTTCTGCATCACTAAGTAAACTATACAGAAAATTAAAAAAATGACTTCCTAACTACACTAACTATATCTAAAATTTCAAAAACAGTCCCTTGTGATTTTTTGAAATAAACAAACCAGAGATCAAAGGCACCCCATGTATAAAGGCCCTATGCAGAACCCCAAAAAAGACATACATCCCGAAGTAGTTTTATTGCAATTTCAAACGCAACCCAAGACCCTTCCCCAGACCAGCAAAAACAACTATGAACCATATAGAAGACAATAAACAGATCAAGAATAGGGGTAAATAAAACAAAAACAAACATGGTGAAATGGAGATACCAGGAGGAACCAGGTATATGCGAATGTGGCGAGATTCAATCAAATATCTACTACAGTGCGCCCATGCTACGCCAGGATGCACAATTGACAACTTGGCATTAACTAACAAGAGGGCCACATCAGTAGCAACTTTTTGAATCAAACAGAATGTATAAACCTTTATCTTATACTTTAGTTTAGTTATTTTTTATAATCTTAGCACCACATACAATAAGAATTATATACTGGCTATATGAAAATAATGTATAATTCTTTTTTTAATGTAAATTGTTATACAGTAAAGACTGTGGAATATATTATATCTCAAAAAACATGTATATGATATAAAAGTACACATTATTACAACTACATGACATGTTATAAATAATATAAGTTTATTTGTCTTCCTGTTTGAGTGAGCATGTGCCACTTACTTAACTTACCTAGCCCTGATTTGTTACCACCAATGTTGACAAACAGTCATTACTAATAATAACTAGTAGAAATATTTAAAAGTTTAAAATTTATTTATTAAAACTATTAAATTCTTTAAAAAAAAAAAATATTATAATAATAATGCAATACTAAAATGTATTAATATACAGAATAAAAACTAACAACGCTCAATGCTCCAAGTCTGAAGTGTACAACTGTTATATAATTGAATTAATACAACTATTTTAAATTAAAGTTTATATTAGAGATTAAAGTTTCATAACCAATCAAATAGATAACCAGTTTAAGAAATTCAAAATTGTAATGCATAAATATTGATAATAAATGACATTCATTGAATTAAAAAATTACTGAAAATAGGTGTGCATTAGTTTTACTGACATTATCTTATGACAGATCTGACATAATCAGTACTAGAATAACAGAAATTTCCGATGATGACGGTAACATATATAAATATACATACATTAATCCATATATTAAAGTACTAGTTTAGTACATTCTAAAATTATCATAATTTTTTCCAACTACTTTAATTTTATATCAAAACAAAGTACTTGTCATTTAAATATTTCAGAGAAACAGCATTAAAAAATATATTATTGGAATATTTAATACTAACCAATGAAACAACGTTATTACTAATGACACCTCCGAAAAGAGTTTTAACAAGGGTTTTTAATTCAGGTGTCATTTCTTCAAGTTTAGATACAAGATCAATAAAAAATTCAGCCATGTCTTTTTGTTCACCAGTATTTAACAGTTGATGATCCATTGTATAAACTTTACAGAAACTGCGAGGATTATATGTTTTTCTTTCACTTTCCTAGAAACAATTATTATAATTATGCATATTTATAACTATAAAATAGCTAATAATTTATGACTATACAATATAAAATAGCATAAGATTACAAATTAAATCATTTATTGATCTAAGATTAAGTTATTTACACAAATTAAATATAATAAAATACGAATAAAAAAAAAACACTACATTTCTTATGTGTCCTTATTCTCATATCCAACCAAAGATACCATAATTTGTCTGGTTATTTATCTCAATTTTCTAAGAGACAGACAACTTAATATGCTCAGAAGTACTTTATTTGTTAAATATAAGTACAACTTAATGATTAATTCCATTGTAACTACATAATAAATTTTCAAGTATTTTTGTTGATCCAAAACAATATTATCCACAGAAACTTAATAACATTTTACGTTAAAAAATTGTAAATTAAAAACTACTAAATTATTTTGAAAATTTAAGCCATTTTAACCATTCACTATTTAAAATAGTAAAAGAATGCACTTTTTCTTTCATTTTTTGAATATTCTGCATAAATATATTCATCCAAAACTTTTCAAGAGTCATCTCTTGGAATTCAACTTCAATATTTCATCATTTTTAAGTGAATTAACATTTTTGTACCAAATATAATTTTTTAAATTTATACTAAGGAAATATTTGATTATTTTGAATACCAATATAATCTATAGTCCAATATAGTCAATATAGATATATACTCGACTAGGTATTTATTCAGTAGTATGTGGGAACGTTGATCTCTTTAACTGATTTGATCATTCCATAAATATAATTTTTTTATCAAAAAAATAAGAAAATAAACTTTTTATTTTATTATTTTAGGAAATTTTCAAGATAGCCATTCTGTTAAGTTTATTTTTCTGAAAATTTGAATGTGTCACACATTAATATCCAGAGAAAAATTTCTAAGTAATAGTCGTTTTAAATTCTACTTATCCATGTGAAAACCGAAGTTAGGGCAGTGGTTGCCAACATTTTTATTAGGCCAACCCAAACATTTACTCGTTTTTGGGTATGCAACCCATATTGAAACAATTTTCCCATCGTTATAGGTGAAAAGTTAGGAAAGTACGATACAAAAGAGTATTAAATGTACATCAGTAAGGAACAATGAACCATTACTAATGAAAAAACAATTCTGAACAGAGTTCAATTCAAGATTCAATTTCAAGATGCTTTGTCAACAATTTACTATATGTCATCTTATGATAAAATAATCAAACAGGTATAGTATATTTTCTTAATTTTGTATCGATTTTCTCGTTTTTTCCCGGCTTATCACATTTACTTGGAAAACTATTAAGAAAATCAAAAAATTATCTTCTACGAGTACATACCCAGTCAGATTACCTTCCAGAAAAAGAATGATTCCAGAATCATTATAAATTGGAGCAAACTTTCTGGTAGAAAAGTTGTTTGAAGGAAAGAAAAAGGCCGTAATATGTTTAAACTTAATACATATAATTCGTACATTTTTAGTTTTTTCTCATTTTTATTGTTATTGGTTTTTTACATTTGCTTATTTTCCCATTATTCTTACTAATATATATATATATATTTTTCTTTTTTATTATATTATATTAGAATAAAATTTATTTTTCTTTCATCACAACCCATCAAAAATATTTCACAAACCCAATATTGTGTTGTGATCCATAAGATGGGTAACACTGATCTAAGGAATAACAAGAATCACATTACGCAATAACATCGGTCACACAGATTAATAGAATTTAAAAAGCTGTCTTGTTAGAAACTATTCATCAGATATAAATGTGAGATACATTAAAATTTTCAGAACAATAAATAGAATGGCTATCTTAAACATTTCTGGAATTATGAATAAAGTTAATTTTTTAAATTTTTTTAAAAAAAAAAAACAAAAAAATGAATATTTATAGACCGCACCCCTGTGAGTAATATAAAAAAAAACTAGAGATTGATTATCTTTCTTATCTCTGGAAATATTCAAGAGGTATATCTTTGTGGAACAGTCTATATATAACTATTATTCTTAAACATTAAAACTAAAATCTCCCCAATAAATCAAAGCGTTATTTTTATCTTAACGATATAAACTGTGAAAACTACTATTTATTTATAAACTATTAATTTATCTCAAAAATGAATTCTAAATAAATTATATTATTAATTATTAATAAACCAATCATACCAATAAATAGGCAAACATTCGTTTTAACTCAACCAATATGGATGCATGTTTATTTGATTCATCACATTTTGCTTCAAGTATAGAACGCCTTGCTTGTGGCATCATAAATAAATGCTGCATACATGATGCCATATAACAAGTAGCACCAAGATTTGTTAAGCCGACATATCCACAACCAGATCGACCATCATCGTGAGGCCAATAATCCCATAAATAAGGAGGACGACTTAAATCTAGTAAATCAAATCTAGTAAATTAAATCCAATAAAATGAATTATGTATGAAACACATTCATAAATATTAAATTTAAATACTAATATATATATATATATATATTTGTGTATTAGCCTTGAAATAATTACCATTACTATGTTGTTCTAATAATTTTTTATACAAATATTCATAGTTTTTTGGAGTTTCTTTTACTAGTTCAACCAATAAATCATAAGCTGAAGACCGAGCACTTTCTGATTTGCATTTAGGTAACTGTCTATTTTGTGGGTCTGGTAATGCAAATAGAAACTCAAAAACCTAAAATGTACAAGTATAAATATGTAACAATTTTTTTTTCAATTTTGTCTATACATACTGTGTCTAAAACTTTATGACTATGTTTACTAAATTTAAAAGGTGGTTTATGTCCTAATATATTTGACATCAAATTTAATAGTCCAATCAAACCATCGTCTTGCAGACCACTATAATGTGTCTCAATAAAATCCCTATTAGCAATTGATTCCCAAACACGTACTGCCAACGCCTCAATATCAATAATACATTTAGATGGAAATTTTATACTTTCTGAAATTTACAAAACACCACAATTTTTACAATATAAAATATATAAATGATTTATAAATATATTTTAATAATTTACCTTGAATAATATCGTTTGGTAAACAATTAACAAGTCGACACATAAGCCAAAAATAATCTCTACAAGCTGGTCCATAATTAAATTTATCTTCATCGAGTATCCTTAAAGAGTTCTAAAAAACAATTTTATTACATAAAACAAATAGTAAACTTAACAATTTAATAACTAACTTCTTGTCTTATTTGTGGTTGCATACATTCAGCCTTATCTAAGAATTTGATTAATTGAGATAGAAGTAATGTAGTAGCAGTACGATTTGCTGGAGGTACAGCACAAAGTCTATATAAAGCAACACAAATCTCATGTCTAACTAATGGATCAGGATCTTCAAGTACAAGATTGCAAAGCCACATTGAAAACTGATTAGATTCCAAAAGTGCTTCACAAATACCATTTACACTATGAGACCATGACAAAACCAAAGTCATTAAGAAATGAATAACTTGAGCTCGACCCCAATATCCAGTTTTTATTTCTTTTGAATGTCTAGGATAGGATAACTCATTTAAAATACTCATCAGTCTTGGTATTACCAAATCAATCTCCATAAGTTTCAACATTTCCTTAAAATATAGAAGTTATTATGTAGCAATAAAATTATGTATGCATATGATTTATTAGAAATTACTTTATTAAGTTTCGGCACAACAAGATTAGCTTGTTTTTTTGTATGTGCTTTTCGTGGTCGAAAGTAAGGATCAAAACCCAATCCTTCAAACTGATCTAGTTGTCGTCTGTCATTTGGTGGAACACCAAGTAGACACAGTAATTTAAGTAAATGGGCCAAACAATCTTGATGCCATTCACTATTACCCTGAAGTGTACCTGTTGAATATTTAAAAATAATTAGCAAAAGAAGTGATTATACAAAAAAAAAAGAAAAAAAAAAAGCTGTCCTGGGATAATGCAGACAAGTACAGTAACTGTTGTAGGTGGAAAGTTGGGAAGGTTATATAGTTTTGTTTTGTTTTGGGATATACATAGCAATCTAATGTATATCTGTACACAAAAATTAACCATTGCCAATGACAAATGATTCTGAGCGGAGTTCGGTTGATAGTGTTGCTTTATTAAAAATATATATATATATATATATATATAATAGTAAAATATTTAAATATGCATTAAACATTTTCTTTAATAATATTTGTTTAATATTGTACCTATTTTCATGTTTTTCCCCATTTATTAGGAAAACTCCTGAAAAATCAAAAATAACCTCCCTAAAATACCTTTCTAGTCAGATTACCTTTCAGAAAAAGTGCTATCATTGTAAATCGGAGCAAATTACTGGTAGAAAAGTTATCTTAAATAAAAATTAACATCATTGTAAAACCAATACATTACTCGCTCCACTCAGAATCTAAAAAAATATCCAATTACCAGACAACAGAATAGTAAAAAGATGTTCTAAGCCTCCTTTTTCAATAAAACATTCTCCCCACGAACTAGGTACTCCATTGGATGATATCTACAGAGAAACATATTATCATAATAAATATACATAATCAATAACAAAATAAATGTATAAATGTGAGAATAAATATTACCTCTGATAATATTTCGTCTTCATCTGAATTTTTTTCAACACCCATTTGAATTAATGATTCAACAATGTATAATGAATACATTAATTTTTGTAAATTAGAAGGATCCAAGTCTTTTTTTAACCAAACTTGACATTCATCTTCTGTTTCATGAGTGGGAAAATGTCTAAAACATTCTAACATAGTAGGACTAGTTGGCAATATAGTCAAAATATCCCATACACTTCTAGATAAATCTTGAGCTTTTGAATGCAATAATTCATTCTATAAATAATAATAATATTGAAAGTTAATTAATTTCTAACATTGGTGTATATAAAGAACTAAAAGATGGAAGTTAATATTTGAGTTTATTCTTATATCATAAAATTGGTTCTAACTGTTAATTATTAACAATATTAAAATTTCATAAAATACTAATAGCTTTAAATATATAAAAAAAATTGATATTTTTCAATGAATGACACATTTTATAAAACAATATTAATTATATTATTATTAGCATTTTAATTTGAAAATAAGAGTAAATTACTTTTTCTTCATCAATTTCTTTCATTGACCCAAGAGTCTGCATCAGACGAAATAAAACTTCAAAATTTTTAGGTCGTAAAAGCAATAATGTTGGTGAACTTTCTTTAACTGGTATAAATTGTGTAGATCCCGGTAAATCTTGATCACCAAGTTTCTTTTTACGCGAAGAACTCAATGATAAATATATGATCTAAAATAAATTTTAAAAAACAATTAAGCTCTAGATCTAAGTATTGCTTAGACAAAATGAAAGAAAATAAACTTAGACATTGTGGGCATGTCATGAAGAAAAATAAATCAGAAGCACTAAGGATTGTAATGAAAATTATGGGAGAACAGAGAGAAGACTGAAAAAGAGGTAGTTGGATATAATTGAGGAAGATATAAATACAGCCAGTGCATGCGAGGTGGAAGGACAAGTCAATTGAAAGTTTAGGATGATGGTGACCAGCCCCAATTAATAATAATAATTTATTATCAAAAAAAAAAATAACAGTCAAATGAAATGAAGTTTAGGATGAAAAGTGGCTGATTCCAAGTAGTTAGAATGAAGGTAAAGAAGAACAAGAATTAGTGATCTAGAATATTTATAAATAATTTACTTGGTTATCTTTTAATCCGGTTTCTTGAATAGTTTTTTCATCAAATTCCGATGATATTTCTTGTCCTAATGCAATCATGCGTATAGTACCATCTGTGGGCAATTTTCGAGCAACTAAATTATCATACTGAGTCTCCCACCAATGTGCAATTTCAGCTCTCATATCAGCTATATAATCCGTATTAGGCATATCAAGAGTTAACTTTTCATCCAACATTGCAGGATTGATGTTTAATCTAACAATTGTAGCATTTTTATCATTTTGAATTACATGACTAATAATACCATGTCCTTCTAATGTCCATTTCCTTAAATGAAAGGCATACTTCCGCTTAAATGTTTCTAAGTGAGTTTTTAATAATAATAATGCTCGATGTATACGAAGAAGACTGGATTCTTCTTTATCATTTAAATTATCAGCAGCTATGGACAAATTGGATATACACTCACTTATAAACTTGTCTTCTTTATCAAGTTGTAAATTCATCATATAATAATTATTAATATACTGAATTGCTGCCATGCTAACATCTGAATTTAAAATAATTAAATACTTTAATATTTTACCAATTATCATAGTTTAAAAATACAATGAAACTTCTTGATATAGAAACACAAATTTGAATAGTAATAAATAACTAATATCAAAATAAATAATTTATTGTAAAAAAAAGTATTTATCAATTAATTCAAGTTTCAAAATTTGATACAAACCATTATTGGATGCTCTTAAAGCAATTCTTGATAGATGTTCCATAGCAGCTGCATGGCCATTTCTTGCTAGCAATAAATAATCACTAGACACTTGTTGTTGAGCCATATTACATAATTGAGTAAATAAACTAAGAGCAGTCATAGTGTAACTTTCTGGAGCTAATGATAATAATTGTTCACAATATAAATGTGTCAAAGTCTCAACATTAAAAGTATGCTGTTCACGACACCGAACTTGACGTAATAACCAATTAAACAATTCATCTCGGCAAATGTCATCAGACACTAAACAATTCCATATTGTATCCAATTCATCAATAGTTAACCTAAATAATACAGATAATAAAAATCTAGTCAATTATAACTTAAAGCACATGGATACATACTTAATAGTATCAGGAAGTCCAATAGAAGAATAAATATGAGTCAAAAATTGTAATCTAGCTTCTATATGAACTTGATGAGAGTAAAATCCTGAATCTTCAAATAAATTATCAACATGTTGTCTACAATACTCTCGGAAATTGTTAAACACTCGATCTATCATGCTATGATGTTTTACAGCCCATAAAGTCACTTGACGAGTATCCATTCCAACATTAAGGTTAGCCAATGATGCTCCACGGAATTGATGAAATGATGCAAATAACTTAGGTAATAATCTTAATGAAATAACTACAGATCTAAAAAAAAAATAATATACAAATTTTATTATAATTTTTTCACTACAGAGATATATCTTTATCGAAGTTAAAAATTAATTATAAAGGAATATAAATGTTTTACACAATATTATTACATACAAAATTATACTTAATTTTTAAATATTAAAACATACTTATTTTTTTGTATATTATCTAAACAGCCTTCAATGAATTTCATTTTAATAGCTCGATCAGTATTAAAGCAAACTAAATTAAATAATGCTTTTTCTGCTTCTAAAGCTAATGATTCACCTAACAGTGTCTGAAAAATAAAAATAAATATCATCAAAAAATGCTTTTAATGTTAACTCAAAATTAATAAATATCTTAAAATCTTGGTTATGATTGATCATAAAATATTTAAAATTTTCAAAAAAGAGCCGATACTGGTGACGGGTAACCACTGTAGTAGATAGGAAAATGGAAAGGAGGGCTACATAAAATTATTTATTGATATCTGTAAGCAATGATAAACTATTACTAACAAAAAATCATTTGGCGCGAAATTCAGTTATACATGTTTTGAAAAGCCATAATATTTATGTTTTTCATCAAACTTTGATTTTAAAACCTTTAAATAATCATGTAGACCATTTCATTCAATTTCATTTTTGAAATAAAATTCATTTATTTTATCCCTGTTACCTACCCAACGTAGTTTTGCAAACAATTTTTTACAGAACTCGAGTTAGAACTAGTGATCCCTGGGATGGCATCAGGTACATAACCACCACTAGACTACAACATAGATACATAAATTGACAATATTGAATTATTTAACATACACATCATATTAGAACTTATACAAACGTATTCGAAAATTTGATATTAAAACGCCTCTATATATAAAAAAAATACTACATAACACTCAAATTAATTTTTTTTTTTTTTTATAAGTAAAACTAAGAAAAATTTGTTTTTGTAAATGAACCTCTGGTGAAATTGTCAAGCATTTTTATTTGGTCAAAAAATTGTATTCACAGATTATTTACTAAAAAAACTACGCAAAAGAGTTTGGTCATTACGTTCAACCTGAACACACGCACATTGTACTGTATGGTTTCACTCCATTATTTCTGTGTACACTCATAAAATTGTATATTTATTATGACCATTATTAAATACTTTCCTTATTTATAACGGTATTATGAACAACAAAAGTGTTAAAAAAGCGTGCCTAGTCTCTCCGTGCACACCTATACCCCTAAAAAGAAATTTCTCAACTTCTTCATTGTCAACAAATCAAAACTATTTACTTCACCAAATTGTTTCGCTATCCTCGCGTCAGAGGAGGATAACGAAATTGAACTTGACATCTGCGATGTTTCCAAAGTAATCAACAAAAACTATTTTTTCCCCTTAACATGACAACATATGAGCACTCTTCTGCCAATTTGTGTCCTAAACATTAAAAATTGTCCGTTCTCAAAAACACGTTAGTATAGCTCCCTGGCTCTAACAGGTTCTCATGTTAGTCATCACCATCAACCTTTTTTCTTATTGTCTGCCTTCATGGAAGTCTTAATTATAATATAATTATGCAACACATTTTAGCCACTGATGCCTTTTTTCACACTCATACCACCAACATATTGATCTTATAAGGTAATTATAAGAAATCTTCACCACTCGACCCTCATCTCAGAAATATCTGATGTTCTCTGTGATTTATGTCACTGCCAGTTGAATTGTGAATGTTATTAAAAATGGACGCCTGCTTTCACTGTTTTTCGTGGACCTCATGCCCAATACCAACAAAAGAAAAATTTTAAATCTGTCATTAATGTTGTACACCAAAATTAAAGTTGAATTACCCTATAGGACTAAGAGTTGTTTACCCCAATGTCAAAACTGTCAGACCTACATACACCCAAATATTGTTTCTTCTGATATTTGTTTTCTTTGTTTCCCCAATATTGAGTACATGGAAATCAGTGTGAAATAAACACATTCCTTCCTTTTCTTATAATCTTGTTTTTTAAAATATGGTAGAATAAGTAATAAGTAAAGGATTTATACTAGAGAATTTAGCATTTTGGGTTCATTTTTATTGTTCCAATTGTCTTACATACACTTTTATATCTAGGTTACAACAATGATTCTGGAAAAGAATAATACATTTTTCAGAACGGTAAAATTATAATTATGATCTTAAATTTACTTAAATGAAGAATTATTTGTGTTTTACATACCATGGCAATTGTCATGTTAATATATATTTAAATACTTCAATATTATATGATAGGTGTACTGTTGTTATTATAAAATATTTGCATCAAAATTAAATAATTTTTATATTTAAAGAGTCACACTTTGTGCTTTAATTTGAATAATACCAAGATTTTGAATGAAGATAGGCATATGTATTGATACAAATAAAACTTTCAATGAGTATCTGTTATGTAAAAAGTGGTATGTTTCGACCTATGAATGATATGTATCTAATCATACCTGGCATTGGTACCTATCAAACTTTAAGAACTTTTTCATAGTACATATATCAAAAAACCAATATCATTGACTTAAATCACAATTGTCATAACTTTAAAATGACTTATTTTCAGAAAAGATAAAAAACTGATTCATAGTATCATAGTATTCAATCATTCTAAAAAATGATTTGATTTCATCATAAAATAATTATCTGATAAAAGTGAGAATAGTTTCAAATAACACACAAATTTTTTTTTTCTAATAATGAAATGTAAAAATCTCAAAATTAGCTTTTTGGGGTTCAGACAATTGTGAATTAAGCAGATATAAATTCATACATAATATAGCCTCCTTAATTTAGATAATAATATAATTAGTAAAGATGGGTCAAACTCATTATTTTGTAGCCAAACCAAACTTCTTAAATTCATACTGAGCCTGAACTTAAAATATTACGTTTATCTTGTGATTATAATAGTTTAGGCTATGCATTGATTGTCACATTGATTATCAGATAAATCAAAGCCACTTATACAGGGTGATTCTTTTATCATGAACTAAAAGTTTTCATGAAGTATTTAAAGTGAATTTTATTTCTCATTTTTTTTCATTATTGTGAAATTGTATAGATTTTATTTTAAAACCATTTTAAATTTTAACACTATTCCTTATACCTGAAATGCGTGTCCCATTTGGATTTTTAAATTGGAACCCCTATTTTTGAATACACATAGGAATAAAAATTATTTGTCTAGACATTTTTATCTTCACTAGTATCAGATTTACCGTTTATTAATTGTTCAGTTTCAAGTTTAGACTGTTATAGTAAGTAAGGTTAATAAATGATATATCAATTTTTAAATGATAAATTGATAACTCTTCATTGCCTGAACTATTATAACTCATAAACTGTAACTATTGTATTAGTTTTATACATACCAAAATGTTTAGAAAAATGTTCTGTATTTAATTAAATGATTAAAAGGAGGGTTTTATTATAAAATCCACAATGGATATTCATTTTAAATATAAGAAGTAGGGATGAAAAACTGGGAAATTGCTAAAACTAAAAGAACGCTATACCCGAATGTGCTGTCTCAGTCCAACTATGAGCAATAAAGCAAAATCTACCCTACAGACTGAGTATAACTTGCTTAATTTTGGTTTTAGAGTAATAACATTTATTATATAAATTAAAATAAGACAATATTCCGGAGAACAAGACGATGCGTTTTATCCTATAATTAAGCGAGTTCTATGAAGTTTGCTTAAGTTAGATTTTGCTACAGTGCCTGCTAGTTGGACTGAGAAAGCATATGAGGAAATAGCGTTCTCCTAAATTAAAACAATATCATGATTCAAAACAGAAATCAAAATCACTTAAAATCCTCTATGAAAATTGCTGATTTATGATAAAAGAATCACCATGTATATAGATAATATAAGATTTTATTATAATACAGAATAATTTACTAAGCATGCTCACCCTATTTCTTAATTAAATTTTGCATATATTCAAATTCTGACTTTTGGAATTTCTAAGTGGAGTTCAAACCCATATTTTTGAATACTTAGATTTTTCACAATATTCAAAGATTATCGACGATACCAACTTTGGTTTTTCAAATGAAAATGATATAAAAAAACCCAAAAATAACCTGAGTATTACTTTAAAAATAGTTAATTGTCAACATTTTTGATTTCTGTCAAGGGGGAGAATAACAGAGTATAATTTGTGTGGCGGCAGAGCGTGGGACGTTTTATTTGTGCTCCACTACTCTCCTCTTACCTAAACTTAAGAGAGAAATATCTCTGTATTAGAAAATCAAAAATTTATTTAAAGTAATATTCCATCTATTTATAGTATTTTTAATATAGGTATTCATTTGAAAAATCAAAGTACCAGCTTTAACTACACTTAAAATTTCCAAAAATCAGAATTTAAATACGTGCACAATTTAAACAAAAAAATATTTGTGGATAATTTTATTTGAACATGCATTTCATTTTGTTGCCTTTCAAATTCAATAATTTGAAAAATTTTATTTTTAAAACTCTTCAGAAATTATTTTTAAAAATTGTAAAAATGTTATTTTATATAATTGTGTTCTACTCATAAAAGACTGCGTGGTTGTATTTTTGTATTTATCAATATTGTCATACTTACCAAAATTTGAAAAATTTATTTTTAATTTAGGTAAACCCATAAGTAGGTAGCAATATTCTACATGTTTTACATTATATATATTACACATTGAATTTCTATAACATACTTTATAGTTAGTAGTGTAAATTCAGTTACATTCAACATACCTATAGACTACTAAAGTATTTATTACATTATTCTATTTGATATCTCAATCGAAGATAAAATAATCAAGTCAACAATACAGCATTTTGATTTCGTCGTCCAATTTTCAAAGTAAGATAGATAAATATACTTTTTTTTATTTTTTGTATCTGTGTGAAAAAAAATTCAAGTTCAAGTTTGAATGAAAATTTTCCTAGATTCATTCTGATAAAAAAAAATCAAAAAATATAATTTTGTGGTTCGGGTTCAAAAAATATTGTTTAAGTTCGGTTTGATGACAAAATCAGGGTTCGACCCATCACTGAATTCATAAATATGTAAGAAAAAAAATAATTGTAATATTACTTACAATATTATCATCTTGAAGTAAATCCCACAACAATGTTGAACCAGGTTTGCAAACATTTTCTATATTGAATTGATTAGATATTGTTGCAGTTATATTTTGAGTACAAGGATGCACATTTTTACTAGTTTGAAAATTTGAATGAAATGCCATGTGATTTAACTGTTGAGTTGACAAATGAGTCTGAGCACGTGCAGCTAGTTGCAACAATTCCTCATCACAACCTGAATCTTCTCCATCAAAATCAGCCATATTTTTATCAGATTTATTTGACATACGAGATGACATACTATTCTCGTCACCACTATAATCTTCCAACATTTGTCTATTCATAAGTGTTGACGGTACCTGCTGATCTGAAGTAGGATCAATGGGTGATATACCAATTTCCATCGTCTCCATAGACTCACTATCTTCATCTTCAATATCTTCATCTTCATCATCATCTTCTTCATCATCATCATCTTCACCATCAGATTCTGAATCATCTTCAGTGCAATCAGTTCTAATGCATCTCATTTTTATATTGCGTATTTTTTTGTCTAAAACAAAAATGCAATGTTAATAACAATTAAAATTTATGATGGTAATAAAAAAATTACGGTTATTAATTTTTCCTCTAGACTTTTGGTGTTTATTTCCTTTCACTATTTTACAATGATTTATTTGAATTTTATCAGAGTCCTCATCACTAGAATTGCATGATTTCATAACTCTCATTCTTGTATCCCTGATTGCTTTCTTCCTGACACAATGTCTTATTTTACACATACTTAATGGTTTGGATGGTCTAATAATATCTTTTTCATTGATATCAAAATCATCATCTAATTCTTCAATTTTTGCTCCTTCTAAAATCAAAGATTCTAAAAAGGGTTAATGAAAAATGTATACATAATTCTAAATTTGTATTAAAATGTTCCTACCATTATCAGAATAAACAAAAATATTATCTTTTTTAGGTTTTTTTCTAGGAGTTGGTCCATCACTAATATCACTTCGTTCCTCACTTGATTCACCTTCAGAATTACTATTAAGACTAGCACTATTTTCTGATGTACTCATATCATTAGATCGGACTAGTCTATGACCATCACGTATATTTACAATCCTTGATATTTTAGGAATTGAGAACTCATGACTTCTTGCAGTAGTTGCCATACTTGACCAAATAAATTTTGTAAGAGCTGATGCTAAAAATAAACTCTGGAATATACAAATAATAATATTATTATTATTCAAATTTGAATACTTTAAAATTAGTTTAAATGTCAATTTACTTGTTCAGTATGCTCTTTTGGTTCTAATTTTCTCAATAAATGATATAAATGTAAAACAGGAGCTGGCTCTAAGTGTTTAATAAATCCAGGTAATAAATCAAAAACTTGTTTACTACAATGTTTTAACTGTGCAGCTTGCCAAATAGTGTCAATATGTTCATTAGTAATCTTACCTTCTGATGCTAAAAAATTTAATGTGATACTACACTGTTTGATTACCTGAAATGTGTTTATAATTGTATAAGTGTATTCATTAAAATACAAATTTTATTGAGAAATAATGTACAAATAATTAATTTAACATACTTCAACATGTAAATTTGGGCCAAATACATGAGATATAATTTTACGGTGCACGAGCCATGTTGCTAAATTATGTCCAATTTGTTCAATAGTAACCATGTCATTAGATTGTGATGATGTTGATAATGTTGCTGCAGTTACGTGAACAAGTTCATTTAAAGATCCTATATGACTATTAATTTGAGAAATGCCAGCTAGCCTCATGGTTAATGTAGGTGATGTAAAATACTTGAATGCCAGTTCAAGACCATCTTTATCTAAATTTGAAGTATGACCATCTTTGTTTGAACTCCACATAAAATCTATTAAAAGAAAAAAAAAAAAAAAAGTAAAATATCTTAAATTTACATTAAAAATTGAAAAACAAAACATTTACCAGCCATAGTCTTAGCTGCGGGAGTCCTCAGTTCTTTATCTGATAAATTACACATAAACCTAAGAACTTTGGACCTCAATGGAACAAATACATGAATATTTGTATGATAATTTAACCATAGCTTTACATTACAAGCAAGTATAACAATTGGATTGGCAATAGTTAATGGCAATGATTCATAATCAAAACAAGACATAATCGCTTCCATACCACCGACCCTAAATAACAACGTAGTAAACAAATGAAACATAAGAAATATTATAAATTAAGTACCTGCAAAACATATTGACAGTTCTTAGAAGTAATAATGGCATATCAATTTCCTGAACATCGCAATAATGATTCATTGCTGATGCTTCTTGTTGAGTTACTTCTTCTGTTTTGTAATGGGGATATTGCTTTACAGCAACATATAATGGAAAATTCATTAAAAATACTTTTGTCATGAGATGTAATGGTTTTTCCATTTCTACTAATGTCCATTTGAGCTCTACAAAAAGTTTAAAATGTGTGCCATAATAGATTATATTTGATTAAAATATTTTAAATTCACCTTAATATTTAATTTTTAATTATAAAAATTATTTAGATAAATAATTAAAGTTCACTTTTTAAAATGGATAAATATTTACCCTCATCTTTGAAATTGGCTAATAAATTTTCCCATTTACGATTACTCTCAGCATCATCATCATCTCGAGCTGGATATATAATATAATCTTGTCCTTTAAATGATTTTAACAAATTAGTCATTAATAAAACAAAACATTGTGTAATCCATTGAAACTGTTCATAATTTTTTCTATCTTGAAATCCACCAAGACATTGTCTGCAAAAGAAAAATTAGTATTGGTGTATTCATTAAACATTCGATTGTTATTTACTTACCTTTGCATAAAAGTTTGTACAAATACAATCAACTGATTGACTTCAGATTTTGATAGAATTACACAGCTAAAATCATTTTTTGCACTAGCATCTCTATCTGTAAAAATGTAAAAATAGTTAAATAAGAAAACATATCTAAAGAAATATCTCGTAAACTTACATGGTTTCAGTAGCTTCGAGAACTCAGTACATGTTTCACATTCACACATTTTTTGAGTGTCTGCGTCGGAGTTCTAAGGGATGTATGAATAACACATAATTCGATGAATGTTACTCATCAAAATTGTGAGAAATTTACGAAAATTAAGGAAAACAAATAGTACACAAAATTATATACATATATGTTTATATATTTATCTATTTTTCTTAACTTTTTGAGAACGAAAATAAAGTAGGTTATGCGGCTATAACACGATATCACGATTACAGTGGTACCAACAAAAGTATGCTTACAGATTCTTTGACTACTTTTTGTCTAAGGTACATGATTATGGATAGTAAAATTCTTTTTCACTCATTTCCCGTTAATCAATAACCACTTTTTGAATTAAAAAATAATACACTTTAAGATCTAAGCTCCCTAACTAGTCACGAATGTCTAGATCATTACACCGTTTTTTTTTATACTGTATGGTTACACCACGGTTTAAGATAGGTCTATCTATCTTGAACCGTGGGTTACAAGTTACACTTTATACCAAGGATGTAAATACTATAGATACTAGTATCTAGAACCGTGTTTTATACCACCTTAGATCATATACTATCTAGAAAAATCGTTGATATGAACTACTGGTGTACCGAAATATTTTTTACCGGTTTTCTAGCACTTGATACCAATTATTTTACACCAATACAGATATTCGAAAATAGAAATCGATGTATTCCTACCATTGTACAAAATTAACAATGATAATACTATCAAATAAATTTTAATCAATTATTTAAATTATTAGTGTATTATCCTTTACTATAATACTTCCCATTTCTCGTTAATAAGTACTTAACGAAAATTAATTTGAAAAGATTTTAATTGTTAATTGTTATCAATTAAATTATTATTATTATCATTTATTCGTTTATTCGTTTTGAGAGAGAAATAAGGGGGGATGAAACCGTTATAAATAATTTACACCATATGCACGTGATGGTGCAGAAAATTTAAACCAGTGTCGTTAATTTCAACACCGGTTACTCCTAAAAATTTCTCAGATTCACACCAGTTTAATTTTCAAAAGGAAATTTACACCGGTATACCAACGATGTATGTAACCACGCATACAATGAATTTTGTCCAACATTATTCCCACCACTTTTAAAACTTCACGGTATACAATACAAATGCGCATACCCAGAAATCAGCTGGTGGCTTACGAATGAAACTGTAACAATGATACGTGATAACATTATAAATCAAATCAAATTGTTTGATACTGATTTCTGGGCATGCGTACTTGTGCCGTGTACCATGAAATTTTTTAGGTGGTGGAAATGTTGAACACAATTCGGTGCTAGAGCAATTAAACGCATAGCTACATCAAAAAAATGAGATGCCCTGAAATACAACAATGAGAACCCCTGTTCAAATAATAGTACATACATCCGGCATCTGAAGCACAATATATATGCAATATATAAATAATTAACATGAGAGATGCCTATCTATTAGTATACTTATCTATGGTTTAATCCATAGTATATGATCTAGGTGCATTACTGTCGGTCGGACAACTAAACTTTATCAACATTCGCTTAGTGAGGCAAATTCTTTTCTAGATTTGCCAATGTAAAATATGATTACAGATATCATTAACCTTGATTTCAGATGATTATCACGATTTAAGATAGTACTATCCATAGATCTAAATAATACTCATGGACCACGCATTTAAAACCCCCTAGTCTATAGCCTGATAAGTAGGCATTGAGTAAAAGAAATAGATCACGAATTAAGATATCTTAATTTGTGAAATAGATATATTCGAGAACCATATCATGAAATAGAATATATTGTAATTTTTTTTATTTCACAGATGTAAAAAATTAATAATACAAAAATTATACAAATTGAAAATAATAATAAGTTTAATATTTATACATTAATTGGTTTGTATGTAAAATAAATACCAGTTTTTAAAAATGGACATGGGCTAAGTTATAGATTAAATTTAATTGAACTTATTGATGTTTGAATGGGATTAGTTTCATGAATTGTGATCGAATTCTATATGTCGGCTAGGTGTTCTTTATTATAATGATGTAGCCGAGTAGTTAAATATTGTTTAAATATATATTACTTTAATTAATTGCAATAAATGGTTTGATAAACTTTTAAAATATCTATGAATGTTAATATTAGACTTGACTTTTATACTTAAAAATCAATAAAATATATAATTTATCTGTTTTCCTCAGCCTTTATTCATTTATTGGGAAAACTCCTGAGAAAATCAAAAAATAACATCCCTAAAGTACCTCGCCACTCAGATATCCTTCTAAAATTTCACAATATTTGTGAATATCTATTCCTTATCCTGTTGTAGTCTCACATTCTTTTATTGAGCATTGTTTACCACTCATTGTTTTAAATATGTATAAAAATTATTTACTAATAAAATGTTAGCTAAATTAAACAAGGAAAATTAAAAAAAAAAAAATAGATGTATGCACTTAAAAATAATAAATTACAATTAAACTATAATTTATAATAAATAATATAAATTAAAATGTTCAAATAATAATAGCATTGATTATAGAATCGACTTTATTCTATAATTAATGATAATAGTACACAACGTGATATAAACAAAAAATGTTTGTATTATTTTTGCCATGATTTTTCTCCTCTAATTCCATCCATAGAGAAATACTCTATGGTTCTATCTCTTGCCCGATATTTACTACAATTAAAAATATTTTTAATCATGAAATCGACTTACATTTCCTCTCTCTATACGCGATCTATAGTTATTTGGTCTATGGTACTATCTTAGGTTAGTTTAGATAATATTATTAATATTATAATATATATTATTATTAGACCATCATAAATAATGATATATTACCTATGTGGACCGCGCATAGACGTATTAACCACAGATCAAATAATATATATTATTAGGTCTATGATATTAACCACGAATTATATATACCAAGATTATAAGTTATCTTATGGTTTAATGATAATACAAAAGTCAGATATTTAATAATTGTTTTATACGTGGGTCATTATCAGTATCCCAAACCTTATAAAGTCTAGATAAGCCCATATTTTATCAATAAATTTCAGTTATCAGTACAAAATTAAATAGTAACTAAACATTTTACTTTTTGATATTGGTAAATTTGAAGTTTTAAAGTTTATACATGGTTTTAGTTATAATTTCAATGTAGCTTATATAAATCTCCGGTAAATCTACAATCGTGGTTTTAAATAAATATATAAGTTTTGTGTAATGTCATCAGACATTTGTCGTATTTGTACTTCTATTTTAAGGGATTATTTTGGACGAGGTGTTTCTGAAATTGCGAAACCTTTACAATGGGGCCAAAAATCCCTAATGACATTGACTACCATGTTGGATGGAAAATACTCACGGTACTTAATACAGGAAACTCTTATTGTTCTATTACAATTCAATTTCGTATCAGCAATTTATAATACTAACTCAGTACAAATTGAATACAAATTGAATATGGATAATATTCTTATGATTTTAAGGTATCCTAAATATTTATCGATTATTAAAAGAAAATTTAGTACTGAGTACAAGGAGCTTGTTGAAACCCTATTTCTTCTTGGTCGGGCACCTCTATCAAAAATTGTAAGTGAATGCATTAAAAAGCAAAATAAGACTGATGATTGTTATAATAATTATTGGGAAAAGGGAATTGAATTGATAAGAAATGAATATTTCAAAAGAACAGCAACTTATGTTATTTTGACTGAAGTAAACTCAAATAAAATGTTTACTCCGCCCGTAACAAATCAAAAAGATGAAAAAAAAATTCTGTTTGCTCCTAATTTTAATAAGTTTCATCAAGAAATGAGAAATAAAATCATTGCAGATGCTGTTGTAAGAATATTTGATGATACTATTGTTGGAGAAGTAATGTCTACTATACTAAGTCAGTGTGTGGATAATAATGCACCAGTTTCAAACCCTATATCATTGCAATTGATCAGAAGTAATTTATCTGTTGGTCATAATTATTTGTTAGAATATATAACAATGATTGAAGAAGATCCTACTAACTTTTTATGTAAATCTTATGGTACTATGTGTAATATTACTGTTAATTTTAGACAAATTATAAATTGCTTAAATGATTCAATAATGGACCAAGTAGTTAGCTATAAATTTGGTGAGAGTTCTGCAAGGTTATTCAGAGCTACTAGAACTAACAAACTTTTAGAACTTGAACGTCTTCAACAAACTGCATTAATACCAGATCGTGAAACTAAAACATTAACATCAGAACTTTTTATGAATAATTATCTTCAAGTTCAAGAATTAAAAAAACCAAATACTCGTTTAGGTCGAAATGATGGAAAATCCTTTTATTTATATCATCTAAATGATCGTCAACTACATCAAGAATTAACAGAAGAAGTATTGAAAATGATTGGAAATTGTATGATGTGGAAATTTAAAACATGTGAAGATAATAAAAGACTACTGAGAAATAAAGCTCGTTTTGACGTAATGGTTCAAGGATTACAGGATAAACAAGAAGCAAATAAGGACTTTTTTGAAGAAGCTATGGATAATCTGTTTTCTCCAAGTGAACGGATATTATTAGATTCAATAAATAGACTCTTGCGTAAGTGTCAATTAAATATTATGAGATTAGATGAATGTTTATTTTTATTCAATTATTATAGGCAATACAATAAAATTATTAAATAAACATGCTTTTGTTTTACATCTGTAATTGTATTAACATACTAATGTAAATGTTGTACCTATATTAAATTAAAAACTAAAATTTACTACAGTACGGTGTATACAAATTTGTATATACATAAATAATTTAAAAAAATTGGTATTTTTTGAAATTGATCTGCATTATATAATCTGTTTCAATTATAAATATTACTTCACTGGTTTTATTCATAATTTTTTATAAACAATATTTACTAATAATAATGTAAACTATAACATAATCTAAAGTATTGATACTTTACTTTGTTATAATACTATGTTTTTTTCTATAAACATAACATTGCAGTTATTATGTTGTGTGTATGTACATCTATAGTAATTTGTAATTTTATAATTATTATTCAATGAAATAAACATAAAAAACTAAAATACTTTGCATCGTTGGCACAAATAATTCTCAAAATTGGGATATATATATAATAAATTGTATGTAGAAATTCAGATTTTTTTATTTAAAGTTGATGATATTGGATTAGTAGAAAATTATTTTTCAAGATTTTTACAGGTACCCTCTGTGACTGTTTACAAAAATACCCTGTTATGATTATCGTATCCAAATATATAATATATTAATCATAAATTAAGATATACAATATACCGAACGAAAAGGTCTTATCAATGTTTTTTTTAATCGGTCAGTTTTTCGCTGTTAGCACAACTGCTAGCGCTTTAAGGAAAAATTGGTACAAAAGTCAATTAAATCTAATTTAAATATGGTAATTAATATTTTTATATTCAGTTGAGTTTTACATTTTGACTGTGACGTAATATAGATATTTTTTTATTTAATAATAAAGTACAAATAATAAATAAAATACAATTTTTAATTAATAATATCTTGGTCAGTCTTCGTCTGTTCCAAAATTTCGTCTCTCAAACCTTCCTTCATCAAATCGTCTTCTTGAATTTTGTTGCCGTGATCGCCACATTTTGCCTAATCTTTTGTTGTTACTGCATCTAAACCACTATTTACTAAAACTACTACATCTACCATTTTGAAGGTGTTATTTTTTTCCGTGACTTTACCCTTAATATCTGCCCAGATTAATTCGATTGGGTTGTGTTGACAGTGGTAAGGAGAAAGTATTACCACTTCATGGCCCGTTTGAATTTATATTTTTTTCTTTTGGCATCATCAATTTGATTTTTTCCCGTAGTTCACAAAAATGTCTTTACTGGAGAAAAGTCCACAGACTTGTTTTGTAACCATTTTCGTACATCTGCTTTTCGAGTATTTGCCTTAGGGTACTCAATAATAGGTACAAAATATTGTGGAATACGACATCTGCAGCTATATGATAAGGAATTGGTTTCCAAATTAAGATGAATAGCACTAAGCATTACCACCTGCCGTTTTTAAAATGCGTGCTAACTGTTTCCATTTCTTTCAAACGTAGAACCCCCGAAAGCAGAAAAAATTACCGATTGGCGCGTGACGACCGCGGATCACTTTTCGCTTCAAATACATCAGTTATTAAGTTTATGCTTTTATTACATTCATAATAATTTCACTTTAAAAATCTATAGTTGTGTAGAACGCAGCACTGCGCCTGATCCTAATTTTACTAATATTCCAAGACCGTGCCGACGAGTATCAGTGATTAACAATCCTCCCAAAATTGTTCTCATTTCAATGGATTTAAAAAATCCTGGAGATTTCAAATAGATTTACTTAATATAATTTAATTTTAAATTAGCAGTATAAATAATAATCCTTAATGATATATTAATTATTATTATTAAAAAAAAAATACTGATAATTAGAAATTAAAAAATATTTTGGGACGATTGGTGTTCAGTGATAAAATGATAAGAAATTGGACCTACTCGTAATTCGTCTATTGACTTTCCTCTGAGTCAATGTGGACCTTGAGTTCTACACACATGTGCATAATAATACTATCTATATCCCCTGATAAAAATTATTCTGAAACCACACGGTTTTTCGTTGGGAATAGTTGTCAGTGTTTTTTTCAATTTCAGACTCTTATCATTTTTGAATTAATACCTCTCTCCGTCGCGAAAATTTTTCACTATCAATGTATGGAGGAGATTACAAAATTTGACTTATTATAACGCCATCTATATGTTATTATGAAACTATATTAACTTTGTCAGATTATTAAGACTATTATCCTTTATGTGCGGTAGTATGGTGTGATATCTGTTTGTATTCTGTGGTAATCAATTAAAAACTTGTTACTTTTTCCAAATAAATTAATATTTTTTAATATCAGATGTGACTGATCTGATGCAAAAACTATTCTAGGATGGATGAGGATTCTATTGATAAATTTACCAGTCCATGTATGAATGTTTTATCTATTAATTAATTAGCTCATAAGTTTTAAAAATTAATTTAAGAGATCTATTTTACAGGGCCAAGTGATTGTTTTGATCTTTGTTTCCATAGTATTTGTTTTGCAATACTGAATCTAATAGTATTTTAATAAATGATACCTGTACTAACTTTTAGTAAAAACAAAAAATTAATGACTGGCCCTACCATATTTTTTAATACTATAATACTGATGCAATTGTCCGAACAACAAGCTTACAATTGTTTGGAAGAAGAGGGGTTTTAGACTTTGAAGTCAACCATTATGTATAAATTAAAAACCCTATAACGAGAGAATACACTAATAATGTGGAGATAAGCTATGACAACATTTTTAGGCTGGTTATACTGCAAGATTAAATGTAAAGAATTTTTTGAAAAAATTGCAAATTTCAGAGTTAATCTACTGTAACTCAAAAAGTACTACGTACAGCCATTATTAACATTATCAAATTCAGTACTTATTGAAAAGTTCAAAAAAATCACTTCGGCCGTAAACTAGCTGACTTGTTCGTTTTTTAATTCCTTGTATCATTAATTTGCATTTATTTAATGGTATTGTGTTAAGATTTAAAACATCCTAGTGACTTTTTTAAAATTTAATTACCATAAGAAATAAGAGAGTATCAAATATAAATAATGGTATTAGTTGAATCATATTATTTATAAAATATTTATTACATAGAAGATAATGTTTTAGTTTAACAATGATTGGGTTCAGCTCACACAATAAACATCTACAGTATCTACATTAAAAAAAAAAAAAAATGGGACATACTTCAGGGAGTGCCTAATTTGTTGAACTAGGACCACAGACTAATTTGATGTTACTTTGATGGTAATTTTATTTCATGTGCTTCTGTTAAAAATTGCAATCGTTATTAATTTATAACTCAATTCAGTATTTTGTTGACTTGTGGCGATACTTCAACAAATATGTTTAAAATCCGTAAATCGTTACTAGAAATTATAAAATTTTGTATTCGTGATAAGTTTTACCATATTTAAATTGAGTGTTAGTTTCATGTGTCTAAATTAAAAATTGAATTCTTTAAAAACAGTTAAGTATTTTGTTAAAAGTGGTAGCCGTTTAGCAAATCTGATGAATCTGCTCTCAAATCCGTAAAACTACTAGAAATTATGAAGTTTTGTATACGTGATAAATTATCCTGTTCTTAAATAACCTACTAATAATTAATGAAATTATTTTGAGTACTAGTACAGTACTACCTACTATTGAGATAAAGTAGTCTGTGACCTCAGTTTAGTAGTTCAGAAAATTAGACCGATCCTATACTTCATTTCAAAGTTACAGGAGAATGATTACCAACATTTTTCAATAAAAATTGTTAGTCCTTATCATTATCAAAACATTTCATTTTTTTATTTTCAAAATAAGCGGTTTTTAATGCTTTATCTATTGGTAAAATAAGAATGTACTTTTCATACCATATTACTGTTGAGGTTTTTGTACATAGACCTTGAAAAATTACAGTTTTGAAATAGTTAATCCAAATTGTATTTAAAAATAGTTTAAAATTGTCAACTTTCTTTTCTTAATCATAAGTGATTCTTGATTAACTAGTTAATTATTATAGTATTATGACTTCTACTATTGAAATACAATTATAAAATACCGCAAATACATATGAGATTTATTTTTTGCACATATTATTAAGGTTTATGCAAAAAACCATCAAAACTAAGTTGGTATAAATTGAAAATTAAATAAATTTAAAAAAAAAATTCAAATCATTTTTATTACACAAATGATTATTATATAAAACCAAACTTCTTGAAGTTTCTTTCCATAACTTCCAAATAAAATTTGTCTGAAATCTGTTTTGTGTTCATATATTCGTATTATACCTATCTCTCTGATAGTTTTTTTTTTTATTAATACATTTACAATCTGTTCAATGAATACAGTAAGCTAATAGGAATAAAGAAATGAGATATGGAAAATTATGATTATGGAAACTATTCAGTGATAGGACCCAAGTTAATTATTTAATCAATTAGCTTGTAAGTTATAACTTTCTATATGTATTATTCTATTAATTTTTAATTTAATATAATTTTAGCTGTATATGACAATGATGGTAATGAAAAGACACCATTGTATGCTAAAAATGACAATGAGAAAGCTACACTTAAGTTAATTATAAGTTTTTGTATGGTATTTTGTATTGGAATATTGATTATGTTATTGATCCACGTACATTATGGATCTCCTCAGGTATGTTAATTTAAATTGGTAAATATAAAAACTAAAATTAAATTAAACTTTATAGTTAGTACCTCATGGAAATGTAGCTAGTGATAATGCTCAATGCTCTCAATATGGAATTGATATTCTTAAAATGGGCGGTAATGCAGTAGATGCTGCAATTACCACTGCATTTTGTAACTCTGTAGCATTCCTTCATCTTTCTGGGTTGGGAGGGTAAGTTATGAATACAAATTAATATTAGGTACTTACCTATACAATAATTTTAAAACTAATTCCACTTTTGATACAGAAATGGTGTTATGACAATATATGATCATCGAACTGGTGTAGGAAATATAATTGATTTTAGAGCTACATACAGTTCACATTTTAGTATTGGAATACCAGGTTTTGTGGCTGGATTATTTTATTCTCATGAAAAATATGGACTTCTCCCTTGGAAAACACTAGTAGAACCTTCTATTACTCTAGCAAAGTGAAAAATTCCTCTTACATTCCTTATTTAACTTGTTTTAATATACATAAATATGTTATTGTTTACAATTTTATAGGACTGGTATAACAGTAACAAAAAGTTTGACTGAAGCAATTAATCAGAATTCTATTAAATCAGTTCGCGATGAAAATCTTAGAAATTGGTTGGATTTAGTATCAACTACTATACCTGGTTACAAAGTTGTAGCACCAGATGGTCTTATAAACAGTCTTTCATTGATATCTTCTTATGGATCTATTGGTATATGGTATATTATAATTAAAAGTATTTCATTTAAATAAAGCATTGCCATTTTTAAATTTTAAATGTATAATATACTTACTACTGTACATTTGTTTGGATAAATCAAGTATAAATATTTTATTATTATAAAATATTAAAAATGGTTATAAATCTTGCTAACAAAAATAAACGATTATACCTTTTTAATGATATTTCATAGTGGTAATTTGTCATTGTTTGTTGATCTGTTTTGTAATAATATTATGTTAAGAATTTGTTTTTCATGCAAAACCATTTTTAATAATAAATAAATATTCCAATTGAATCAGCCATTTTAAATTACTGTAAATTTGTCATCATTGAGTATCTATAAAAAAAACCTCCAAGATTCACTAAACTTTCTCTACAACAATGTATTAATTATTTATACATACAAATTTTTACTAAATAACAATTTGTATGCATAGGACATAATGTGACATAATTTATTGGTATCGTATTTTATATTTAGAATTTTATAAGAAAATGTCTGAAGAATTGATACACGTTTTAAAACCAAATGATGTAACTAGTTACAAACCTCTAATTTTGCCAGTATTAAAACAACATTTTATGAACTATACTGTTATAACATCAAATGAAGGCACTGGTGGACCAATTTTAATGGACATACTAAAACAAATTAATAATACATCTGATGATATATCGCTAGTAAATTGTTTTAAAGGTAAACCAGTTAGAAAGTATAATTTAGTTTATTTTAATACTTTGTAATTTGTATAGATTTAAATGATGATTGGTATGAAAATTCAGGATTGCAAATTTCAACTACAGATGTTTTTGATCGTTATGTAACTGTTATAAGGTATACAAACTTCATTTTTATTCTGGCTTAATGTTTGATTTATATTAATATTTTTGTTTATATATATAGCAGTCTTGGTTCTGTTTTTGGATCCCATATTTTAACTAACTCTGGTTATATACTGAACAATGTTTTGGATTTGTGTCATAACCATGATGAGAGTAATCAAAATAATCGAGTATCTTCTTTGTATTTACCACTTATTGTTGTAGAAAGTGAAAAAATATGTGGAAGAAGATTAATCTCAGGTTCTGCTGATGTACGTGATGGTGCTCAGATACTTATGTCAATGTTGACAACTGATCCACAAGACATTTTATCTATAAATACTATACCTCGTTTTCGTATTAAACTTAATGATATTGCAATTGAATATCCACAAAATTTTTCTAAAAAAACTAAAGAATTATTTGAACGTTCCGGATATAATATATCTATAGCTACATTACCTTATCCTACTTCTAATGTAGTTCAAAAAGTGGAAGATAAATCTGTAGCTTTTTCAGATTCTCGTGGATCTGGACAGTCAATAACTATATAAAAAAAGGTGGGATAGGTACATAAAGTTATTTAATTTATGCTTGTAACCAATGGTAAACCATTGGTAACAAAAAACGATTTGGAACGAAATTTAGTTATATACATGTTTTGAAAGGCAATAATATATATGTTTTTCATCAAAATTTGATATTAAAATTCTTTTATCAAAACAAATACTACATTAAGCTCAAATTTTATTTTTGACTACAATGTACGACTTATAACGAATATCTTGTTAAATTGTCAAGTATTTCTGTTTAGTCTTAACAATTTTATTCAAAGAATACCTAGTGAATAAAAATCATGTAAAAGACCTACAAAATTAAAATAGAAAATGTAATAGTAAATGTAATTTTTTTGTCAAAATTTTAAGTCTATGAATATTTTTAACTAAATTACAATTAAGAAACACAATTTAAATAATTAAATAAATTTTTTTTCGGTTTTGCTCAATTATTAAAAAGCGCAGCGATGAATTTATTGGTTTTACTATAGTGTTTATTTTTTGTCAAGAACTTTTCCATCAGAAATCTTGCTCCGGTGTGTAGAGTGCAGCAACTTTTCTGAAAAGTAATTTTTTTAAATTGATGCATTGCGAAGGTCATTTATTGATTTATTAACGGGTTTTCAAAATAATTTGGAAACCCTTAAAAGAAAATTACAGGTAAAACGGCAAATATTTACAACGCGCCGTGCCGTAAAAAAAATTTAAATTACGTACACGTTTACTATTAAGTATAATATGTTGTTATATTTTAATTATCAATTATGCATCATTTCTGACAAATTAATTAGTTTTGATTGTTTTCTTTAAGCTAATTATTCAAACAATGGATGGAGTTTTCTCTTGATCACTTTCGATGTTTCATAAATGTACCTCCATAATGACGTTTTCATTATTATTAAAATAATATTTTATTTGTGTTACAATATTATTAGATTCTATAAATAGAAGTATTTGTGTTTTCTACAAAATTATTAATTGAAATATTGTTAACTCTGGTACTACGGTAGTCTATAATAAAATACAATATTTTATATATTTATTAATGCCTCAACCCAAAATTATACATGACATATAACGTTATCAGTCAATTTTATAGTTAACAAGATAAATGTATATTTACCTGCATGTATTTTAATTAACTGTAGATTAATTAGCGTTAAAATTGAGACAATTTTTTTTTCTTCTACAATTCTAAAATTATAAGTTTAACTACAAATATTTACTGCGTGCCACAGCGTTATCGTTTTCATTGATTTTACTATGTTAACATGAGGTTTTATATCTGAAATACGGCCCCAATCGAAAATAACAAGAAATTGAAATTGTTCTTTAATATTTCATTAATAACAGAGTAGGCCGTTTTTCGATACCAAAGTATTTTTCATAATTAGGAAAACCCAAAAAAATCGAAATATACGAATTCAAGTAAATACGATTTCATTGTTTTAAATTTGTACGTCTTATGTTTTCTACCATAAATATTGCTTCAATTGAAAAACAAGAGATTTTTTTTTTTGTTTAATTCTGTGACCAAAGAAGTCTATTGATTTTTTTTGTAGTTTTTTCAATAACTGAGCAAAAGCCGAAAAATATGTAGAAAGACTGGGCAAATTTAAGAAAATGATTCTTTTATTATATAAAATTTTGTTTTTTAATGTAAATCAGTTAAAAATATTCGTAGAGATTTGAAATTTCGATTAAAACATATTTACATTTTATAGACTTAGTAACCTTTTAAAAGCATTGAATCTATTGTTGAGCTATTTATAGACATTTCAATTTTGTGAGGTTTTACGTAATTTTTATTTTGTAGGTTCTCGTAGATAAAAATGTTTAACCAAATAGAAATGCTTGACAATTTAACTAGAGGTTTTTGACGAAAATCATAAATTGTACGGCCATCAAAACATGTATAACCGAACTTCGCACAGAATCGTTTTAATAGCATTGGTTTATCGTCGGTTATATATATAATTAATAACTTAATGTATCCTACCTTCCTAACTACTCACCTACAGCAGTGGCCGCAACCGTCTCCAGTATCAATTTTATTTAAGTATAATTCTATTTTTCTTATATTGTATGTAAAGAGAGACCAATAATTTAAAGTTTAAATTTGAATGAAAATGCAAAAATATTTATCGTCTTAAGAGTTCCACTTAAATATAAATTTGAGAGGTACGCTGAATAGCAAGTTGATGTACGTAGCTCCCCCACCCAATTTGAGCACTGGGAAACTATTAATACACTCTAGGGAGAGAAAATACTGGATGGCTGCAATATGACGGCCTTATGCTCTTATCAAATATTTCATAATACTGATAAATGTTTTTGATGATAAGGGTATAAGGCCGCCATCTTACAGCTATTCAGCGTTTTCTCTCTATTATTTGCACATTTTTTCAAAATTTAATTTAAATTTGTATTTTTCAATTTGGAAAGTAGATTGGTTTGATATTATTGAATTATTTAATTATGATATAAATACGAATATAAAAATATAGAATATCATTTTATAAAAAGTTTACCTATCTAATATTATTTATGTTTACCTTTAATAACATAATATATTGTATTTAATCAATAAATTAATTAATACTCGTACAATAATACATTTTATTAAATGCCTAAAATGTCGTGTTTAATTTCAAAATCGATTAAATTATGGTTTGAAAATCAAAAAGTTTGTAACATCTCTACTAAAAATACACAATGAAGATAGCTTATTGCATAAGCATCAGTCAATTTTAAAAGAAAAACAATTTACTTACGACGACAAGTTTAAAATCGTAAAATTGTAAAAAAATGTAGTGGTGATAATGGTTGTATGATAACGTAATAGTGTGCCATCTTGCAGCTGTTCAGATTTTCTATCTAGACAACGTTTCTACGCCTTTTTTCACCCCTTAACCTCACTACTGGGCATTTATTTTTCCAGGAGAGTCCGGACATTTACAGTGTTTCATATTCCGGATTTTTACAGTCCGCCGTTTTCTTGTCCGTAAATTTACATTTCGGAATTTTGCAGTTCGTACGATTAATTTCCGGGATTTTCTCACCGTTCAACTCGTCATATATTTTCACATAAGATAAATAAGAATTTACAAAATAAGTAAAACGAAAAATTTGAGAATATTGTAATATTTGAAATATTTGTTGTAATAGGCACATCAAATTAGATGAAATCCATTGTACACGTGCTAATTTACAATCACAATAACACAAATATCAAATATAATAATTTTAACTTTTTCCATGAACCCCCTAATACCTTCTTGCGGACCCCCAGTTAAGAAACGCTGCAGTCTAGATGCTTGTTTATTTACTACCTATATATATTGTTTATGACGGATTGTATTTAGTACTTTTTTTTTTTATTGGAGATGTACTATTTTATTTGTATACATTGGTTCCATAATAAAAATGAATAATTGGTTTTCCAAGTGCTAGATTTTTTATTTTTAGATGTTTGGATTGTTCGTAATAAAACAAATTAAAAAATGTTCAAATCACGACCTTTTACGCAGTCACATCTGTAAAAAACTACCACCATAAACAATTACACTATTATTTTACAATAATTAAAAAGTAATTTTTACTTTTGTAATCAGTATTTATTTCAGGAGGTGACCGGGAAGGTGTATTAATACCCTCCCTGTAGACAAATTCTTTAAATTACTACGTAAACTACCTGTGATATAAATTAAAGGATGATTATAAGTCATCTTGTTGACAATAACATGAAACAGATATTTTGTTTTATAAATTATTTTAACGAACTACTATCAATGACGTCATCATTGAGCGTATTTTCTAATTTTTTGGCCCAGATGTAAAAATTCCTATATCTGGCTCTATCTTTAACATACCTATCCCCTTAGAAATCCTCACGGGGATGAAAGTCTGAAATAAATACTGTTAGTGACGATTGCAACTACTTTTGTTTTGTGCATGGGTGACAAAAAGTTACAAAATAAAAAAAATAAATGGTCAAAAGATTGTCTTCTGCAAAGGAAATATCGGCGTATGAATGTAATAAATTTACTAAAATATTGAGATTGTTAGACATTATTTTGTTTTCTTTAAAACGCATTTTGTAAAATATTTAACATTAAAATTATAAATATCTAAAATCAAAATTAAATTTTTAGTTTCTTTCTCAATGATTATTTTGAATAACTTGATGAGTTAAATTTAGCTAATAACCTGATCAATTTTTAATTTAACTTTGATAGATGCATAACACAAGAATGCAATAATCTGGAAAATAATAATCATTGGTTTGTAAACACTGGATCATTTGTATTATCTGAACAATTTTTTTCGTTGATTTACCAAATAGTTGTTTTCTAAATGGCTCAAGAGTACTATACTCCGTTCAGAATAAGAACGCACTGTCACGCTTATCCAGACAGCCTCAGGAATTCCGTTATTGGTTATTAATAATTAGTTGAGACATGTGCGTACACAGACCGATTTTAGTTCGTCGCCCGGTGCGTTCTTATTCTGAACAAAGTATAGAATTTAAATTTTCTGGTAAAGTAGTTTCTATGTTGTTATTAGAAGTATTAATTACCGATTGATTAAATATTGATGGAATTGCACATTTTTTCAGCTTAATTGGAGTCCTTAGACTCAATACCTGAAGGTATATATAATATAATATTACATATTGTATAGGTAACTAATATTATTATATTTTCTATTTGTTTTTCATCTGCAGCTTAACATTTAGGTACAGCATAATTTGTAATTATGTATTACAAAAATGTTCGACACACACATAAAGTAACATTACGAAAATAATTTCCATTCACTTAAATATAATTTTATTCCAAACATCAAAGTCAGAATCATGTACTTTAAATAATGGAACATTAGGTTTTTTTAAAATTAAAACACTTAAAAAAAGAGCAACGTCGAGGCATTTTAAATTCTACCTATACTAAAGTTGATTATTAAAAGAATGACTGCACAATATCGAAATTTAAAACTCATAATGACAGCATTACCAAATGTTCAAAATAATAAACATCTTAATATTCCAATTAGTTACGTTATTTGTTACTAGAAGCGTTTTTAGCCCTACTTGTATTTCTTGGTGATTTAGGGAGGGGCGGTGTCGATACATTTGACTACCGTTCCTCTATTAATCCTTGACCATGGCGATGCCAGTAGTCAGTCTAATATTTCCACAGATTTTTAAAACAACTAGATAGCCAACTTTGGTACTATTATTGTTGCCAACAAAATGGCTGCCATCCTTATCTAAGAGGTGAATGTTTTATATTATTGATAGTATTGATAAGGAATGATGTTATCATAACCCAAAGCCCTATAAGAGGTTAAATATGATGAGGTACTCTGTTCCAAAATAGAATCTTATCACTTGTCATATCAGTTTAATTTCTAAACATTCAAATCTTAAGCGATTGGCGATCATTTAGTCGGCGACATTATTTTATATGCATAAACTATAGCAGTTGACTATCTAGATATTTTATATATATGAGTATATCTTAATCCGTGATTTTATAATTGTACAAAAACAATAGGTTTTATAATTGTATAATAATACAATTACCACATTTTTGGGCCTTTTTATGTAATTTTTTTTATTCTTCTAAATTTTCATCGAATGAATATTATAATTCATTAATTATTATATTGTAAGTCTAGACAAAATATGTAGGTCAGTCTTATAATCTTAAAAACTACAATTGTTTTCTATAATATTTTTTCTAATGGAAGTGGATGCTGATATATTAAAAACCGTTATAAACCATCGACTATAGTCGTTTGGTATACCAAGCGTAAATTTAAAAAAAAAATCAGTCGTTATTTTCACACATAGATAATTGGACGTGTTACCATTCCTTCCACAATTTGTCATATAATAGCGAATTAATGCTAAACCATGATAAATTACTCTAGGTAATATCGAAACAATGTCACAACAATTCTGGCAAAAACGATGATTGGAGAAGATGAAAGAAAAATACAATATGGTAGGTTTTTGGAAAACTTATTGTTATTGTTGTTAATCATGACGAGCAGACTAACCATTCTAAATCTACATATTTTAAGTCTCCTTAAGTTAATATAAGTGGGTACAATTTTTCTTATTCTGCAGAGCATCTTTGAAATATTTAGATCTAGTTGGATGCTGCTGACCAAAAATAATGAGAACAATTTCAATAAATTGACCACACAGCTGTGTATGTTTGAAAGAAATTAGCCAAGACAAGATAATTGTTATAAATTATCACAAGATGCACTTGTAATGAAGGCTAGTTAAGTCAAACAAATTAAGAAGAAGAAAACAAATAGCAAAAAAGCAAAAACAATTTCTTATTATTGTGGTCTTAAAGGTCATTATAAAACTGAATGCAGAACTTGGATAACTTATTGAAAGCCATCAATCCAGAGTCAAGATAAAACAGGAGAGTAAGAAAAATGTTGTAAATGCTGCTGATACTACTATGGTTCTTGTGACAGTTTGTAATGAAGTCTGTAAAGTTAAAGTAAATTCAACAAATCGGTGTATTGATAATGGTGCAATCAAACATGTCACAAATTGTTTAGATTTATTTGTTGATTTTCAAACATTTAAAACGCCCTGTAACGTCAAAGTGGCTGGAAAGGAAACTTGCAAAGCAGTTGATCAAGGATCAGTTAGAGTTTTGTCGAAAGTTGATGAGAAAATTGAAGAACTAATATTGAAAGATGTACGGTATGTTCCAAATATTACAAAAAATCTTTTCTCTATACTGGTAGCTCAAGATAAAAATCCTCTAAGTACATTATTTTCTACAACAACAAAATGTTGGTTGAAAGCTGATTGAATGACTTTTTTAAAGATAAAGTTACTTTAGAGTATGATACAAGCATATACAGTAAAACCTCTCTATAAAGAACCCTCTATTAAACGAAATCCTCCTTATAACCGAAAATGTCAATAGTCCCAGTGCAAATAATATATAAAATTGACCTCTCTAAGACGGAACCTGTACTAAACGTAAACGGACAATTTTCGTAATCAAATTAGTAAAAATACTCTCTGTTAAACGGAAAATAAAATTATTTAAAGAAAAATTACAGGTTTTTCTGAAAAATCATTTGACAGTATTGCTTCAAGCAAAGGATCGCTCAATAGTGCACATGTGTGGTAGTATGGCTGGAGAAATTAGGAAACCGTTGGTAATTGGAAAGTCTAAAAAACCTCGGTGTTTTAAGAGCATGGACATTTCTTCATTACCTGTCATATGGAAATTTAATAAAAAAGCCTGGATGACCACAGAGATAATGGAGCTATGGTTGCTTTAAAATAACGCAGATATGCGATCTCAAAATAGAAATGTCCTGATATTCTTAGATAATGCTGCATGTCACCAAGATTGAAGTATCTTCTTTCAAATGAAAGAACCAATATAGATTTACCAGAAAATGCTTTGAAAGAAATCAATGAGGAGTGCGTTAGAGTCGATGTTTATACAGAAGATCTCATTGTATTTGAAAATAAATTATAAACGCATCAAACTTAGGATTCGGCGTATTTTTTAGAAGAGGAAAAAGAAGAAGAAAATAATGATGATGATGATGACAGTGAGATCAACGATGAGTCAAAAATAAAAGATTTTAAAACCGTAATCTCATATTTAGAAGAATTACAAAAATGTTCAGCCACGATTTCAAATTCAAATCTATTAGAACTTACAACCAAAGCTCGAGAATGTGCTGAACGTACTGCTCTTAATCACAAAAAGCAATCTAATATTAAAAACTATTTTTCTAAATTATAAAAAAGGTACAAATTTGTTACTATTTATGTAAAATGTTTTTTTTTAGTTCTTTAGTATTATACACAAACACATTTAAATATTAAGTCATACATTATAATCTTACTGTATAAATTTACGTTGTACGAAGTACATATTTGCCTAAAATATAATTTTTTAACACATACATACATACAGTCTTGAAACTTAATTTTTTTTTTCTACCTCTTTATGACGGAAAAATGTTTGGTCCGAAACGATTCCGTTATAGAGAGGTTTTACTGTATGAAAAATATCGATTTAGTAAATCAGACTCAGAGTCTGAACATGAAGAAGATTCCAAAGGGACAACTCACAGATTCTTTAATACTCACGAAACCAAAACACTTGGATAACTATGTGATGTTAGCAAAGGAGTTTGTCTGTTAAAAATATTTGCAGTGCTACTGAGACGCTTTTAGAAAAATATGCAGCGCTAACACCCTGCTAAGTAGCGCTGTCAAGTGACTTCGTGTGAAGGAGCCCTTAGATAGAAATTCAGTAAACAGATTGGTTTACCCCTCCCATGAATTATCACATTTTAGAAATATACATTCTCGCCTTTTTATATTATCTGTGTTAACTAATACTGTACACAAATTAAAATTTGTAAGAAACACATACTTTTCTTATTTCACTAGTCCTTTAGGTATATAAAATTATAACAAGTTTTTAAACTTATTTAAACTGTCTTAACATTTTCAAAATGGATGATTTGAAAATGAAATTATTTAAAGAATTTATTCTGAGTAAAAATTGTATTAAATTAAATTAAAATATATTCTAATATAAAAATATCTGTGCTACATAATATATATTATTATATGGTGGGCATTTATTTTATCATCAGCAATTCACCTACATCGTTGGTATTAAATTATACTCCTTCGTATTCTTACATAATAAATAAAGTTGTACGTTAGAGTTGTAGTAGCACAGATATGTGGTAGTTGTACAAGTTTGTAGTTTTAAACTTAAATAACTGCGATAACAAATAATGTTGATAATTAACGTGATAATAAATTAAATAAAGGGAAATATCAAGTTTATGGTAGGGACGAATCGTGATTGGTATTTTTCGACCACCTCGTTATCATGATCGATAAACCTAAACCGGTGTGCTTCATTTTTAAATCGGTTAAATATAGGGAATTTCTTGTGTGTCATATTTTGGTAAAATAATTAAATAGGCATTATATAATTGATTAATATTGTTCCAATTTTCCCGTTTTTTTTTTTCAAATTTGCAGGGAACTCTTGAGAAAATCGAAAAATACCCTCTTTAAAATACCTTCCTGATCAGATTTACTTTCAGAAAATGTGCTATCATTGTAAATCTGAACAAATTGCTCAAATTGTTCCCCTCGGATAATAAATGGAATGCATAATCTTTGTATTATGACAAACATTATTTAAAAGTTTTTTAACATAACATAATATCGCAGAATATCATAAGTTTAAAAAGCTATAATTTCAAAACTTAGTTAATCGGCTCAATTCTGACTTCGCTATCATTCTTAAATCAGCAAAATCAAAAAAAAATAATAATTGAAAAATTAAATCTGTCATAATTTTTTACTCAACGATTTTCGTCAAAATGTGATATTAAAATTTCTTTATAACAAAAAATACATTAAACTCAATTTTTTTGTATTTTACATTTTTACCAAGTCTATAAATGGCCAATATAAGTTTTCTGTCCAAATTTCAAGGTTACAAATATTTTTAACTGAATTACAACAAATAACAAAATTGAAAAATAATAAAAGCATTATTTTCATACATTTCCCATTATTCTTACATTTTATCATGGTTTTTCCTGATATTATGAAAACCATTTGGAAAATAAAAAAATGGCATCCCAAAACTATCATTTGGACAACATTCCCTTTCAGGAATGGTGCCAGGCGCATATATATGAGCAAGATAAATGGTAGAATTTTTGTACACAGAATTTAAAAAATAAACATCTTAGTAAAATCAATACATTCTTTGCTACACTCAGAATCTAAAAGATCGGAGAAAAAAATAATGTTAAACATTTTTGAAAAGATGTAAAATATTGAACTGTGCCTGGAATGGTAATTGACACTACTGACTTATTTTCTACAGATTTGTCTATAAGTTTATCATGTTTAGGTGACTTTGAATCATCGAACAGACTGTTTGGAAATCATTATGATACTAATATTAGAGTGCCGTCCTTGTATGTGCCAAGAAATGTATAGGGCGTCTTAGAGATGTTGTGGATGAACATAGAATACAGAAAAGGAGCGATGTCACTACCTTGCAAGATTCTTACTCTTAAAGGGTAGCAAGTTTAATAGCTATTTTAGACAAACTGTAAAATAATGGTCAGATAGATACAATTTAATTAATTAAAAATAGGGCTCTGGAAGATACTTTTTTAATTTGTATAATTATTTTGCAAAAAAATATACATCAGTTTTTTTTTATTTTTAGGATTTTTTCAGTTGGAAATCGAATACATACAATTTATAAAATTGACTATTATACACATTTAAAAAACAAAAAATTATGTTTTTATAAAATCTAAATAAAAAAAAAAAAAAAATAAGACCAAAAATGTTATGTTGTTATGGAATGATGATCCATTTTTTGAAAATGTCTTCCCAAATCAATTCTCCATATTCTCAAAAAAATGAGAATCATCCATAGCATCTAGTATTCATATATTAGTTAAGAAATTTTAATAATTATAATAATCATTAAGGTTAGGGACTTAAAGCTTTTGTATATTATTTGTTTATAAGAGAAATTTCAGTAGTACACACTTTTAAAATGCTATAAAATATTATTAACCTATTAATATCTAGTATTTTTCAGTATATGTGTAAGCTTATATTACATCCAAATAAAAACAAAAAAAACTTTTGATAGAATAGTTGTTACAAGACATAAAAAAAAAAAGGAAAAAATAGTAAAATCAATACCAGCAGAGATATCTCTGGTCCGAATCTAAAAATATATTAATACAATTAATAGGAAAATAATTATATCTACAAATAAATAGTGAAATAAATTGAAATAAAAAGTTTAGACTATATTTTGTTTTATTAAAGCTAAAAGGCGCCAAGTCTAATCTACATGTTATTATAAAACTTTTCGGGGCTGCTATAGATCTTAGATCTCAAAATTCCCTGATTTTCCTGGATACTTTCTAGAGATACTACATATACCTATAATTATAAAAGAAATAAAAATTTTTTTTTTTTTGAAATGCAATATAACTGTATTGATGTTCGGACAGTTAGCCAATTCCATTTTTAAGGTCAATAAAAATTCTATTTATTGATAATTGTATAATTTTGTTGTAGTCAAAATTGTTTAGAGCATTTTCAAAGCTTTTAATATCTCAATTGCAGTTGTGTGTTCTAAAAAACATGATGTTACTTTATTAAAAGACTTGCACCAAAATTTCACTATTATATATATATATACATTTGCTCTTTTGAAATACTTTGTAAAGTGATTCATCAAATGAAATGGAAAAAATATCAGATTCAAGAACTTCTGAGAATAAATTCTCAGCAAAATATTTTCTAATCCATATTGTGTTAAATATGTGATCAAGAAGTTATCACAGAAATATACCAACAATTTTCTAAACAACTACACAATGTAAAGGAAAAATTTAAACCAAGTACTGTGATCTAGTTTCTAGTTAGAGTATCTAATAAAATATTAATTATCTGACATTGACATACCGATTAAACTTGTGTATGGTGTAAAAGGATAAACTAAAGTTAATAAGCTAAAATTTAAATTTAAAATAAATTTTGATACACTATATACGATTATATTATTTATCTACAACTATAATTTGATACTTAAAATATTTTTTTTATCAATTTTCTCTTATTCCAAAATTTCCATAACAAATTTAAAATTCCTTGATATTTCTGGGTTTTCCAGACAGCAACCCTGTTATTACAATGTTAAAATGTATTTAAAATAAAACTGATATAGTGAAAAAAAGGATATTTTTTGCTACAATTTCATCAGACAATACTTGGAATCGAGCTCCCATTTCTGGTGAAATATCATCTTCAATCTGAAAAAAGTTCATATTTTCATTAATATGTATGTCAATAGTTGGATAACTCAAACAAATAAGATAGTAACTCAAAAGATATTGAATTTAAGTTGCTGCTTCATTCTTAACAGATTCATTTTCTCTTAAAACAGGCAATAAGTTATTTGAACGATTCAATTATAATGAGACCTATTTAATTAAAGATCAATTCATTATTATTTATTTCGTTCATGTGAACAAATTAAACAAAATGACTACCTATTGAGTTAAAAGATCTTATCAGACTATAAAGGTTACAATTCTGGTTCATTCAGTAAAAAATTGTGTATTTGAATTATATGTACAGATTTTTTTTTCTCATTATAGAATGTACTTCCAGGCACGTGGTCAGGGAATCGACAGAGCTGTAATCAGATAGTACTTTAATTTTCTACCTATTATGTTTTAATTCTTTTTGTCCCCAAATAGTTATTGGTTGATACAGTTGGTGATACATTTTATGTTAGAACCTCTCCCCCAACAAATAATTTTGGTTATTTATAATAATAATAATAAAGTCACTACCAAGATACTTACTATCTAGTTACAATAATGTTTTTTGTGTATTGATGATTTATTTAAGTTATTTTGTATGTGTAGTAGTATATCATGGGCTAGATATCATTAATAGTGATGTATAGCTGTCTATATGACTCATGGTTTCCTTATTCTAGTTTTAAGAAATTCCATAATATTAAATTTATTGTTGAACTTGTTATCACGGTTACGAATAAATTATCAATTGTGGTTGCTTAATTCGCTATAAAATAATATTTATTCAATGAATGGTATGAAGCGATTCGTTCATAAACCGCGCAACCCAAACAAGAATTGAATGAATGGACGACTTTTTGTATGTTTCACAATCTGGATTGATTCATTCACAAGTGTAACCCATTAGTTCACGAATGATACATCTCTAATTTTCTCAATACCCTAAGAACACAACAGTAGTGAATATCAGGTAAAGTGAGCCAAAGCATAGGGAAGAAATTTAAAGAGGGGCAACACATTAATTTTAAATTTGTTCTTTAAATATTTTGATGGCAAAAATAATGTTGAATAATAAATAACTGTGGAGGAGAGGGGGAACCATTAGGTACTGTTCTAAAGGAAACAGTAAAAATCTAATTATAATAATAACACAAAATTATCTATTTTTCATACAACACAAAAGTTGAAGTGATCAGTATACTTGCACACTAATAACATATTAGACATGGTTTTCAAAAGAAAGACAAAAATAATATTTTGAGGAACGATTTTCATTTCAATTTAGGTGGATAAGTGAGTAAGGCAAGACATTTTTATTTTTTAATAGTTTAACAATAATTTAAAAGTAAATTTTGATAAAGATTAACGAAAAAGAATATCACACCAGAATGTACAGGGTTTAGTAGGTGTATTCAAACAAAATTAATTGGTGGCCAGTGGCTTGCTTATACAAATCTTGGTTCCTTAGGTAAATGGTTTAATATCCCAATGTTTCTATTTTTAGACACAATGGCGTATTTTTCATTTTGACACCCTTAGCTATTTTTCATAACTTCTCCTTCCAGAACAATGTTGTTTTCAAAAAAAAAAAAAAAAACTATCAAATAGGTAGATAATTTTTAGTTATATATTATTTAATATTTTTACCAGCAACAAATTAAATACAAATATTATTGGAAACAAATATGCTGACCAAGGCTATAGTCTACTTAAATTCGTTACTTGGTAGTTACAATATACCTATCTGGACATTACATTTATTGCAGTAAAATAGTGTTCAAACTGCAAATAGTAATGATATATCATGTAATTTACCTACTCAATAATGATGGGAACAACACTAGTCAAATTGATGAAACGGTTACACAAAAACTAATCAAGTTAACATAACTTACTATGTTGTTAAAATTGATCAAAGAATTGTTGCCATTATTGTCAGTGATTGTGAGGTGCATATCTTCGTAATAAAAGCTCATCTTGATTTTTATCTGGTACTCAAAAGGTGTTTTTCCTACCTATCGGTGTATCAAAGTAATAAAGAAAAAAGTGTCTTTCCGACGATCAATTAATCAGTTTCTCGAATTACACAAATTTAATGAACTACAATCGTTATAACACTACTCTACGACGAAACGCCTTATCGTGATTGCAATGCTATTCGCCGTACAACAGTGCTGCCAAACTTGGTAATCCAAGAAATGAAGGAAAATTCCTAAAATATCGTATTTTTATTAAAAAGATCATACCAAAAAAAAAACTTTATGTTAAGTAGAACGAAAATCACATTCGATTTCAAAATGAAAACAAAACAAAAATATAAAAAATAACTTAAAAAAGACGCCCTAGAATAATGGAGATGGGTGCAGTTACTGTTTTAGGCAATTTATTGTATATCTGTAAGCAACGATAAACCATTGCTAACGAAAAACGATTCTGAGCGTAGTTCAGTTGATGGTGATGCTTTGTGAACAATGTCATATTATGGTAAAATAATTAAATAGGCATTGTATATTTTCTCTAATAATATTTGTTTAATATTGTATCGATTTTCCAGTTTTTCCCGGATTATCACATTTGCTGAGAAAACTTTGCAAAATCGAAAAATGACTTCCTCAAAGTACCTTTCCAGATTTTCTTTCAGAAAAATTGCTATTATTGTAAATTAGCAAAATTGCTTGTAAAGTTATGCACAGAAAAAAAAGGTATAATATTTTTTTACTAATAACTATATTCCGTACAGTTCCTGTTTTTCCGACATTTTATCCCGGTTTTTCCCAATTATGTAAACAGATTGAAAAATCACAAAAATGACCTCTCTAAATCGTGGAGATAAAATTTCCGTTTAGAAAATAAGCTACATTTGATGTATGGGAGCAAGATTTCTGATAGAAAAGTTTGCATAACAAATCGAGGAGTATTTTTTGATTAATATCGTCCGAGCGAGCGATTGCTAGGTCTCTAGGTACATTTTAAATGCATTTGTTTTTTCCCTATTTAGGTAAAAGATTATAATAGTATAGAAAATTCCTTTTCAAATCCCGGGTTTGAGAACCCGCGAACCCTTGTATGACGTTATGTAGTCATGACCATTTGATTACAACAGATGTCCAAATTGTTTGTAATATATAGTTATTTAACATAAATATGTAATATCTGCATAATTCCTAAATTTTACAAAGCTATAATTTCGAAACTTAGTCAGTCCGCTCTTTGAATTTTGACTTCACTATCGTTCTTAAATTAGCAATATACATATCTCTAAAAAAAAAAAATTAAAAAAAATAGAAAACTTAGATTTGTTCCACATAATGTTTTACTCAAACGATTTTCTCAAACTCAATTTTTTTTTTTTTTTTTACTACAAAGTAGTATTTAATGAATCTCCTTTTAAATTTTCAAGCATTTCTGTTAAGTCAAACAATTTTACCACAAATTACCTACAGAATAAAAATTACGTATAAACTCGCATAATTAAAATGTCTAGTCCAGTTTTGACAAATTTAAATGAAAAAAAAAAATAATAATAATAAAATAACGTGTGTTGATACACAAAATATTTATAGATTTGTAATAGATGTTGGAAACAATATGAAATACCTAATCTTGTTTATTTTAGCAATATAATTATACAAATAGTTACCTACTTGTCTAAAAATAATATTAATATTATTTAATTTCTATGTAAGTTACCTTAAATAAATACTGAAAGCCTTAAATGTATTATAGTAAGAAGAACGAAGTTTACTGATTTAATTTGGTAAGACTTGTTTACAAAAATAACTTTAAAAATAACTCTTTTATGTCATTGCAAAAGATTTATTTTTAAAATTTTATAGTTTAATGCATATAAACTACCTATAATTAATAACATTAATTTATTATAGGTAAGTACGAGATAAGTACCTACATTATAATAATTACCTACCTACCAGTCTAGCTATATTATGTATATCAAAATATAAAACTATGATGAAATAATAATTAAAAGGAGCTATAAATGAAATAAAAATATAATTGATTTGTTGCAAAACTATGTGAAAAAACACAATTAAACATGGGCAATATTTTTATTAAATTATTGTTTGGTATTGGTATAGAAATATTTTTTTAATAGCAATAGAATTTTAAAAATGGGTTTAAAATTAAATTTTAGGCGTTGGGTAAGCAACTTATTAAACTATCACAAGCACAAATCAGGAGTTATATAGGCAACATTTAGTAAAAATTGGGAACCACTGGACTTTCTTATCAAATATTGCTAGCGGAAGGTACACGAATAAATAATACATATAAGGAATTGGGAACTGTGATAATACTTTTTGTTTCTTCTTTAATAATTTTGTTGTATTATGTAAATTTTTGTTTTCTATTAATCATTAATTAATAATATATAAATTAAATTATGGGCGTTATTAAAAGTTTATACCTCTTATAATATTATTTATAAACTACCACTTGCATTATGCTGTCGTCAATAGGGCAGCAGCCGTCAAATCAAACTCTAAGACTTGTGGATCGAGATCGGTTAATTGCACAACGGGTTCGAGTTAAATCCGACGAGAAGCTAATATCTAAAACAATAGAAACGTCAAATGATCAACAAAATTCTTTAGAAAACTTGTGGGATTTGTCAACTGATTTTGATTTTAATTCAAATTCAAATAGTGACGATTTATTAGATTTGGGTAATAGTCAAATGTCAGCATTTTTTCGTGAATTTTCCAATAGTCAAAAAACTATATGGAAGGAAGAAAAAAAAAATCCTGCTGCTCACTATAAAACAATTAAAGGATTAGGATTTTACTCTTGTGATTCATGTCCATTTCTTTGTTTAAATGTTAAAGTTTTTTTGGAACACAGCGAAAAAGATCATAATTTCCACCAATCTCCTCTTAAATCATTACTAAGAATTAAATGTATTGGATGTGATAATATATTTTATTCAATAAACGTTCTTCGAGTAAGTATCTACTTAAACATATCTTATTTAATAGTATATTATTATTGTTACTATTTATTGATTTACGGCAATAGCCTATATGTACTTTATCAACTTGTAGCTAAAATATGAATTTAGTATTGATTATTATATATTTGAATGCAGTAGGTATCTGTTAACTTAATATTAAAAAAAAACTTGTAGATAGATCTATTCAATTGACGAAAGTAATGATAATCATTTGTATGTAACAAAAGTGGATTATAATATTCAGTTTCATATATACTCTTTATAATAACATCAAGCTATTTAAATTTAAATGCAATTTTATTTATTTTTGATTCCAGTATCATTTGATTGAAGATCATGATGTTTTATCTGTTGAGATTGATGGACTAATACAAATTGTAATTGAAGCTAACAAAGAAGAAACTTTATACATGAATGGTAAATATATTAGCATAATATGTTAAAATACGTACCTAGTATTTATTAATCATTATAACTTATGCAGAAGAAATATCTCAAATTCAAAACAATAATTTGGCAGATTTTAACAATATTAGTGATACAATACTCAATACTTCTGAATTTAATCAGCGATCAAATTTTATTGACACCCAAATAACAGGTAAGAATAATATTATATTGTTTTTTCAAATAAGTCATGGTTTAAAGTGCTTGGGCCAACCTATTAAACTCGGTGGTTTTTAATAGATTGGGCCTAGTTATAAGACCCAGCAAGTAGGTAACTGGACAATATTTTTATTTTAGTAATATTTTCTTATAGTTATGCATACTTTGTAGTAGGTGGGGAGTTTGAAATATATAGAACATTGATGTGAACTTTTTGGTTCCCACAAATTAAACATTTTTGGTATGATTTTATTTACATACTTTTTTTGCTTTTTGTTTAAATAATTAAACATAAAAAAATACTTTATTTAGTATCCAACTGACTAGCGATTGTATTAAACACAAACGATAAGTAACAATTTGAACAACAATGATTAATAATAGACAGTTAGTTAAAATAGTTTTCGTTAAGTAAATGCCAAATCTAAATCCTTATCTGTTGGCAACTGTAATTAAGGTCTTAAAAAAACCATTAAAAGTAGTATTGAGTCTCAAATGAGAGATATAAAAATACACAATACAAAAATGATTGTAAATGTTAAAAATGATAATATTAAATTATTTTAAATTATCTTATTTTTATTTTTTTCATAGGAAGTTAAGTGAAAATCATGAATTATATTTAAATTGGTGTGTCACTGAAATTTCGTGGGTTTGTTATTCTGTGATATGTATTCAACACACATGTCACATGACTGATAAACCATATTTTTCAAAAAACATTAGCTCTACAGTGGCATATGGTCTATTTCATGAGATTATGAATCCTTTTTTTTTTTTTTGTATAGTTAAGGTATATGTTGAAACTAAATTTAGGGTGTTAAATGTAAATACAAGTTTAAATTTTTTTATTGAATTTGGACCAAAATCATAATTGATAGCTAAGGTTACACTGTTAAAAACTACTTGTGGATTATAAAGTCATTGAAAATTAGTATTAGGATTTAATAAATTAATAGGCATTTTGCTGGTTAGAATTTATTAAATGAATCGACTATGGATTGGTAGTCCATAGAAATGTACCAATAGATCTAGCTAAAAAGGGTCATTGTCAAATCAATGCCAGTCTACTGGTAGTAAACACATTAACCAAGGCCCTATGCGTGACATGGGTTCACCAGTTCTGGTATAAGATAGTTTAATTTGTTTATTAATAATAACAACAAATCAATGTAATCAGTTTTAAATGGAGTAGTATTGGTTTTTTCTTATAGCCAAGGTAACTAAAAAATTAACAAAAACAAAACAGATGTTTATTGAAAATTTTTAAAAATTGTATAGATAAAACTTGTATGGAATTAGACATTTTTTTAAATTACAATAAAACCAATTGAAAAATATGTACATTGGTACAACATGAAAAAAATCTGAACATTTTATTAAGTAACCCATTAAGTATCTTCCAAGAGAAAACTACACTCAGTTGCCAATCTACCTGGTCTAAAACCATCTTGGTATTCTCTATTTAAATTTCAGCTGTTCCTTTTATCCTTGATAGAATGCCATAAATTAGTGAATATTTTATATGCTATTCCTCAGTAGTTGTTGCAGTCCTTTCTATCTTTATTTTTGTAAATGTGACATATTATCGCCACTTTCCAGTCTTCGGGTATTTCTTCTGTTTCCCATTCTTTGGTAATTAGTTCCCATAATCAGTTATCCTTCATTCTTCAAAGAACCATCATCATTTTCAGAAAACTTTTTTCTTGTAGTCTCTTTCAAGGTTTTTTATCAGTTTATATAGGTCTCTTGTTCTATGGCTTCTATATTTCATCTCTGTGTTATCCAGTTATACATGTTACATATTTCCTTTTTCTCACATCATGGGATATTATTAGTTTCCCTCAGACGGTTTATATATCTTTCCAAGATTTCAGTATTATTGTAAATATTATTAAAATAAATTTTAATACCTAATATTTGATTATAATTTTACATAAACTAATTATTTAATTTTAATATTTTATTGTATTATTTCTATTAAGTTATTTCAAACCAAAATGCATAATTTTTCTTATCAATGAAGGGCCACTCCAACGACCTTTAAGCATAAAATTCCAGTAAATAAAGGGTAAAACATGTTTCTTCATTACAAACATGCTACGCAATTCATTTGCTTGGTTAATTGGAAAAGTTTCTAATGGCTTGAGATCATAATCAAATTCTGCAAGAATACATTTGTTATATCCAGTGACTAATGGACAAGATGTGTATCCATCATATTTTTCTTTGATGCTCTTACCATTTATTACATTTATTAAGTTTTTAAGTACAACATTGCTTTGTGCAGCTACTGCAGCTGCTGTTTTAGATGTTGGACAACTTGTGCAGTCTCCAATTCCAAATATATTTCCATAAATATTGTGACGTAATGTGAACATGTCAACATTTAAAAACCCAGCATTATTACTAAGACTTGATTTTGTTAAAACATCTGGTGGACTCATTGGTGGTGTGACATGAAGCATAGAATATTTTACAGATACTGTTTTATTTGGTTCATCAAGAAGTTCAAAAATAGCTACTTTTTGGGTAGTATTTATTTGTATTAAATTTTGTCTCGTGTTGACTGATATATTGCGCGCATTACATATTTGTTGTAATTTCTGTGCATATTTTTTAACTCCAAATATTGTAGGTGTGGATGTTTTATACATAATATTAATATTATCTTGTATGCCCTTTCTTCTTAAATAATCTTCAGTAATATACATAATTTTTTGAGGAGCGCCTGCACATTTAATTGGTGTATTAGGAAATGTAAATATTGCATTACCACAATTCAAATTTTGTAACACTTTATAAGTTTTTTCTACAAATTCAGATGAATAATTGGTACATACACCACTATCTTTTTCATCTAGTGCTTCTTTTAAACCTATGATTTGGTTATAATTATATTGTAATCCAATGGAAACTATCATATAATCATAATTAATAGTGTCACCATTTGATGTGGTGACACAATTATGTTCTGGGTTAAAACTATAAACTTTTTCTTGGATCCAATTAACATTTTTTGGAAGCACAGATTTGGTAGAAGAACAGGATTGTGAAAGAGTTTTAATGCCACCACCAACCAGTGTGAATAGAGGTTGATAATAGTGTGTTTCATTTGGTTCAAGTACTATTATATCACGTTCATATTTTGAGAGTTTGGCTGCCATTGTACATCCTCCAGATCCTCCGCCAACAATTAACAACTTACAAGTATGATGCATGTTTCTGGCAATTACAAGATTTGAAAACATTGCAAATTAATTTAAATGTAATATTACTTAGATGACGTTTCTTTTTATAAAGAAAATTTGTAATGTTATCTACTACTTATTTTTCTAGATACTTTTTAAAACTATTTAAATAATGAAATGAATAATTGATTAATTACTTAAGTAATAGGTATATATATAACTTGAATATTTAATTATTTGTTGATTAATAATTATCGATTTATTATAAAAACTTAATTTGTGATTATATCCAAGGTTGAAGTATCAAATGAAAAGGCAATGAATAATAGATAATTGTTTATAAATTCAAGTTGTTATAATTGGTTTTATACAACATTTTCACTGTTCTGTACTGTAATTGTCAAAGCCACAAAATGATTTGCTTAATATGAATCTTCTTATTGCTGAGTTCTTACCTTGAAATAAGAATATGATATTACTTCTGGTTTGGAAAATAAATTGATAGCATTTGTTCTGTTATCGTGACACCGTGTATATAGCTATCTATACCTTGTTTCGCGATAAGTTTTCGTTCGGCGGCACCTGATATGTTTATAAGTCAATGGGTGGCGCACATCCTCATCAGGTAGCACCGGTCACGACCTGGTGGGGATGCGAACGAAAACTGTTTACGAAAGCGGTTTATGTTCTCTTTTGAAACAGGGTATAGTAGGTATCTATACTATTTTTCACAAAAGAACGGTAGAGAGTCTCGACGAAAACCAGTCATTCTTACGCCGCACCTCGCCCAGGGCTGCCACCAGCGAGTGATCCATAAGCTCAGTCTGCGTGCGCGAAAAACTACCTTTTTCTCGTGAAAAATAGTATATATATAGATAATACAAACTATAGTTAGTGTAGACTAGGAATTAAGATAATATACAGGTATCTTACAGCAGGGGTGTCCAACGCGCGGCCCACGGTAGATTTTAATATGACCTTCACTTCAATTTCAAATCATAAATTAATTATATTATGTATAATGAGAACAAATTTATATTAAGAATATAAAACTAAATAGAAGCTAATTCGTTTTTGAGGCTTTAAAGTAATATAAAAAAATAAAAATAAATAGCTCGTCAAAATATTTCTACTCATTATTTGCTATGGTAAAATCGTTTATAGTAATTATAAATAAAATGTAGTTAGCCACAACTCCTACTTACATGACGTGGCCCAGTCTTCACAAAAGGTTGGACACCCCTGTCCTACAGTGTTTTACGCATGGCTAAATATATAGATTAATCGCAACGTTGTGATACATAGGTACAATGGCCGCCACCAGCAGTGATTCCCGTTTTATTTCAATTTAATTGGTAATAAATATCACTGCCAGTTGAGTTTTCTCTCCGTGAAAAGCTATGAAATAAACAGTTGTGATCATATCTATATATTAAGTCAATGGGTCACAATAATAATATGTGCTTCGTGTTTTTTTTTTATCTCTATTTAATCACTGAAAAAAAGTAACTTTATTTTTTCACTATTCAAAATAGCCATTTTGTAAAAAATATTATTCTAAAAATTTGAATGTACCATATATTCTTATTTGAATAATAATTTCTAAATAATAGCTGTTATAATTTCTAGAAAATTGAAGTAATAACAATTCATTTTAAATAGAATAATACAATTACAGAAATGAATCACAATCAACATGGTAATTTCTAATCATTTATTGAAAATTAATTGTTTTCACGCCAATTTTTTAGAAATTAAAATAGCTATTACACAAAAACTATTGATCGGATATAAGTGTATGGTAAGTAAATTAAAATTTTCAGAATAATATTTTTACAAAATGACTGTTTTGAAAATGTTGAAGGTTTTTTTTAAAATTTTTATGTGATGAAAAAAAATAATGTATATTACGTTTGTATAATACTGTAGACACCCTATATCAGGTGATTTAAGTTGGTACACTCATTATCTTGGAAAGTATAATTTTTTTCCGGATTTCGTTTAGTAGAATATTTAAGAAACAAGCTGCTTTACAATTTTATATGTATGCTAAAACCACTATCTACTTTGGATTTTAAAATGGTAACCTATATTAAAAAGTCCATAAACAGATGGAGTATTAGTTAAAATAAACATGAGTGTTGACATTTTTAATTTCTGTCAATCCATTGATGAGATATTCCACTTTTAAATTCGGGTTTCTCCAAGCTATTGCTTACGCTGATCTTAATATTTTCTCGGTTCTTAAGGATATCGATCTCACGGTCGGTTTAAATTCTGCAATCTCCTGTCTTTCTACAATCTTGCGTGACATTTTTTTTGTAGCAGCACCAGAAAAATTGAAAGCCATCATTTTTACTGGACGTCGAGTACCTTTAATTTTCCCTCCTGTTCTCATAGAGGAACTCTTTATTCACTTAGATTCTGCAGTTTCTTACCTAGGTTTAACAATGGACTGTAAATTGCGTTGGGGCCCACATTTCTAATACCTGCTCTCCTTTACCTTTAAATTGACTAAACTTTTCCGGTCCCGGGTGAGGTGGAGGTCATCCTATTCTTGGCGCTCTTCGTACCGCTCCTTCCTTAGCTCTAGAAGTCAAGCTGCGTTCTCCCTTTGGATGTTCATGCTCACTGGCTTGGCTGTACATTCTTTTTTAAAAAACTGTAGTCCCCGGGTCTCCACGATTCCCTTCCCTGTCGCTTTACTCATCAATTTTCCGCGTTTGGCATTACTTTGTCAATTTCATCCCTCTTATTTCCAGTATCATTGATTTCGTTCGCTCTTTTTTTCAGTTCATTCATTACTCAGCCGACCACCTGCTTCTGTACGATACGCCTTTCGAGACTTTACTGTTGAATGTTTCTGTTACTATTGACCCCTAGTTCTCATCTAGACCCCATCTCCTCTATCCATTTTTTCCTGTCTACCAGCGTAAACTCTCTATTTAATGAGTTTATTATTTCTCTTTATCCTAACTCCTGCTTAGTATTTATCGACGTATCCGTTTCGAAAACATCCCCCGGTTATTCATTTTATATCCCTAGTCTTTATATTAAGTTTTCCAAAAGCGTTCCCCTATCTGTCTCGTCTTTTACAACTGAATGCCTTGCTATATATGAAGCCCTTTTAACCATCAAATCATTAGGTATTCATAATTTTGTCATTTGTTTTGACTCTCAATCTTGTCTCATGGCATTACATTATTCTCCGTTCGCTTCCATTGTTTTTTATCTCGTACTTCAAATCCGTTCGATCCTCTTCTCTTTCCAATTCTGGTTACACAATCAATTTTGTCTGGGTTCCTAGTCATTCAGGTATCCATAGTTAATAATTAAAATTCCTTATTTCGACTTTTTCCCAGCCCTTTAGGGTCATGCTTCTAGGTCCTGAAATCCTAAATGGGTAAATTTACCCCTAACCTTTGCCATCTCTATTCGTATTGTCTACCCTTCTATCCCTCCCTTCCCATAGTTACACTAAATTCCTATTACTCGGTGTACCATTGTTTCTTTTTCCCGCCTTAGATTCGGGCATAACTGCTTTCCTGTTCATTCTTACTACCTATCCCTCAATGATTCTCCTTCTTGTCCTTGCCACGATGGCTCCACTATTTGAAACGCTTCCCATTTCGTCTTCAATTGTCTTGCCCTTCCCAATCTTCTCTCTTCTTTACGTTCTTCTAATAATATTCCTTTTTCGCTTCTTCGTATTTTGCAATCTTCCAATGTTCACTTTAACCATTCAATAATTAATATCTTTTCCTTTGAAGGCTTTCTTTTATAACTGTTTGTATTACTTTATATTGTTATTTTTATAATCGCTGAGGTATAAATGTTTATTGCACCTCTTTGGGTTGGTGGAGAATAGTAGAGTATCACGTGTGGGCTGTACGACGCGGCGTGTCCATAATGCACCACTACTTTCCTCCAATCTAAACTTAAAAGTGGAATATCTCGTCAACGGCTTTACAGAAATACAAAATTTCAACACTTAAATTTATTTTAACTAATATCCACTTATTTATGTATTTTTTTATTATAGGTTGCCATTTGAAAATCAAAAGTAGATAGTGGTTTTACCCCCAAAAATAATATACATATAAAATTGTAGAGCAGCTTGTTTCTTAAATATTCTACTAAACGAATTCCGGAAAAAGTTTATACTTTCCAATATAATGAGTGTACCCACTTAAATGTATCACACGGTATAGGATACGCAACGAGAGCCTGTTATCAAAAAACTAATCTGTATGCTCCTATATTCATCAGATTCGTCAGCCGCTAATTTTGGATGTTCCTAAATCCTAATTACAGTAGATAGAAAATCCGCTGGAGGGGAAGTAGCTTAGATCATATATTATAGATGATGGATGGAGCCATAACGTATTCAGTCAATACAAAATAAAGTACATCTCTCACGTGGGTGTAGCCATTGTTGGTGGGAAGTAAGTTAGGAAGGTAGGGTAGTGGGTAAACCTATACTGGCAAGTAACGATATGTATTTAATGTATCTAAATTTAAATTGACTAGTATTATATTAATACATGCATTCATTATGACATAAATTACAAATTAATATATATATAATGTAATCTATACATCTATACATCTTTATTCGTGATATAAATTATCTAACCCTAATAAAAAATTGCACTGTTCAGCGTTTTTTTCTGTACTCATTTTTCATGATATTTTCACTATATTTTCAATATTGTACAAAAATTGTCTCGGTCATATTTGAGTGCTAGTTGTTAGTTCAAGAACAAAGAAGTTTCATCTAACTGATAAATTGCGTATCCTATGTATCTCAACTCGTGGTGTAGACTGTTTAGTAGGTGTAATCACGATAAATGTGTAATATTTAATTTTAAAAATATAATTTTTTTTTTTTTACTTGGTATTTTTTCTTTCCTTACTCGATGTTCTCCATTGCTGATTACTGAATAAGAACCAAACTATTAATATCGTTCCTTTGGAATTTTGCAGAGTACCGATAAAAATAAAAAAATGATTTAAATAAATATTGCTTGTAAAATGTGTCTTTAAAACGTGCAATTATTATTGAACAATATATAGGTGTTTTACAATGTTTAATAGATAAATAGTCAATAGATAAATCACTTGAAATTATTGATATTTTAAAAGAAAAATTGTACTACATTTTTTTTTTAACAAATAAGTTTATAACATAGTATGTGTAGAATCTTTTTATAGTATTTATACAACTGGTTGAAATCTATCATAATTTATTGTTCTGATAATTTTATTAATAATTTAACTGTAGCCTGCTCTATACTGGTGTGTGTTATGATAATTTGATTGGAACAAATGCGTACGTCCTATTGTTTGGAGTTCCCACTATTATAAACTATATTATACTATAAAACGATTTATCTTATATGTATTTTGTTACAGTATTATTTAAATATTGCTTAGATAAATAAATAATAAGATACAACCATACTTCGTACGATGAGTGGGCTACTGTTATAGGTGTGAAGTTGGGAAGGTAGAGGGGAAATTTGATGTATTTCTGTATGCAACAATTAACCATTGCTAACTAAACACGATTCTGACCGTTGTTCGGTTAAAATTGTTGCTTTGTCAGCAATATATATGTTATATTATTGTAAAATAATTACGAAAACAACTAGGGAAACCAAAAAATGACCTCCCTAAAGTACCATCTCAGTCAGATTTCTTTTTAGATAAAGTTCTATAATTGAAAGCCGTAGTAAAATTGTTGGTAGAAAAGTTGTTCACGGATAAAAAAAAAAATTAATAATGAATAAATAAACATTGTAATCATAATCAAAATTATAATTTAAAACCAATGGAATGCCATGTTACAATTATTTATAACATCTCATCTTAATGGAATTTTTTTAACATTATTATAGAAAAAATTATGTAATATAATACCTATATTGTAATATAATTATTGCACCAATTACTTGAGCAATAGTTAGGTAATTGTTTTTGGCTGAATTGTAAGTTTTTAATACAACAACAGTGAATTTTTTTAAACAAAGACTTCTAGTAATGAGAACGATTGTGTCAAATTGTTTAATTTTGAGATGTTGATTGATCTATTTTTTGAAATAAATGCCAGAAGAAATGTTTGTGTGGATTGTTGTATTATTGTGTAATTAGTTTTTTTTTTTTTTTTTAGGAGAACATAATTTTGTTGACAACTTTCCTTCAAATGAGACTTCTGATGATTTTTGGGACTATCAGGAGCAAGTATTTAACGGACTTCAAGAAAATAATATTAATAATGATCAAAATATTATAGAAAAATGTTTAAGGTTTGTATATATTTTTTGTTTAAATCTTATGTTTTAAAAAAACTAATGCATATTTTATATTTAGTGATTTTTTAGGTAGGTAATGTTTAAAAACTCACCTTAAATATTGATTTTTAATAATATAAAATTTTATCACTCAAAATATATTATTTACTCACTATCTAATATTAATTTTGTATACAATGCACTTAAGCTTAAGTGTTGATAACCTTATGGTATTAGTTGAATTTTTGAAGTGTATTGTAAAAAAATGTTATGCATAAAATATTCACTGTTGACTATGGTTACTTACTTTTATATGTACTATGCATTTATAAGACCAACTTTGAATAAATATTGACCTTAATATTAACTTTTAGGTGTTTTTTCTTATATTATAAGATTCCGCATAGATAAATAAACTAAAATAATAATAAGTAAAATTAATTGTATATTTTATTATATTAAATTGAAACTATATAAAATTAATTTATTGAGCATAATTTAAATACACAAATGAATTACATTAATTAAAATAATAATAATAATAATAAAGGTAATATGAATAAATATAAAAACTCAATGACTACTTGAAAAAAAAAAAATAATTTTGACTTTTTTTTATTAAGATTTTCCAACAATAATGGAGAGTGGGATTGAAGTAGGGTGTTTGTTTTTCTCATTATAAAAATGTTTATTTTCACATCTTCACAATTTAATTTTTTTAACCCTGTCTAAATCTACTATTGTACTAATCCTAAACTGCTATTTTATACAAATTTGTGAGTTTTGATAAACTAATAACCATATTATATCTCAAAAATATTTAATTTTATGTTTAAATATAATGTTTGTTTTATTAATTAAGGTGCTCAATTGGATCATGCAAAGTTAGATTTGGAACAGAGGACAATTTGAAGTATCATGAGAAATGTCATTTAGATGATGGATATCGATGTGTGGAATTGGATTGTCAGTATGTTGATTCAAAGTGGTTGTCAATGATGTCACATTTATGGAAAACTCATAATATAGATCTGGAAATGTTTAGTTGTAACCAATGTGGGTTTAAAACAAACAGGTAATTAGTTAAGAATTTTAGATAGAAAAAGACATCCTACGATAATGGGGGCGGGTGTAGCCACTGTTATAGATAATTTAATATATACCTGTAAGTAATGATAAACTATTGCTTACGAAAAAACGATTCTGATTTCTGTTGATAGTGATATTTTGTCAACAACATATACATCATTTTATAGTAAAATAATTAAATAGACTTTATGTATTTTCTTTAATAATATTTGTTTAATGTTGTACCGATTTCTCAATTTTTCACAGTTGCTGAGAAAATTCGGGGGAAAATGGAAAAACGACCTCTCTAAAGTACCTCCCCAGTGAAATTTATTTTCAGAAAAATTGCTGTCATTAAAAGTTGGAGTGACAAATCTGGTAGAAAAGTTGTGCACAAGAAAAAAAATTGTAATATTTTATTAATATATTTCATAAATTTTCTCGTTTTTTCAAATTTTATGAGAAAACTCCAAAATGACCTCCTTATGACATTAATTTTCCTGGTTGCCTTGAAGTAATAGATTTGGTTCCAACTTTTTACAGCAAGTCTAAGATTACCTTTTACGAGTCATTTCATTCTCAATCTTCTAGTTAGTTATAATGAACCTAACAGCAAAATGCTTCGAGTTTGTAATTCCTTGGACTTGGAGTTCAATTATGATAAAGAATCTAAACTTCAGCATTTATTTGTAGATTTTGAATAATTAAAGGAAAGGAATTAAGATAAGTTTTATTAGGTATTTAGTTAAGATACAATTGCTGTTATTATTATTACTTTTTTGTACCATGTATAAATTCATTTAGTGAGTTAAATTATATTTTATTGTATTTGTACATGCACACTCTTATCCTATTGAGCATAAATAAATAAATATTATTATTATTATTAATACATTGTCACCTGAGAAATTAATTAATTATTTTATGTTTTTAGTCTGTATAAATTGAATACATTTCACAAGAATATACATAAAAAAGAAAAACCGTTCTTGTGTCCGGACTGCAGCAAAGGATTTAAATCGATCAAACAGCTCAGGAACCACAGAGTAGGTAAAAATTTATAACAATGTACACTAGTCCAGATTAAACTATCAACAGTTATGGAACAATTGATTTTTTTAAAATTTTATAATGAGTGTTTGTTTTTTCTCATACATTTTCATTTACGGCCTTCATTCTTCTCTTTCACCTTCATCCCCCTTGTACTAAACTTCCACTTGACCCGATCTTCCACATTGTTCTCGTATACATCCATCATCATTATATCATTCTCAAACGTTTCCAACCATCTCTTTTGGTATTCAACTCTCCCTCGTTCCTCTTATGTCTATAGTAATTTTTATAACAATTCTTACTGCTTCTGGTCATCTCTTCTCATAACATGCCTAAACCATCTCAGTCTAATTTCTCTTATTTTGTCCACTATCAAACTTTGTATTTGAACTTTCATACATATTTTCTATCAAACTAGTATACAATCTTGGAACTTCTTTTTTAATTCTTATTCTCATCGATTCACATTAGAACCTTTCTCAGTACTTGTGTCATAAGCTTTCTCTAAATCTCTATAAGCCTTACATGTTTTTTTTCTTTGTGTACTTTTCTACAATCTGTCTAACACAAAACACTGGTTTCATCATAAATAATCTCCTTTGCGTAAAACGATAATCCTTGAGGTTAAAAGTTTCTTTATATTTTTATATGCTCGTTGCTTTATACAAATAAGATCAATTAGTGAACTACAGTTGGAAAACAGATCTACGAGTACAAAGTTATGGAACAAACTTGATGACGGAGGAGTGAATTGCGTCAAAGAAACTATTAGTTGCAATATCAACAGTATTAGGTTGACCTATATAACCAATCAAAGTAATTTAGGAATACAGTGATTAGATTATAATTTGCAGTTTTAAAATTTAAAAAAGTGTTAGGAATGGATGGAGATGGGGTTTGCAAGATAATATCATAAGAAATTAAAAGAGCTGAATGATACATATCACATTTAATAGGAAGATCAATGGAACAATTAACATAAATAGAAAGTGTGTTAGTGATAAGTAGATCTAGTAGGGAACTGTGTGAATTTAAAAGTGTCTAGTTGGTAAGTTTCAGGAATTCAAATTTTCAAAACTATTATGAAATTAAAAAATTATAAATGTTTAATTGTATTGATAGATATCAAAATATTCATAGTTTATTATCCTACTAGGTAAACAATATTCTTAATAGTTTAAGTATGTTAAAATAAATTATAAATACTACTTTACATACTACATTCAAATGTGATTAGGATGTTGTGTTTTAAAAAACGCAGATGTGCCATTTAATAGAAAATTTCCTAACCCTGGTGATGACCTATTAAATTAATATAAATACAATAAGACTGGATAGTTTTTGTGAATAACACTGTTATGTATCTACTATTTAAAATATTATAATAATAATCAATTCACAATAAAGACTACATTAATGTATATATAATGTGGAGAAATGACACAATTTTATTTTTCCTAGGTAATTCACACAAAAACAGAAAAACCTTTGAGAACTGATCTCACATGCTTGCATTGTTCCCGGGACTTCACCACCAAGAGTTTGCTACATCAGCACATCACCAGCATACACATCCGAGCACGGCCATACTCATGCGAGGTGTGCAGTTATACAACTGCTGTGGCTAGTTCACTACGTTTGCACATGCGATCACACACCGGTGAGAAGCCATTCAAATGTGATGAATGTGGTTTTTCCACTGCTGATCACAACACTCTCAGAAAACACAGGATGAGACACACTGGTCAGAAGAACTACAAGTGTCCACTGTGTAACTATTCCTGTATACAAGCATCTTCATATAAAAAACATCTTAGGACCAAACATCCAGGTTTGTCCATTTTTCTTTTTTAGACTTTCATCAGTCTAGAGCTGTATTTTCCAACCTGGGGGGCATGAATATATTGCTGGGGAAGCACAATCATTCATCACAAAATAAAATTTGTATTTATTAAATTATTTTTATTTTACAATGTAGGGAAAAAACAAAAAATTAATAACGACTATTATATCAATAAAGATTACAAGTACGGCTATATTCAGATTGTGGCAACAGGAGACAGTTGCCTAGGCAGCTTAGTTTTTTTTATTAATTTTACAATAACATCAGATTTTCCTATTTGGTCTTCTAAATTTCTAAAGGGTCTTTATAATCACTTGTGCCTATGTATACGGAGAAATTAAAATAAAATCAGTTTCACAATCACATATTATATATAATTTTATTCCAAATCTACTAAGTCTTTTGGTTTTTACTGTTTAAAAGACAAAGATCCTTTCCATAAAAGTAAACTTTCATCAATAGCCAAGGTAGAAAAAGGAATAATAGTATTTTTAAAATCACCTTGCATAGTTAAATTCCATTCAGGATAATATCAAATCAAATTCCTGCTGCAAAGCCCTCAAACTCTTTACTTTTATTGTATTGGGCTTGAATAAATTAAAAATAAAAATAAAATAAAAAATTACAAACTACCAATTTTCAATTAAAAATGTTTTAAAAAAGACTTGCATACTTTGCATGATGGGTGGAGACCACTGTTGTAGATGAGAAGTGAGGGTGATACGATATAGAGGAAATTTATTGTTTATCTGTAAGCTCATATTAATCATTGCAAACGAAAAGCGATTTTCAGCAGAGCTTGGTTAATATGATTGTTTTTCAACAATATATATGTATTTATATTTTAGTAAAATAAATATAAATTTAAACAATTATTTGTGTGAACCAGTAACTAGATTTGTTCGACATAATTGTTTACTAAAACAATTTTCATCAAAATTTGTATGAAAAAAGTATATTAAATTAAATTAAATTTTTTTTTGTTTTGACCACAAAGTACAACTTATAATAACCTACTGTTCAATTTTTAATCATTTCTGATTAGTTGAACAATTCAACAATTGTATCCATAGACTACATACCAAATATAAATTACTCACAAAATTAAAATGTCTATAAACAGGTAGCTTAAATATGGCTCAAATATTTGTACAGTTTTGTTAAGTCTAGAAAAGTCAAATATAAGGTTTCTGTCCAAATTTCAAGTTACTACGAATATTTTTAGCTGAATTATAAAAGCATTTTCCACTTTTTTCTTTTTTCCTGGTTTTTCCCTTTTATTGGGAAAACTTCTGAGAAATTAAAAAAAAATACCTGCCTAATGTACCATGTAGATAAAATTTCCTTTCAGAAAAGGTACCTTGACATACACATCGTAACAAGATTTCTGGTAGAATTTTTGTACATAATATAAATCAAAATAAACATAGAAAACCAATATATCCCTCGCACCGCTCAAAATCCAAAAATTGGCAACAGCGTGCTACAAAAAAATAGTAGCGTTCCGACCACTGTATGTGTATGTATTATATAGTTATATAGTTTAGAGTCTGAGTGAAATGTATTGGTTTTATGATGATGGTTTTTGTTTTTCTGGGAACAACTTTTTTACCATTAATTTTGCTTAGATTTACAATGATAGTACTTTTTCTAAAAGAAAATCTGACTGAGGTTCTACTTTAGGGAGGTCATTTTTTGATTTTTCTCAATAAATGGGAAAATAGATATAATATTAAACAAATATTATTAAAGAAAATATATTAATGTGTATGTAATTATTTTACCATAATGCGACACATATATTGTTGACGAAGCAACACTATTAACTAAACTCGACTCAGAATCGTTTTTGTTAGCAATGGTTAATCTTTGCGTACAGATATACATTCAATTTCCCCTCTACCTTTCCAATTTCTCACCTACAACAGTGGCCCACCCACGTTGAAGTATGTCCGTATTTTTGTTTATTAATATTGACAAATGCTTTTTTTGTTTTCACTTCTAGGTATGGATGATGGTTTTATGTATAGCTGTGACATGTGTAATTTCAAAACCATACGTAAAGACATGTATATGCTACATATTGTTAAGCACAAAGAGGAAGCATTACAGAAAAATGATATATGTGAACCTCTTATAAGTTCGTATGTGGTAAGATATATTTTTGTGTACCTCTGTCAAATAGGAATTAGTTATTATTGTTAGTATACAGAATGATAAATTAATCATATGATACTCATTATCTCAAAAAATATCAACTTTTTTAGGAATTTATTTTAGGTAGAACACTTAAAAAAAAAAGTAACTGTACAATTTTTTATTTTTATTATTTTTTGTTACCCTTATGGGGAAAGAAATAGTACATTATTAAAACACGTGTTGCCACAAAGACTCCACTACTCTCCCACGATTCAAACTTAAAAGCGGAATATTTCGTCAGTGGATTGACGGAGTTCAAAAATTTCAACACCTAAATGTACTTTAATTTATTTTCTGTTTATTTATGGAATTTTTAATTTAGGTCAACATTTACCTCAAATATAAGGGTGATAAAAAATAATATAAATGCCGATTTGTAAAGCTGTTTGTTTCTTAAATGTTCTACAAAATAAATTCCGGAAAAACTTAATTTTTTCTGAGATAATAAGTGACAATAGATTGATTAGCTTATTACCATACCAAATTATACTTACACTATTGATCAATTTGGTGGTATTTGTAATTTTTAGATATTCAACGAAAAAGAAAAAAATCAAGCGGAAATTGTTGAACAATCATATCTTTTTAATACTATTAGAGTTAAACCACTAAACACTATGCAACCTAATGAAATTATGGAAAATACTTAAAGGTTTTATTTGTTGAAATACAGTTTTGACTCTGAGAAACTTCTAAAAATTCTTGTTAAAATATATCTAAAAACACTACATACAACTTTTGTTAGAATAACTAATGAAATCACAGTCACAGGCAGTTATTTATTTTTCCAGCTAGTTTTGATGTCATCAATTAACCAAGTGACCAGAAAATGCAAAAATTACAAATCTAACTTCACATTATTTATTCATAAGCAGTGAAGTGGCGAGGATTTATTTAAGATACAATTATTTGTGTTTTCTGAAAGGCGAATCATTGATAGTATGTGCTATATATATTTTAACAACATATAATATACTGGGGTCAATTGGGATAAATTTTTGAACTTGAAAAATCTTTAATATGACTAGCCTACGGAATTTCTTTATCCACATATTATCAAAATTTAAAATATCGCTTTTCATATCAACTACTAGTTAAATAAGTAATTAATAATAATATAGATATTATTATAATATGGAATTGGAAGAACCTAGTATCATATAATCATAATTATGTGATTTTTACAAAGGCAAAACAATTTAAATATCTATAAATAATTAAATAGCTGTCAATTCAATTAAACTTACTTTAATTATTTTGAATTTGCTAATCCATTGTCCACAAAAGAAGGTATACAAACAAAATCTGTATGAGATTTATAGAAATTTTAACATTTTTTGTTAAAGTACATATTCTACTGGTTTTCTCTTATCTGCTATCATTTTTTAATTTATTGTAGTAAACAAATAGACATTTATCTAACTTTTGATGAAACAATAAGAAAAGACTTAATTAAAACACAAAATGTATATATTTTTTTTATTGTTGTTTATGTTTGTTTAATTGTTTAAAAAATGTTTCATAATAATAAATTATAATTATTGGTAAATATGAATGCAATAAAGTGTCAGTTTGACTGAGTGTTATTCAACAATGAATCTACTACACAGAAGTTTCAACATTTACACACAGAAGGGAAGGAGTAAAAATGTAATGTTTTCAAATCTATTTTCAAAAAAAAAAAAATGTAAAATAAAGATATGTCCTAGTATAATAGGTGTAGCTACTGCTATAGGTAATTTAATATATACCTGGAAGCAACGTTATAAACCATTGCTTACGAAAAAACGATTCTGATCAGAGTTCAGTCAATAGTGATGCTTTGTCAACAATATATATGTCATTGTATAGTAAAATAATTAAATAGGCTTTATATATTTGTTTAATGTTTTACCGATATTTCCAGTTTTTTACAATTGCTGAGAAAATTCCAGGGAAAATAGAAAAACGACCTCTCTAAAGTACCTTCCTAGTGAAATTTCTTTTCAGAAAAATTGCTATCATTAAAAGTTGGAGTAAAATTACTGGTAGAATAGTTGTCTGCAGAAAAAAAAATTTTAATATTATATTTCGTAAATTTTCCTGTTTTTTTTTTTCAATTGAATTTGATGAGAAATCTCTTGAGAAAATCGAAAAGTGATTCTCTTAGAGTACCTTCCTACACCAATTACCTTTCAGAAAAGGTGCTACAATTAGAAATCTGAGCAAGTCTTCTGGTAGAAAAGTTGCGTGCAGGAAAAAAAAATAAACATCTTTATAAAATTATAGGCTTTTTCGTTCCATTCAGAATCTAAAATTTAATTGCCAAAAAAAAATTTAAATAATTTAAACTGAAAAAATTAATTTATATTACACACATTTTAAACAAGCCTTTTTATTTGCTTGGATCCAATTGATAAAATCAATAAGATTTGATAATGTGTATGACAGGTACTAATTAAGCATATTATCCAGTTTGAACTAGAAGTTCTGAACTTCCACTTAACTCGATCTCTCACCTCACATACACTAGCCGTCCTTGAGTGTCCTCATATCATTCTCAATTGTATCCAACCACCTTTTTCGGCCTTCACTCTTCCTACATTTATTTGTATTACTATTCTAACTAATTCTGATTCCTCTCTTCTCATGACATGCATTAATTATCTGTCTATTTTATCTCATTTTTCTATCATCGAAGCTACCTTTACACTGACTCTTATTTACTTATTTTTTATTCTATTTTTTATGGTCGCTCCATCCATTCTCATTTCTGATATATTCATTCTTTGTTTTATTTTTTTATCTACCGCTCAACACTTTAAACCATAGTCAGTCATATATCCTACTACACTTTAGTTGAATTTACCTGTAAGTCTCATTAGAACTCTCTTGTCCCATTAAACACTTGTCACTTATTTTAATTTTATACAACCACCCACCCTTTTCTATATTACACATCCTCTTCTTTATGTTTACACCAGCTGTTAACGTGGCACAAATATTTTGTATGTATGTAGTTTCTTATATATCATATTTATTGGTAGTTATTAAAATGATTAGTTGTTGACTTTAAATTGTAAAATATTATTACAATAATTGTTGTTGTAAACATTTTATACGCTATATTTATAACTATCTAAAGTCCAATGTGTTATTATTATCTTTAAAATCATACATGCTCATATTGGAATAATTTAAGTTATTAAAAAAAAAACAATAATAATGATTATAGACATGTTACATATACAAATGTGATATAATATTTGTATGGCAAGTATCAAATGGTATTAACAAATAATTAAGTACATTTTCTTTATCTTAACTAAATATAAATCATAAGTATTTATGCACAATTTATTATAACACATTTAGTTCACTAATTTACACACCTTTTTTTTATTCTAGTTAATAAAGTTTTTATAACAAATGTATTATTGAAATCTAATATGATATAGGGTAATTTAATTTAATTTAATAGGGTAATTTCCGTAAAAATTTGTAATGCTGAAACAGAAGCAATTAATACCCTAATTTTATTATTATTTTTTTTTTTTTGACAAAAAAGGTGTATATCACATCATGTAAAACATTAATACTAATTATTAAATAAATGACTTTTAATAAGTCTTTAACGAAATATTTGTAAAAACACAAATGGTATTAAAAAGTCAGGTAAAATGATTATCATTAAATATTCCAAACAACTCAATGGTAGACAAAATACTCTGTTATTAACAAAACATTCAAAGTAAAAATTGTCACTATTAACACAAATTAAAATTATTATATATACATAAAATGCGAGTTTTGAACACCTAATGTTTATTAAAAAAAATCATGAAGATTTGGAGGGATTTATAAAATGAGTTATTTTACGATATTTATATACTGCATGCTTTGTATTATAATTTCAATATAGTAATATACAGCTGCATATGATTTTATTTTAGTACTATTGTAACGAGAAAATAGTTGAATAATATTCAATAATAGTAAACTTAAAAATATAAAAAATTAAATTGATTACTTAAATAGTTTTATAATTTCAGACTTTTTTATAATGGCATTCATATAAAGGGTCGGGGTTGCAAGAAACTTAAATTAAATAATAATACAAAAGAAAATAATTCATTAATGTTGTCTCATAAAATTGATTATTGTTTTGTTTTATATTTTATACATAAATATATGAAAATAAAATAAAAACATTGTACAACAACTTGTTAAATCAAATATGATTTAATAGGTAACAAGAAGTCATCAAACCTCTTAGAATATTTAAAATCAAAAACTTAGAAAGAATAATAATTTTATTTGATTATTATTTCTATTATTTCATTACTGAATTAATCAATAAGGGGCCTTTACAACAATTTATTTTCTTTTTATTTATTTCGCACATAGTATAAAACAAAGGCATTCCATACTGCAATGATTGTGAATAAGTATTTAATGGTTAATATTAAGAAAAATTAGGTTAAATTACAACAAACATTTTTTTATGATGAAAAAATGGCAATATTAAAAAAATCATTCAATACATAAATAATAAATACTCTTTTTTATACAACGTACAATAGATCCCCCCTTTTTTTCCAAATTTAACTAAAAGTTACAATAATTGAATGCCTTTGTTGCTATATAATGTGTATGACGACAGACAAAAAAATGATTTTGTGTAAAGCCCCTTAGCAATTGTTCTTGTTAAATCAACAAATGTAAAAACCGCAATACTATTACAAAAATTATGCTAAGTAATTAGCAAATAGAAATAAATGTAAATATAATACATTTTATAACTATAAGGATTAATTAGGCATTTATACATTATTTTATCATAGATTTGATCAAAATCAATTTTAATTTAACAAAAAAGATACAATTTTCATAAACAGTGAAAAATCATTTTTTAAAAATATTTTGCAACCCATTTAGGAACATAAACTATTATGAAAAAAAATATATATATGCAGAATTTTTGGTATATTTTCTCCTTAAAACTACATTTTAATATGCATGATATATATATTTTTATTTTATCGACTAGAAAATTTAAGTCTTCAGAAGAACTTGAGTTATGTGAGTGAATTGAAGATAAAGTTAAAAAACTTTTTGTGATCAAACTTTAAAAAAAAATCAACTTAATATAAATAAATAATATAAGTAATATCCAATAATTATGAATTATTAGATGAGTAAGTATATTATATACAGAGTGAGCAGAATTTTATGTTACGGCAATTTGGTCTTATAAATATACAAAATGGAGAAAAATGTATAATACAAGTTTTTTTCGATTTATAAACATTTAATTTTTTGGGGGAAGTAAATTTTTTTAACTCAAATGGGAATCTATATTTAAAATTTTTAAATAGGTGCAATTTGAGTATTAATAAAATTTGATTTTAAAATTTTTGATTTCCGTCAACTCGTTGACAAGATATTTCACTTTAGTTTAGGTAAAAGGAGAATAGTGGAACACTATTCAAACACCATGTGCCGTGCTGTACCACCACACAAGTACCTAGTATTCTACTATACTCCTCCTACTTAAACTAAAAAGTGGAATATCTTATCAACGAGTTGATGGAAATCAGACATGTTATAACCGAAATGTATTTAAATTAAAATTGCATCTACTATTTATACTATTTCGAATACAGGTTCTGCCATTTGAATTTTATAAGTTTATCCTCCCTCCCAAAAAAAAAAAAAATTTACAAATTATTTTAGATGTTTATAAAACGAAAAACTTTATTATTATACATTTTTTTCTATTTTGTGTATTTATAGGAGAAAATTCCTGTAACATAAAATTCTGATCACAATGTAGAATGAAATTAACTCGTTAGAACGATAAATGTAAAAAAAAAAAATAATAATAACTAACATGTATTTAAGACATTTAATTTTGTCTGTGCTTTCGCCTCATAAGGAATAAAGCTTCATGAAAATCATCAGAACTTAATTTGTTCCTATCGATATGTAATGTTGAGAACAACTCGCCATCAGTCATTGATTTTGGGAATGTAAAAACACATCTATTTTTATCAGCCATATTAGCTGAAGCACACATTCTATCTTCACTGAACAATGTTTGATAGGAGTGCGCTTTATTGGAATGAACAACATTACATTCTTTACACGATGTTAAATTGTCAGCCGATGTACCTTTATAAAGTGGCTTCAACATGTATTTTGGTACTGTGAGACTCGATGACCTTAATTGACGACCTGACACTGGAGACTTGGTTTCAGGTGTACGGCTTATGGAAACCCCCGATATAAAGAGTGTTGGTGACTTTGGTATACCGGTGTCTGATTCGATGTCAGCAGATATATCATTGTCAGCACTGTCTTCAGAATGACTGCTGAATTTTTCAATTCTAATGTTAAGTTCAGGTTTGGTAGGTGGTTCAGTAGTAGTTTTTGATTCTTTTTCTAATGTTTCATCAGATTTATCCAAAGCAGCAGTTTTGCCAATTTTACTCAAACGTTTGGGCAGTGTAATGTTGGAGGGTTTAGATGAGTTTTGCCAATATAGTTGAGCTAAAATATTGCAAAGCTAAAAATAAATAAATAAATATATTAAATATGGATATAAGATATATTTAAAAGATAATAGTAATAGATACTTTTTTGTCTGAACTAATAGGGGCTGCAATATTGCTGTCATCTAATGAAGTTACAGCTCGACATTCGCCATTGTTGTTTATTTCCATGAGAATAGAGGCTGTTCTCCTAGGTAATACTTGAAAACCATATGTGAGTTTTCCTCTTTTTCTTTCTATTTTATCTTGTCTGTCGTCACTATTCATATGATAAACATTAATACAGTACCTAAGTAAGCAAATTAAAATCATATTAAATTACTTCCTATTATTAATAATATTCAACAAACCTTCGATTATTTTTGTATAAATCTCTGCGTGAAAGTAGATCACCAAATGATAGCGAACGTCTCAGATGTTTACCATCCATACGACTATAAATATCTTCACTAAAATCCAAACGATAACTATTTTTATGTAAATCACCCACTTTAAAAACACCATCATCAAGTTTAATTCCACTACACCTGAAATTCAAAGTTTAGAAAATGTTTACAAAAATTTAGGTTAACTTGATACAAATTTAAAAATTAAAATTACTTAGGTAGGATACCAGGAATATCTGCTTTTGTTTTAGGATTTTCCAAGACGTTTTTCAAGGGTAATAAAGTTACAGAGTTTTCAGATTTTAATACATTTTTGGATTTAGCCAAGGATATTTCATCTAAAGACATTTGTAAAGCCATTTGCAATTGCTGATCATCATCATTTGAATCTTCAACCACATCTTTAAGATTAAAATAATGAGATATTTATTTCTGTTCTAATGAAATCTATAATTTAGTATTTATATTTACCAGTATAATTTTTACTACAACTGGCTTCTTCGTTATCTAACCTATAAACAAATGACAGTATTATATAGTAATGATATTTTATGACAATTCTGAATTTTCCAATGAAATTTGAAATTTTACTTTTTTTTTTGCTGGGCATCTTTTATCATTTGAAGTCTTGACATTTCAAGAGCAACAATGAGATCCATCGCAAAAGTACCAACAATACTGGTGCGTTTTTCTTTTTTCTCTTAAAATAATAATAATAAATAGTAATAATTCAATACAAAATTATTGAAATGTAAAAAATATATATTTTGTTGCAAAACATACGTTCTTCTAATAAATTTTTATGTCCAGTTTTGCATCTTAAACTGCAATATTCATGAAATTTTGATGTTCGAGGATTTCGTACTCTTGCTCTTTTGCAGTGTTCCATTTTACACTGACCAAATACACTCACAGCTAAAGCTCGATCCAATTCAGTTTCCTTATTTAAAAAATTAAAAATTTCTTATCAATTGGATTGTTATTTTAAATAATTTCTTTTTTACTAACGTCTTCTTCATCAGAACAACTTTCAGGCCAATCTAAAATTGCAGTAAGATTTTGATGACATCCTTTAGAATCAACAATCCATGGGTTATCCGGGTCAATTTGAATTGAATCTCCTATAGCTTTCTTCAGTAAATCCTAGAGGTTTTATTAAAAATTATACTTTAATTTAAGGAATCCATAAGTTTATTAATTTGTATAACTTACTTTAGTAGTAGCATTCATATGTTTTTGGGACATAGAACTCGATTTAGGTTTGATTATATTTTGCGGAACAGACTGTGTACTTTCTAAAGATATAGATCCATCTGATATAGCATTAATAAATTCATGACGTTTTCGCCTTAATATACTAGTTGTATTAATAATGGCACTTCTTGGGTTACATAAATATTGTCGTAAAACCATTCCAGATAACTTTTCAGTAACCTCTTCAACTTCATTCTAGAAAAGTAAACACACAATTTAATATTGTGACACTCCGTCATAACAATCTGCTTAGCAAGATAATAAAAGGACTACATTAGTCAAATAATTAGAGATATGGACTGCAGATCTTATTGCAAATTAAAAAGGAAAGCTGAGAAGCGTTAGGAATGGAAAATTGTTGCCAACCAGCCTTTGGGCTGTTAACATTAGAAAAAAAAAAATGTATACTTGCAATGATAAACCATTGCTTACAAAAAACGATTCTGAGCAGAATTTATTTGATAGTGATGCTTTGTCAACAATTTACAATATGTCATTTTGTAGTAAAATAATTAAATAGGATTCATATATTTTCTTTAATAATATTTGTTTAATGTTGTACAGATTTTCCCAGTTTTCCTGAATTTTTCCCAAGTTTCATCCTGATTTTTCACATTTTCTAGGAAAACTCTTGGAAAAATCGAAAAATAACTTCCCTAAAGTATCTCCCCACATAGATTTTCTTTTATAAAAGGTGCTACACTTAGAAATCTGGGCAAGTCTTCTGATATAAAAATTGCGTACAGATAAAAAAAAATGAATAAATAAATAAACATTTTTGTAAAACCATAAGCTTTATCGCTACACTCAGAATCTAAAATTTATGTGGTTGGTGTGGTGTGTTGATGCCAGGAAAATATAATCATCCAATCCAGAGTTTAGATTTATACCCATTGACGGATTTTTATTATTTTGTTTAAACTTATTTAATAGCAAAAACAAATTTTTTTTTTTTAAATTTTACCTGCATAAACTCTAAAATATTCCTATTATATGCACTACTTTGCATATAAAATCCATAAACATATGAAGCACATAAAACTCGTTTGGCTTTCTGTACTTCAACAACTGCATCTTCTACAAATTTTGTACGGTCGTCATCTATAATTTATCAATGTTTAAAAAATGAATAATAAATAAATGCATCTCCGCTTCATAAACATTTTAAATAAATATAAAATACCTTCAGGTATATTGAGGGCAGTTGATAGTGCTACTCTCCACTTTTTCACAATTTCAACAAACAATTCTTCCATTTGACGGGTAACTTCATGCTTTTTAAATTTAGAATAAAAATGTAGAAATTTACTCAATTCCAAACTCTGTTTATTTTTTTGTTGAGCCTATAGACAATTACCATATTATGTTTATAAATCAATAAATTAATCTTATATAATAAAACTCAGTTTGATTTTTTTCAATATATTTAGTCCATAACTGTCTGAAGGTAATTTAAAAATCTGTCCTAGGATAATGAGGACGGGTGCAGCCACCAATATAGGTAATTTAATGTATAAAATATTAAACCATTGCTAAAGAAAAAAGGATTCTGAGCGGAGTTCATTTGATAGTGATGTTTTGTTAATAATATATATATATCATATTATAATAAAATAATTAAATAGACATTCTATATTTTCTTTAATAATATTTGTTTAATGTACTGATTTTCTAGTTTTTTCTACATTTTCCAAAGTTTTATTCAGTTTTCACACTTACTGGGAAAACTCTAGGGAAAATCGAAAAATAACCTCTTAAAAGTACCTTCCTAGTCCAATTTTTTTTTTAGAAAAATTGCTACATTTAAAAATCGGAGCATGATTTCTTGTAGAAAAGTTGCGCATAGATAAAAAAAAATAAACATCTTTGTAAAACCATAAGCTTCTTCTCTCCACTCAGAATCTAAAAAAAGATAGATATTATAGTAATCAGAAGTCATTCAAAGGGAAGCAACATACAGGATACCTGAGTACCTGTAAGATGGTACGTCATGCTTAACAATCATAAAATGACACAAAACTAAAAAAGTTGCCAGTTATTTTTTAGTATTACCAGCCATCTAGACCATCTTATCTTATTTTCTTGATAATCAATAATAATTCCTTTTTCTTAAAATTCCAAATTACATAAAAAAAATTTCTTAAATTAAATCTATTAATATAAATAGTCCATTAAATTTTTAATAGATAATATAATAAATTTAATTTTAATACATTATATTGCATTACTTCAATCATTTATATTGGTATTGTAAAAACTAATCTTTAATTCCAATGCATTAAAATGCTGCTTTGTTTAGATAATTAGTAAAAGACTTGATAAAATAGTATCAACAAATAAATTAAAATAAATTAATGGTCCACAACAATGTAAATATTAATTTTGAAATAAAATTTACAAGATAAATGACTAATCAAGGTTGATTATCAATCATAATCGCAGTTTAAAAATCAGAAAAACACCTAGTTTAAACAGAAGAAACCTAAAAGTGAAAAAAAAAAATTATTAGAGAATATCAGTAAAATACTTCTTTCATAAGAAGACCACGTTTTTCATCAGCTTTACAAGCAGCAATCATACGGTTACAGCGAAAGAATCCACCAGTAGCTGAACCGTGTTTTTTCCAGCTTTCTTGACATATCCAACAAAATTCAAACTTACACTGCAATAAAAATAAATATTATAAAAAAAATATTTTCTATTTTAATTAATTCTATTATTTTAACCAATTCTATTTCTATTTTCATTATAATATGTAACTATAAGTTTAAGACAAACTATAACCAAGCAAAGTTAATTTTATTTATAAAATAATATATTATATATGTTTATTTGATAATGTGTTATGTACTTTTGAACACTTCATATGGTTGCAGCCTTCATTCTTCTGTATTGGTGAGTTGCAATTTGGACAAGGTTTTGAATTAGTTACTAACCATAAACTATTAGCAGCTTCTTCATATTCTGCTGTTGTTTCACGTATCTTGTCTGGCTTAACTTCAGATATTTTAGTCATCCACTGAGACCATTGTTGACAGCTGCAAGGTGTATGAGCATCTCCCATACATTCCCTTCCAAAAAAAAAAAAAAAATAAAATACAAATTTGTTTTAAATTAATTATAAAAAAATTTGGTATCTTACCAGCAAAAATAGTGTCCTCTACCACAGTCAACTGACCGAGCAATTTTAGAATTTGGTTTTGATTTTCTAGTATTAGGGAGACGAACAGCAAGTCCACAGTTTGGAACAGGACACCATTTAATAGAACGATTACTTTCAACAAAAGCCTAAATAATTTAAACATCAACAATTAATTTCTTATATTATATAAAAACCGTGATCTGTTTTTAACACTTTATTGGTTCATCATTTCAACTAAATATAAAATACAATATAATCAGTCATGTATGACGGACATACAACTAGTTTATAATAATACATGTATAATATCTTACTTCAATATTGAGATCAAAATATCGCCTAGCCATTTCAGGACTGACAATGTTCTCGATGAGTTCAGTTGGAACTAATATATGGCAGTGTAAAGCTGGGCAACAAATATTGCTAGAGTCTTTTCTTTTTATTTTATAAGTTAAGTATTGTTTCCAACACGAATTACAAAACTTATGTTCACAACACAATTTAATTGAACAATCAGATAACGGCAGTTCATTCAAGCAAATATCACACTAAAAAAAAAAAAAAGTAATAATAATTTTATTTATATTAATTAATAAAAATAAATATAAATTATACAATCACAAGTATGTTGCCTATTTGTATAAGGGTGAACATTGTTATTTTAAAATAATATCAGTCGTGTATTAGCTATAGTCGTGCAATTGCTCTGGATCCTGTGTTATTGTGTCATATTTTATCGCTATTATTGCAAGTAATTTTAAAATTGTATTTGGAAAATAAAAATAAAGTCAATTATTTTTAAATGTAATAAACATTATAAGGGAAGATGAAATGTTACAAAGGTTACAAAATTAATTTCATTTTTGAGAAACGAAAATTGGGAACTAATTATGAATAAGTTAATGAAAATGTTAATGCATGTGCAGATAATCTAATTTATTAAAAAAATATATAACACAATCTTCTAGCTTTAATGACTGTCTTAACAACACATCAAAAATTAGGAAAATTTAACTATGGATAACAGCGAGTTTATAAAATGCAATTAGAACAAGAGATAGACTTGGTAAAATTTTATTGAAAAGGTAAAATAAATGATTTTTGATTATTCAACTACTATAAAAAATGTAAAAATAAACTATTTTCGATTATAAGAGATGCAAAAACTGACTTTTTTAAAAATAAAATTCTAAATTCTAAGAATAATATAAAACAGGGTTGGAAGGCAATTGGAAAAATAGTTTATATGAAACGCAAAGAAAAAGTAATACTTTTCCAAATTAATATTAATAATGAAATAATTGACGTAAATTCTTATCCATTAGTAGTTATAAATGCACTTAATAACCATTTTCTGCTATAGTCTTTAATCTTTATAAATAGCAGATTCAATTAAAAATAATAATAATGAAACAGACATCAATGAAAAATTACAAAATAACAGAAATACAGCCAAAACTATAATACAAATATTTTACTGAATATGATTAGTAATAGATATAATAAATATATTGAAAAAAGCATATCACTCAGATTTGATGGTATTTCATTAAATTTATTATTACAAAAAGTGGATTATATAATAAAACCAGTGACTTATTTAGTTAATTAAAGTTTTAAAAATAGTATTTTCCCTAATATATATAAAAACAATTTCCCCAATTTATAAAACAGATGAACCAAAGGAACTAACAAAGTACAGGCCAATTTCTTTGGTTTCTACAATATCAAAAATAATCAAAAAAATGGCAAAAATTCACATAAATAAATTTATTATAAGTAAAAGTGCTATAAATAATATGCAATTTGGATTTTGTGAGCTGATACTGGTAGTTAGGATGCAATTGCACATTTGAAAACTTAATTTATAATTCACTTGATAATGGTAAAAAAATGTATAGGTGTTTATGGTGTTATTTATATCGAAAATCATAATATTTTTGTTAGTTAATCTATGGTTAATGTTAACAAATAATTAATGAGATATTGTAAGAACAACCCTGAGACAATTAAGTATTTGAAATCTAATTAACTTTTTAAAGTATGCTAAATATATTAATTAAACTTACAATAGTTTTATCATTAACATTAAATTGAGCTTCTTCATTTAAATTTGTCTGATGTAACCCATTGAAATAAAATTTCTTGGTTGATTCTACTGATATGGGTACTTGTACACCAGCAATTTGACAACACTTATCTGGGTCACGAACCCATCGTTCAAGTAAAATTTCTCGAGACCATTCTAAAATATAGAAAAAAACATAAAAATACTTATTTTATGAAATAACTTTTTATTTTAAATGCCAATAATTTTACCATTATTTCGAAGTAATGCTTCCGCAGTAAATAATGGTAAATTCAACATATCAGCAGTTTCTACCAATAATTGATCTTTAGCTTCTTGCAAGTCTTGTGTACGCAACCCAGCATAAGTTTCTTCTTCTCCGAAATCATCATCATCCAAAATAGTTAAAATATCTTTTAAGTCTTCCCCCTTAATATAAATTAATTCAGTTAATACTATCAACTAAATATGTTAGCAATAAACAATTCAACAATAGTTAGCTGTAAACAAACTTACAAAAACCATTCGAGATTCTAATTTACGAGCTAAAGTTTCATGTCCGTTTTTCACAGCTAAATCACAAGCAGTTTGTTTTTGGTTATTAGTCTTGAATATTGGGGCACCTCCATGTAAAAGCATTAAATCAACACAGGATTGTAAGCCTGAAGCTGCTGCAAGATGAAGTGCAGTATTTCCATTCTATTAAATCAATGATTAATAATTTAAGTATTTGTTAAGATTTTAAAAAAGTTTAATCCTAAATTTACATTATTTTGAACACTCAGTCGTATTTTCTCTCTCCTTCCATCTGATAGTTCTACTCCCTGCCAATTTAATAATAGTGATACACAGGCAGCACGACGTTCATGTGCTGAGTAAGAGCTTTGCGAGGAAAGGGAACAAACTGCATGAAGTGCTGTTTCATTTGAATTATTTTTTTTATTTGGATTTCCATTATGTTCATTCAAAAATGCCCTAAAATTAATACATATATACTAATTAATGTAGAATGAACCCTAATTAAATTAATACAATACTCCATTTACCTAAGTAAGTGTTTCATTCCATGTTTTGCTGCATAATGTAATAAAGTATTATGATTATGATTTTCTCCACAGCTTAAATTAGGATCTAAATTTTTAAGTTCAGGAGAGTTTGAATACATCTACAAAATAAAATAATTATAAGATTATATGAATATTTTATATAAATAATAATATTTACCCGCATGGCAGCATATTCATCCCCTCGTTGTAGATGTTTTTTAAACTTGGTAGACGTACCACCCATATTGTTCTCTTTGTAAAAAATATCATATTCTATCTGCTTTTAAACAACCATGATGTTTTTTTATTGAGTACTAAATTTGTAATGGATTTCATAGTTTTTATTTGAATTGTAAAACTAAAATGAAACAGTTAACTGTTAATACATACGTAAAATGTATTATGATGCACAACATTTGTATTCCTACTATTTATTAGAAGCATAATATTTATAAAAAATAATACTATTAAAACGATATTTCATTATCTATTAAGTTAAAAGTATATTAAAAGAGTACATACCTATATTATATTATATTACAAAAACAAAAGAATTATACAGTTGTGAATCAAACTAGAAATAATTGAGTAGTGACAATTGTATTCATAAATATTATACATAGTAATAATAGGTTAATGTTTATCATGAAAACAATTTAAAAATCATGTAATGTAAATATGTATTATGTTTATCATCTATTTAATATTGTACGTATATATAAATAAAATGGATATATATTCAATAAAAGAAAGACATTTTTTTTATTTTGAATAAAAATGTTATCATATGTTTTATATGGATATAATATAAGAAAAATAAACAGATAAAATTTAAATTTATAAAAAGTAATATATGTGTAATATTATTTATATAATAATAATATTTAAATAACTTAAGACAAAAGTACAATGTAGGAAAAATAATAACATTGCACTTAAATTCATGTTACTATCAATTAATAATATTAACTGGTACATGTAAATAAATGTGTAATAATAGATATGAATACTATGGTATTAATCAATAAGAGAAATACAAATTCTTTATCTTTATTAAATATTTTATGACCTACCTACCTATCTACGTACATACATACATACATGCATAAAAACAGTACACAGTAAATTGGTAACAAATTGTATTAAAACATCTAATTTTTAACTTATTTATATATTATAATACATTAATACTTTTAATATGTCGGGTGATCCGTTTAAATGGGTACACTCATCTCGAAAAGTGTTAACTTTTTTCAGAATTTGATTTCTAAAACATTTAAGAAACAAGCTGCTCTACAATTTTATATTTATGTTATTTTTTTATCGCCTTTATTTTTGGAGGTTAAATCACTACTAACCTTTGATTTTCAACTGGTAACCTATATTAAAAATTCCATAAATAGTTGAAGTATTTAATCAAAATAGATTTTAGTGTTGAAATTTTTGATTTCTGTAAAAACATTGATGAGATATTTCACTTTTAAGTTTCATTTGGAGGAGAGTAGTGGTGCTTTATTAAAATGCTGTGCAACGTACCACCACACAAATGATACTCCGCTACTCTCCTCCAACCTAAACTTAAAAGAGAAATATCTCATCAACAAATTGACGGAAATCAAAAATTTCAACACTAAAATTTATATTAATAAATATTCCATCTATTTTTGGACGTTTTAATATAGGTTGCCATTTGAAAAACAAAAGTAGGTAGTGGTTTTGACCCCGAAAATAAAGGTGACAAAAAAATAATTTAAATATTTAATTGTAGAGCTGCTTGTTTCTTAAATGTTCTAGAAAACAAATTCCGAGATAATGGGTGTACTCAATAAATGGATCATCTGGTACTATTCAGGATGTAGGATGTAGGGTGTGGGTGTACTCCTGTAAGGATCTAACAAATGCAATAACTTTTACTCTATCGATATGATTAAGTTTTTCTTTTTTGTAATAAATACTTCATTTGCAAAGAGCACTAAATTGTTTATACTAAGTTCTAAAAAAATATAAAATAAAACAATCATACCTCAAGGTTTTAGTAACTATTGCAAACCTACAAGTATTGAAGAAAACTGGAGTTTATTGCATTTGTCAGATCTTTGTGAACCACTGAATATATATATATACGTGTATATACATTACTATGATGTTAGCGCAGTTTTAATGTAAATAGGGTATAGTTTATTTCCATAAAATATAAATATAATTTAAGTTGACATTGTACATCTATGGGGGTAAGCAACAAATAGTTCAGGAGAGGAGCCACATTGGTCACTATGCAAAAAGCATTAGTTTACCATAAGATTATTTTTAATAATATTTATAAATATCAAATAAATTAAATATTTTAAATTAAGAATTATAATTATTATTGTGTAGCTATACATACATGTATATTTTTTTAATTTATTTAATTTAATGTTATTTGAGTATAATATTGTAGAAAAAATGAAACTTCAAATAAATATTTTTGCTTTACAAAAATGTACTTGACATTCATGCAAATTACTAACACACATTTATAACTAGAGTTAATTTATAAACAAAAAATTTAATTAAATATATTTTTTTTTGAAAAATGTCTTATATTGTTTAGAATTAAAAAAAAATGACAGAGGTAATACAATTTAAATTTAGATATTGTTACATTTCAAGGTCATTTTTCACACAATAGCAAATATTTTATATAATCTAATGTATTATAAAAAACATATAAAAGCAATATGCATGTATAATTGCTAAATATCTATATATATATATTACATTAATGAAGCGTGTAAAAGGAAAGTTAAATAAAAAAACATTGCTTGCCAATGCAGTTTCTATTAGTAGGTATTTATTTAAATTTGGTGGTTAAACAACTCCAAGTTAATATGTGGTTTTCATGGTTTAATAAACATATCAAAGTATATGTACATGATACATTGAACAATTTCCTTTTTTAATTGATTGACTAGATTGTAACTACAAATTCTTTTAGTAATCAACTACTTAGTAACTAGACAGGATATATGATGACTATTAAAGAGGTAAATACTATGTTATTATTTATATATCTAATTTTTTAATAATACTATGAAAAGAAAGTTTACTATTTGTTGTTATTATTATCATTAACAAGTGTATATGAATTAGTTTTGGAAAATATTAAGGGTTCTGATAGTGGTTTTTTAGAAATTGTTGGCCTATGGGGCCTCCACACACTCAGTGAGGCTATTTTTGAGAAATAAATTATAATAATAATAATTTTCAAGTAAGAAGTCTTATCAAAAAATTCAATCTGTTTTAATTTTTTTATTAACGTAAACCTATTTATTATTTTTTTTTTCAAAACGTGGTTTATTCTATCTCGTGGAGTCATTCTATTTCAATATTTTTTTGAAAAAAAAAACAGATTGTCCATAGTTTCCCTTTTAAGCTTAATTTATCAGTTGTAATCTTGTTGTATGGATTCTATCAGCATCATTGCTACTGCAATATGTGGACTACGGTTTTTACAGTTTTACAGCAATATTTAGTATATATACTTATAGAAATTATATAAAGTAAATATATACGTACATTTTTTATTCATATATTTATTTACTTTATATATTTATGAATATTAACTATTTTAATAATTTTGTTTTTACTTTATTATTTTATTAGAAATTGTATACTATATATGTATAGTTGGGCCATTGAACCTACTGTTTTCATGTTTCAGTTAAATATAAAGTGTAATCAAATTAAGGTTTACCGTTATGATAGAGACTTTATTGCACAGAAAAACTGATTAATCATTCAACTATAATCTATCTTATATGACATAAAATGGGATTTTGATATTGAAACAATTATTATACAATAAAAAATAAAGATTTATAAGAGTTCATAGATTAAATAGGAAATACAGATTATATTGATTATAGCATGTAGTGATAATTTTTAGAGAGTCAATAAATTATAAATATTTTAATAATTACATAGTAGACTGCATATGACAAGATAGCCATAATTGATCCAGAAAAGGTTAGAAAGATCATATAGGAAATGTTAATAATTAGAATGTTATATTTTTATTTCAGATTTTGTTTCTTATAATTGTAATTATATCAGTTACAAAAAGTTATGGAAATAATGAACATTTAGCTCAAAGCAATGAAGATACAGAAGATGAACCAATTTATAGCAATCATAAATACTTTGATGATGATTCAATGGGATCTATACAAAAATGTAATGAAACAAAAGACCCCTCATATTTAGTATTTAATGTTCTAAAAAATATCGTACAACTAAATTTTAAAATAAGTATGAGTTTAAAAATATTTTATACTCGCATGTGCCATTTCTATCTTATAAACATACAACATAGAAAATTTGTGTCCAGCAAAGACAACTTTATGCTGTTAGTTTTTATATTAAAGTGAATTGATCAATAAGTTTAATAATAGATTAATTCAATCAAATATTAAAACTAACGTCACAAAGTTGCCCTCGCTGAATGCAAATTTGCTGTCGTACGCTTGTAAGACAGAGGCACGAGTATCACGTTTTATATTTATACATATATTTAAATGTTGGGTATATCAATTTTTTAAAACACTGTTATTAGGAAAAACTGTATAGTAATATGTTATATCTTTCAGTGTTAAAACTATGCAAGTTAAACTGTAATTAGATAAGTACTTGTTCAATGATATAGGGTTTCTTTCCTTATGACTTTTATTACCCCTTATGAAAATGTTTTAAAAATATTTGATTTGAAGTTTTGTGTTAAGCTTTAAATATTTTTGATTATAATATAAATAATATTCTAATAAAAAAAAAATTCAAGATTTTTGCATTAACTTTTTGAAGTATTTTTTAATTGTATATTAGTAAATATATTGTTTAATAAAAATCTTGCACAGCCCAGAACTAATTTCTATAACTTTAAGAAAGGTTTATGTTTCATTAATACTCTAATCTCATTCATATTTAAATTGCATAACAATATTGTTAAATTTTAAACTGCGTAGGTACTTTTCGCAATTTATTTATGTAATATTAAGTTTGTAATAATTTGAATTTAACAGACTTATCACATAAGAAGTAAATTTAAAAATACAAGTAAAATAGTTATTATTTATATTAATGAATGTGTTTTATTATATCATTAGATGAACCAGGGAGAGTTCAAATAAAAGTCTATAGAGGACCTGATATAGTAGGAAATGATGAATCATATGCAGCACATGGATTTTGGGTTAAACAGCCATCTGAAGATTATTAACAATTAGTATTAAGCTTATCAGTTTGGGCAAGAGTAATAATAGCTGAACTATGTGGGATAAAATAAAATAAAAAAAGTTGAATTTTTACCTAATCATCAAAATAAGAATATGTGATTTAATTTGTATAAACTTATTAATATTATGTAGGTACTTACATAAAATTGTATTTAATATTAATAAAACTATCTATAATTTTGTATTAATTTAAGTTTAAATATAATATTTATGTTTAAATACATATTTGTACTTACATGTTAATGATTTTATTTTTATGAACTATAATATTTAAAACTTGGTTGTACATTTTAGCAAATTAAAGCAATAGTATAATTCGTAAATTGAGTTTTAGTTTTCATTATTGTTTTTTTTTTAAATTTTTGTAGAATAACGAAATTACTATTTTGTCAACTTTGATATTTCATGAAATTACTTGAATTCAGAATTCAGAAGACAAAAAACTACAACTATAACTATATCTATTATATTATTATAAACATTTTATCAAAACAAAAACACGAGATGGCGCCCGCGTGAAACTCCATCTGGAATAATAAACATTCGATATGTCTATGAGTGATAAAGCACGATGATATCACAGACTTCTATAGAGGTGCTCACACACTGCAGCGGTAGCGATTGGTGGTACGGTAACAATGTAGTCTAAAGATACCTTCACAGCTTACAGTGAAACATAAAATAATCTAGGTGTGGGATTGGTTGAACCATTTGGTTATTATGTAGTGGTTAACCAGTAGTCAATCATCATTTTTGATTTTAATACCTTCCTTATACCGCTTATACCAGATAGTTGAGTTCAATCCTAGTCGGAGGTTAATGATAATGGTTCAACTATTTTAAATTGTATCAATCAAATTATCACGTTGGTGAACAAATTATCACGTTTCACGGGGAGCTGTGAAGGCACCTTTAGATCATACATGATCTAAGGATATAGTAAACTACCGCCGTGTACACACTGCAGCGATGACGGTAGCGATTTACTAAAGGTACATATGAGGGTGGGGTCCAACATCTCCTCCTCAAATAAAAGTTGTGTAATTTATTTGTATAAATTTTAATATTTTTTTTATAAATATTGATAATTATCAATTTTTATGAACCCCTCCACCCTTCAAGTTTTTTTTGTGTACATGACTGATTTACTATATATTTATTTATTTATATTATTTATTTACCTTTACTTATGTTTAATGTCTAATGATAAAATATGATAATATTACGAAAAATACTGAAAAACCGTCAGGTCATGCGACACGGTATTTTACCGCGGCCGTTTTATCGGTGCACTGCGGACTCCAAGAATACACGAGTTCTTTTAAACCGTTACCGCTACCGCGGCAGTGTGTGAATACCTTTATACTACTACAATACTACGAGTGATTGGGCCGCTTCTGCGCATTTTTAATGTTAAAACTGACTTCAAACGTCGATGGGCAGCAATGTTGCGGTCAGGGGACGCCGGATGCGCGGCAGCGACCGGTTTTGATCGGCGAAAAACCCGATCTCTCGTGGGACCACAAATAATATTTATAAAAATGATATATATATATATATCTGTTCGTGGGACATACTATACCATAGATAATGTAAGAATTAAGATTTTCGAAAAGGGCCTATCGTTGCGTAACAATTTTTTGAATCATAGCAATTTGGATGTTCAGTGGAAACGTTCCGATCACGAATTAAGATATTAAGATCTTAATTCATGGGTTCCGATTATGGTCATAAAACTACTGGTTTTTATCAATATAACTGATGACTGTTAACTGATTACATATATTACCTATGTAATTTTGAAATTATTGATATTTTAATGGTCTTGTTTTATGTATTTCAACAATTTTAAAGTTCACAATTAAATTGATTTCTTTTGGGTTGTCGCTACATAAAATAACATTCCATTACAATTACATAGCTTAATTTATGTGTCGTATTTACATAAACGTTAATTATTTCATTCCTGCTGAAAAGCAGTTCCATAATCAATCAATGAAATATGAATAAAATAAAAATAAGTTAAATGAACAAGTTGTCTCATTCATTATTATTCTAATCGTAATTAATAAATAACGTTTTAAGGTTAAAACGAATTTCTATATTGAACCTAATATTAATATTTACAATATATACCTACTAATATATGCAAACTATATATCAATTTATGTAATAATAATACAACTTCCAGCTAAATTATAAATGATATAGGCGAACCGGCGCACCGTAAGCCACGTATAGACACTAAATTACAATAAAATATTACACAGACAGACATTGAGTAATGACTTCTAAATTTCTTTGCAATAATCTCGTTTCATAATGTAATCAAATGTACATCCTCCCCGTTAGAGCAGTTCTAATAAATTCCACCAGGTGGCGACTCTTTCGCTTTCAATCGCGAAAAACTCAAACATTTTACTTATAATTATAATTAATTATTATATACCTATATAATACGCTATCAGGAAAAAAAAATATATATAAATCACAACTCTGGTTTATGAAAATTTAGTATAGTAATAGTAGGATAACTAGTTATTAGGTCTATGGTAGGTACTCAATTGAATTTATTCATGTCTGAAATGAATAAGTTTTGTTAGTTTTGTCCTGGTACAATTTTCCTTTATATCATCTTTAATCTTTCTAATTTTCTGAAAAATACGATAATAATATCATATTTTATTGAAATATCTACTTGAAATTGTTTTGATAAACAAAATTCAAATACAAATACGTTGATTGAGTGTTTAAATATAATACTAATGATAAAACCCCTTGCTGTGTGAGTGAGAGCGTTATAAGCAGTCTGTCTCTCATCTACATTTCGAATCGCGGGCCTTTATTATATTAATATAGTTGTGGTCTACTCAGTCTTATATTATTTATGGACTATACATACTATCGTGGTAGAGAAGCATAGATAATACATGCATTATCTATGTATAGAAGTCTGTGATATAAAGCATAGATAATAATAACAAATGATAAACGCTTGTGATTTCTTATAACTTTTGTGAATTTTTGAAGTTTAAAACTGAACACAAAAGTGATGTAGAAGTTCTGATGATTTATTTTAATTTTAAATGTTATGAATTATTAATCAGGTATTTAACTAATATTCAATTTCTTGCCATTAGAAATATATTTATTTAACTTTTTTTATTGATTTATGCTTGTACATGATTAAATCTCAGTTAAAATTTGTAATACATTATGGCATTGTGTGTGGCTGTGGTTAGCAAAGAGGTAAGCAAATGCTATTAAACTAATCAATTGTTAATTTATTGAAAAATTAATATTATTATTTATGAATCGAATTGTGAATCATTGTTGAATCATTTTGTCTACTGTCAAAGCTACATCTAAGCCATTCGATGTTTCATGTGAATGAGTACATAGAATAATGAATGAGTCTTCTCCTATTTTCTCCTGTCATTTCACTCATACATTTTCATTAATGCTACACCTATTCTCTGTTTTATTTTTGCTATCCAACATTGTACTTTTCTTTTTTATTGTTTTCATGTACTCCCACACTTCTTCCTCTCTAACTAAACCTACCAGATCTTTTTTCCTCAAGACACTCTCTAACATTTCTTTTTTTATTCTAATAATTTTAATTGTACACCATACATTATAGACATCCTTGGACCGTTTTTCTCTAACCTTGGCCAATTGATAAACTTCTTTTCACCTTCTGTTGTTCCTAGTTTCTCATTAAACTAATATTTCTTTAACTTTGCTTTGCTTATCACCTTTTTATATTCTTTAAACATTCTTTTGTACTAACAAACTTTTGTACCCTATCATTTCTTTTCCTGTTTTGCTAAAGTTTAAATTGTTTTTTTATTATTAGCTAAATTATTATAATTATATTAATACTTATTTCAGTAAGCAAATTAGAATAATAATCACTATCATATTTCAAAAAGTGTACTTTGAATACCTATTAAACAGCATGTATTAATTAAAATACTATTATAATAATATAAATATATTTTTATTTTATAGAATGCACCTAAATATGTTGCTTCATTGAATCCAGAAGATGAGCTCCAAATTCAATATGAGATACATTCATCAATTGACTTTGTAGAAGAAAAGTTAAAAACTGGGAAAAAAGATATGCGTGAACTGTATTTAGGACTATTATACTCTACAGAAAATCACAAAGTGTATCCTTTTAAGAATGCTGATTCAATTATAAGAGACAATTATAATATTAGTTTTTATTTTTTTGATAGGCGATTTTATGAAATCAATTTATATAGTAAATAGCATTTTCTTTAGATTTTGTGTAAAGCAAGGAATATATTAGTTTTACAATGATGTTTATTTTTCTATTTTTTTTTCTTCTGTGAACAACTTTCCTACCAGAAATTTTGTACACAAACTGCGTAAAATAGATTTGAATTGTAATTTAGATTCTAAGTGTAGTAAAGAATGTATTGGTTTTACAAAAATTTTTTTTTTTATGTGAACACTTCTATTAGAAAGCTTACTGTAATGTAGCCCCTTTTCTGAAAGGAAATTTTCTTGGAGTAGTACTTTAAGGAGGTCATTTATCGATTTTCTCAAGGTTTTTTTAATCAATTATGAAAAACCGAAAAAAAAAAAACGGGAAAATGTAAGAAATATATTAGTAAAATATTACAATTTTTATTTTCTACCAGCGATTTTGCTCCGATTTATAATAATAGGCAATAAGAGCATTTTTTTCTAAAAGGAAATTTGATTGGGCAAGTACATTAGAAGGCATCATTTTTAGAAGTGGTTTCAGGAGATTTCTCAATAAATGTGAAAAACCAAGAAAAAACGGGAAAGCAGATCAATATAAAACAAGTATTATTAAAGAAAATATATAATGCTTATTTAATTATTTTACCATAATATGACATTTATATTGTTGACAAAACATCACTATCAACTAAACTCCGCTCAGAATCGTTTTTTCGTTAGCAATGGTACAGATAAATTCCCTTCTGTATCCTACCTCTCCAACTTCTCACCTACAACAGTGGCCGCTCCCATCTCCAGTATCAGCTCTTTTTTTTATTTTACATACGCCATACCAAGTTCTCTTAATATGCAACACTCGTTATAATATTATCATTCATACCGCTGCAGCGTTCAAGGAATAAAATACCTCTGAATCGAATAACTTACAACACATGAATAATGTAAACTATAACTACAGGCACACATCTTTCTGAGTTTACAACTTTTGACAGATCAACTGTTATACCTTTTTATTTTTTATGTTTAATTTAGTTTGTAATAATTTATATAATTTTAACTAATTTCATTTATTTCTATTACACAAACATTAAATATATTGTGTAATTTTATTTAAAAATAGTTTCATATTTATAAATTAAATTTAGTTTTATATTTTCCTTTATTAAAATTATTATTATTATTCGCTATTTTAGCAATTCGCTAAATTTTACAAAAAAAAAAAAATTCATTTTAAGGTGATACACAGTAAAATATTGTTGTAAACTTGACATTTTGATTCTTCTTTTTAGCAAATGGTTGTGCATATAAGCATATTAGAAGAAAGTGATTAATATACAAATAGTTTAATGTTAAAAATATTTTTAAAAATCCTTGTATTACGAATAAAGGAAATTGTATCAATATAGAAAATATTTTTAATTATAATAGATAAATTTTCTTTAATAATTATTAATTAGATATGGATATGTAACAAATACTAAAGTAAAATTCTTTGTAGTAATAGATTCTAGCAATTTATTGTTGAGAGACAATGAAATACGTTTTGTAAGTTAATGAAATATTTTAATGATTAATATCAATTTAAGAATTTTTTTTTAGATGTTTAGAAAACTGCATACAGCTTACACAGATTTAATGTGTAATCCGTTTTACATTCCTGGCGATTATATAACATCTGAGTGAGTTTTTAGTGTTATTTTTAAAGTGTTCTAATAATTGTATACCTCAAATTTTTTATATTTTATGTATTTACTGTTAAGCACCTAGTTTTTAAACTATTACTACAGTTTGATTTAATATTTTGATGATTAATTAATTGTTGATTATTAAATATTGTGAATTAATGTATTGTATATATATTTTTTTTTAGGAATTTCGACAAAGTTGCAAGAGGTATTTTAACTGGAAATTCATAAACTTAAATTACATTTATATATTTTAAATTATATTTAAATATTTTTCATTGAAAAACTATTAAAGCATATATACTTTCCAAAATAAATTTATTAGTCACCTATATAATATTATTTTTATATTTCTTGAATGTTAAACAGTCTTTAGTCTGCTATATTTTCCAAAGGTGATTGTTTTGTACTATTGTAGGTTAATTTAGTATAAATTAATTGCCTTAAAAAAATGAGTAACAATCATTCTATAATAAAAACTGACCACCACTTAGTTAAGTGGTAGTTAAAGTTAACCACTGTCAAAAAAATATTCCTATAGATTGATCTGAACCTTCTTAAATGTATTTTAGTTTTAATAAAATGTATGTAAATTAAACTATCATATTCTTTTGGTGATTGAAGTAAAAAGAAATTTAAATATTGTAAAGTTTAATAATATACTGCAAAGTACAATACTACTACAAATACAAAACAATTTATTATTGATTGAAAATAATACAGTAATTTTATGTTTTTCAAATTCAAATAATATTGTAATAATACTTATTGAAAAAAATAAAAAAAATTATAGTATATCAAATATTATACTGTACTGTAATACCTATTTGAATGCATTTCAATAGTAAAAATATATTATTTTGTCAGCATAAAACTGACTGACTAAGTTTTGAAATTATAGCTTTTTGAAGGTCTGATATTATGTGGATATTAAATGTTATGTAAATAACTCTATATTATCCTTGTGTATACTTATCATTATCAAATGGTTACTTATGTCTATTATCTAGGGGTTCCGAGTTTTTAAATAAAATTTTTTGCATTTTTTTTCTCCTTTTACCTAAACAAGGAAAAAACAAATGCATTTTGGATGTACCTAGAGATTCAAGCCCTTGCTCCCTTGGACTATTTTAACTCCAAAACATCTCTCAATTTGTTGTAAAAACTTTTCTACCAGAAATTTTGATCCGATGTATCAAATATAGCTTATTTGTTAAAAAAAATGTTTATCTCTATGGTAATTTAGGGAGGTAATTTTTTGACTTTTCAAACGGCTTTCATAATATCTTGGAAAAAATATTGAAAAAACGGAAAATGTACGAAATGTAGGTATTAATAAAAAAATATTACAATTTTTTTTCCGTCAACAACTTTTCTACCAGTAATTTTGTCTCGATTTACAATGATAGCAATTTTTCTAAAAGGAAATCTGACTGGGGAGATACTTTAGGAGGTCATTTTCGATTTTCCCAAGAGTTTTCCTAGCAAATGAGAAAAAACGGAAAAATTCGTACTATATTAAATAAATATTATTAAAGAGAATGCATAATGCTTATATTATTAGATATTTTACCATAATATGACATATATTGTTGACGAAGCATCACTATCAACTGAACTGTGTTCAGAATCGTATTTTTCGTTAGCAATGGTTTATCGTTGCTTACAGATATACATTGAAGTTTAAACTACCTATAACAGTAGCTGCACCAATCTCCATTATTCTAGGACGTCTTTTTTTTGTTTCCTTTATCTTTATTGTTTAACACACGTGACCTTGGGTATTATAACACCAACATAGAGTATTAAGAATATTAAATAACATTAATAATATTGCCATATTAAATAAAATTCTATATCATGGTTGTAGATTCCATAGACATAGTATAATATTTTAAATTATAATGTCGTAAATACTTAATATTTTTTTTTATCAGTGATTAGTGAATAAAATCCTTATCATTAAAACAAATTTAACTTTTTACTTTCAAAATATTTAAATGTATGTAGGACACATAGACATAGGTCTAAGGTAATACACCCAGTAAGTAGTATGATAAATACATTTTTATGAATATGTGAATAGTACATCAGTTCTCAATAAAGGTGTACCATATGTTAAACAATTATTTTTGTTAGGAATTTTATTGTTTTAAGTGATGAGTCAGAAATATCAAAATTCAAGATTTCCAGAGCATAAGAAACATAATGGATCAAGAGCCAGATGACATAAAAGTTATTAAATATCTTGTCGATGAAACAATCAATAGATCATCTGCGTCAGATCTGGATGAACCAGATAAGCTCCCCAGTGACCTGAGTATTTCTTACTGGGATTTAATAGCATTAATTCTAGCAATAGTTAGCCATGTAATTGATGTCTGTATCGATTTTAATGTAGCCTATCAGTATTACAGATATGAAAAGCTCACCTATTTTGTGTTAACAATTATTTTTATAGCAGTTCCTTCTATCATAAACACTTATATGAGTTTAAAAATGTTAGTAGGTAGTTAAAATCTAAAACTAATTATTCTATTGTAATATTTGGTAATTTTTTGGTTTTAGTTATTCTCTTCAAGAAGATATGCAAAGAATCACTAAGAAGATGCTCTCAAGTATATTATTAATGCCATTTTTGTTGATCTTTCAAATGGCTCCCGTTTTAAGGTACACTAATATGATTAGTATATATTATTATATTAAATTTTGTTTGAATGCTTATTTTGTACAAATTCTGCACTAAGTTTTTAGTTTATTGTTTTACATATAATAAATTGTATTGTATTGCATGTTATTTTGTATGTAGAGTACCTGTATATATGTGTGTTTTTTTATACTGGCATGTATTGTAGATATTATGATGTACTGAATTATGCACTGAAGTCTCGAAAAGCTGCCCGTAAGGGAAATTACAATGACCAGAAGAAGTACTATGCATTAATGGTTAAAGAAGATTCTTATGTATCATTGCTACGGATCTTTGAATGCTTTCTAGAAGCTGTTCCCCAACAAATTTTACAAATATGTATTGTTTTAGTTGAAAAAAAATATGGTTCTACATTTCAAAGTAATGTTACCTATTTATATACTTAACTATTAACTAAAAAAAAAAAAGAAACCATTTTATTTAATAATATTTAATTTATTATATTAAATTAAATTTGAATAACTTAATATTTATTTATTCAAACAAAGTTTACCAACTCATAAATAAATATATTTTGTTTGAATTTTATTTATGTATGAAAATCAATTAGCTAATACAACATGTTTAATAACTCAAAAGCTAATTTATTTTTAATTTAGAGGATGTAAGGGTTGCATGTTATAATATTTCACATTATAACCTATATTATAATCAAACAATCCATTTATAAAAGCAGATTTATTATTTTATTCAAAATCTCAAAAGTATTTAGACATTTAATAGGTACTTCTTAAACATTATATAAATTTCAAATAGTAACCTATATTTGTTTTTAAGTTGATCCAATTTTTTTCTACATTCTGCATGCATTTAATTATCATGTATAAAATTAGACAAGTGGTTCACTAATTTTAATTATATGGTTTAAATATGAATTAGGGAAATGATATACCCACTGTAATTTATTTGTTTGAATTTTAGATATTAATAAAAACATAACCTTTTTCAAAATAAAGGAAAACATGTTTTGTATGTTAAAATATAGAGTAAGGAGTAATTAATCTTTTTAAACTTAATAATTATTATTTGAGAATAATAAAGCATGATGAATGATCTATTGGTATATTTAATTTGTTAAAAATATTAGATTAATAATTATTAATTCAAATTTAAATTTTGATTTTTTCATTCTTTGATATTAGTCTGAAAAAAATAATTATAAAGCTTTTTAGTTAATACGTTTTAAAATTTTGTCACTGAATTTAAAATTAGAATTATTTTATAGTTATCATTATTATTTTTATTTAATTATAAAAAAATAGACATGAAAGAAAATAATACAATATTAATTTGTTTTAGACATTAAATATTTAAATGATTAATTTCATTTTTCAGTTGTTCATCAATCTGCATCTATTGCTAGTTCAACCATTGGTATTGCTTGGGCTATGGCTTCATATCATAAGAATGTAAGAATTGCTTTTGAAAATCGAAAAAACATAGGAATCACAGGAACAGTCTTACAATTTTTATGGCATATAATGATTACAGGTACAAAGTAATTATATATACACAAGACAATTTAATTTATATATTTATATGAATTCAATTTTAGATTTGGAGCGAAGCGAGGAATGTATTGGTTTTACAATGATATTTATTATAATTATTATTTTTTTTTTCTTGGAACAACTTTTTTACTTGAAATCATGCTCTGATTTTTAAATCTAGTACTTTTTCTGAAAGAAAATTTTGTTCGAGTGGTATTAATTGATTGGTATTTTTTGATTTTCTAACTGGTTTTTATAATAATTTGAAAAAAAACAAAAATTGAAAATGAACAAAATTAAAGTATACAATGTATATTGATTATTACTAATTTTAAATAATACAGCATTTCAATACATATATAACCAAACTTTGCTCCAAATGGTAGGTTGATAATAGTTTATCATTAATTACAGATATAAATTAAATAACTTTGTGTATTCTGTCTTCTCTTCTTCCCGCCTATAACAGTATCATGTCTGTCCCCAATACTAGCTCTTTTTTTTTTAATAAAATATTAAAATTTAATATTTTTTACTTATATTTGTAGTGTCTAGAATCCTGTCTATAAGTGTGGTTGCTACAGTATGGCCAATATCAACTGGTATTTTTTGTATGATCCACTGGCTCTTCATGACATTGTGGATTTACAAGTATCAAAGTGTTACATTTTGTATGCCGCCTGATCGAGCTGAAGAAAGTGGCATCATGAGATTTTTCTTTTCAACAATATTGGGTCTAGTATATATATTTACTTATTTATCACCCAGTGAAGGTCAAGGAAATACCAGAAATAATTATCTGGGTTATTATGGAATATTCTTAGTGGAAAATGTTTCATGGGTCACTATTTGGGCAATAACAGGAAGTGATTATAATCAATGGTACTACTATCCACTATTAATAGGTTCAATTGCTCCATTCTTTGTTGGGATCATGTTTATGATAATATACTACAAATTTTTCCACCCTCATACCATTTATAAAAACGAAATCCCCAAACCAAGTACAGTGACTAAAAATATGATTACAGCTAATGAAGGTGTACTAGGATGATAAACATATTTATTAATTAACCATTTATATTATTTTTAAATATTAAATTATTTAAAACATGTTTATACTAATTATATTATAATTTTTTTTTAAAAAATCAGTTTCTATTTAAAGATTATTTAATATGAAGGAGACACTTATTTGACGAAATGACTGTAATAGATACTATACTCGTCTGATTGAGATTAAACTCAGAACAAATCCTCAGAATACTTACACATTCTCCTCTAATTTAAAGTTCGCCAATCAAATAATTTTAAATTTAAGAAAATTATTAAATAAATTAGTTAAACAGCTATAACAGAGTTAATACTAGTCACATTATAATATGGCTGGTGAGAGAACACTACTCGTTTTTGTGCATCTAAATGAATAAGTTTTGCGGTTTCATGCCTACATTTCTTTCAATCACTACACGGCGACCAGTAACTAATTCCACCGCTACTGCCGTCGAGTGGTAACCAGCGTTTGTATACAGTAGCATAAAAAACACAATGAAAATAATAACACCTGGCAACTGTTACACCTATTATGTACCTATACAACAATGCAAATAATATGTATGGAATATAAATATTTTATGTATGCATTTATTTATTAATTCCAACATAAATGAGTAATCGTACATATATATACATACATATTAATACAAGTCATTATAGTATGCATTTTGAACAAACAATTTTTAAAATATAATACAAATTAATCAATCCGAGTCTGAATCTGAACTTGTATCACCTGTTCCTATAATGAAGATATGATGTGCTTCAGGTTCTTCGTCCATAATTCCATCAATTAAAAAGTCAATATTCTACAATTACAATTTCTACTTTACAATGTGCCCAACAAAATTTGTCCACATTTCTGGCGTCACATGTTCCACGCTTCTCTTTAATAATTTTATTACATCGTTAAATTTGAAGGTTTTGTTATGTGTTCAGACATGGCTTTTTTTCGAGCTCGCAGTGGTACGGAGGCAAACGCAAAATGATTTTGTTGTGGGGTTTTTTGTATACTCATCTATGACGTATTTGTTGTATTGCGGTTTTAATTGTCTAACTTTTTCCAACAATTGCATTTTTATTATTGGCTGGGTAACGTTTTCACCTTTATTTTCTAGCTAATGTATAATGTCTTGCTTTTTCCAAGACATCACTGGAATTGGATATTTTTTCACAGAATAATAAAAGGCATTAACCATAACAATGGCGTCATTTTCTTTGAATTTTTTTTAAGCCATTCAAAGAAAGTGTCGTCATTCATTTCATCATGATAATTGACAAAGTTCGTTTTCTTACCTTTTCTGAGGGTTCTTTTTGTCCTGTGGTGAGACTGAGGAATGCATCACGCGGTGAATTTACCGTATTCACCTGCATTTACCCACGTTTCGTTTAAGTAGGTAGTATATCGGTCTGTTTAGTCCTTTGTAATATCTTGTTTTTTCCAAATATCTTCGGCGCCCACTTAAAATATCTTTTCTTTCGAGATGTACACTATTGCGGGCTTTTATTGCATACACAAACTGTAAATCTTTCAATACTAATTGAAATACCGTATGTTTAATGTTTGATAAGGTTTCATCCTCATTAATGGCTTTCAACATTTTCGTTACTAGGTATTTCACTGTTGCGCCAAAAACTATGTATTTTTTACCTAATGGCATTTTTATCAAAATCATCTAATTTTTCAAGTATTGGAGATTTACATTATTTTTGTTTGGTGATAACACAGTGCCTTTATTTCTATACTCAGCCAATGTAGTTTGTACTATTCGCTGTTCAATACTGCTTTTTGTAGAAATGTCAACAATCATTTGTTTTAAGGTTAATCAAGGGCTGTCTGGGTTTTCTTCAATTTCTTTTGATTTATTTTTGTATAAACAGATGATCATTTGCTTTTCACCAGTACCAACAAACTAAAGAAAACTATACATTTAAAAATTAAAAAAAGTTACTGGGGACGCGTACATCGTGAAATTGTAAAAAAAAAAAAAAATTAACATTATTTTAAAACCAATATATTCCTCATTCTGTATCTAAAATTCGCAATAAAAAATGAGTCATATACTTAACTTTTCCACGAGGATTTTTTTTTGCGAAGAGAAATATTGTCAAAGTCTATACTGTATTTATAATATTAGTCTAAATGAATACAAAAATCAATTATGTATTAAAACATGCAAAAAAAAAAAAAAACCGTGGTGTATTTATGCCAAATCGTAAAATACAATCACTATAGTACTCACTGTATACAACTGTGACATACCCAATTGACAATGACGATTGCGGCCACGTTTCTGCAGGTTTAGTGTGGGATTATCATCAATTCTGCCATATACTGTGAAAAGAGGGAAATTTAAAACTAAAGTTGTATATGTAGGTTCTTTGGTATTCTGGAGGTCTGTTCTGAGTTATTGTAAATGGAGAAAAGAATCTATTCCGGCAATCTATTAATAATTTATAGATAATTATTATTTTTATAGTTTCTATTTATACAAATATTATATCTTTTTAATATCATACTATTTTGCTATGTTTAATTACATATGATATACTGAACAAAAATTGTACTTGAAGTAAAATACTATTTAATGTTTATATAAACTAAAGAGATTTAATTAATGTACCTATTTTTAATTTAATTTTTGTACTTATACATTTTCTAAGACTGAATTATTCGAGAAACTATTAAATAAAATTATAAATTAATTGCAATGTAAATTATTAAATATTATTACTTGTCTATGTTTATTTTCAGAGAATCCTATATGCTTCAATAATAATGGTATTGCATTATAGATTTTAAACAGAATAATTCATTTAGAACGAATATTTTAGTTACATTTTACCCGCCATCAATTTTATTATAATATATAAAGTCATATTTATTAAAAAATAAAAAAAAAATGAACTGAAGTATTAAATTTGAACAATAATTATTAATAATAGAGTATTTGATACTATTAAAGTTTCATACTTTTTAATATGTTAACACAGAAACATTTCAATAAATAGATCATTTTATTTTAATTGTATTTTTTGAAGTATCAATTAATTAATTGTTATAAACCAGCATACTGGACAAAAGTTATCCACGGTGGATTTCATAGGGATTCTTGAATATAAGTCATTGAGTATCTATGCAATATAGTAACTTCACAAAAAATTAATGGGGACCATCAATGTTTACTACCTATGACTCCAAAGTGAGTTTTATTAATTTTAGAATTGGCTTCTTCGACCAATAACATGTGATATAAATTTTGAGTAGATGCATTTGTCCCAACTCCTCTTAGTTATGTTTGCTTCAAATTTAGTCAAGCTCTATCCATAGTATATGATCGATGAGATCGATAAGATGGACGTCATATTATCTGATAAAAATCCTTATCAAGTATGATTGGATCAAAACAAATAAAAATGTACATACAAATGCAATGCAAAGTAACTTTAAAATTTTTGTATTCTAAATTTTAAGTACTTATATACTTATTTTATTCCAAAATATCTCATTTGAGTATCTCTTATTTAATAATAATCAAATCTTAGTATGTAAATACTCGTATTTTAATATAATATGAGTATTCATAAGTATATCATTTGTGTTGTAATTGTACAATTCAATTATTTGGATTCAAACAATCTAATTATCACTGATAACAGTCTGATAAAAGGTTTATAATATAAAAAGAATCGTGCGTGTTACGATATTTTTCTGTGCCTAGAGTTGAAACAGTTGAAATTTTCCCGCCAATACTTATGCGTAGATAGGCCGGAGTAATGCCTATCAATTGCAAAATGCTATAAATATTTGTGTGTGGATATAATCTTATTTTGAATTATTCTTTTTCGCATTGAGTTTATATTTGTCGCACACTCGTATCTACAGATCATATTCATTAAATTATAACAAAATGTCTAGAAATGTAGAAATAAAAGCTCGAGTTAAAGATCTGGAATTTGCCAAAGAACGAATTTTACATTTGAACTCTGAGCTATGTAAGGACTCCGACCCAAAGACCACAGTTTTGAATCAGGAAGACGTGTTTTACAATTTACCAAACACTAGTACTGGCAAATTGAAATTCAGAAAGATCGAGGTAAGAATTTAGAACAGCCCATTGAATAATAATAGTTTTTTTTTTTATTAGTGCACTGAATTTAGTATTGATGAAAATCAATATTTAGGACCTATTATGTGTTTTATTTAAATAGCTAGTTACGTGTCTTCATTATGTAATGATCAGTTCACGTAAATTTGAATTTTTTACCTACACAAAAGTGAGACATTTCAATATTATTATTCTTAAAAAAATTATTATACATCTTAATTTGTGGTTTACAATTACATTTACAGTTAACTCTTGACAAAAAATAAAAACTTTAATTACTGTATCTAGTTGTTAGAATATATAATACAATATTCTAACAAATACCCTGAAAATAAAATTAAAATTGATAGTTGTAATTGGTTTTAATATTTGATGTAAGAAAATTATAAGGTTTTTTTTTTTTTTGTAAACAGGTATCACTTGTTAAAAATCTAATAGCGATTATGTGTACTAACTAAACTACAATTTATACATTTAGATTGTTTTATATCAGTCCTCATTATATTCTTATATTTTTTAATATAATAATAATTATTATTATATTTTGAATAAACTGTATTGTCTAGTACCTATAGTTTGATAAATTTTAAATTGTTTGTATCTAAAAATTTATTTTTGCTAATAAAAATGTAAAATCAATCATATTTGAATCTAGGACATTTCGTCCCCAGAAAAAATGTTAGATGTGGACAATTCATCCTTAATTTATTATAATTTTTCATAATTTTATGCATGGACAATTTGTTTCTGGTCAATTTCTTTTCAGTATATTTTTATAAGATTGTTTTAATACATTTTTTCCTAATATATTTTTTATCCACTTATCATTAACAATTTTTAATACTAAACTAATACAATTATTTTTTTTTGGAATATAAAAAATACAATATAATAATACAGGTAATATTTTGTAATATGTGTATAATATATGTAGTTTGAATTATAATTTTAAAATTTAAAAAATAAAATTGATAGAATGAAATAAAATAATAAAAAAATTAATGTTTAATATTAATACTCAAACCATGACAAATAGATCAAATTTTTTTCTGTCACTTATAGGTTTCATAAAATTATTTTAAATTGTTATATTTTATAAAAATATGCTAAATAATATATTACTAGGAATGGATTGTCGTGTACGAATTATCCGTTTACTTATATATTTATTATATGTACTACACAGGGTTTTCCTCCAGAGTTAATTTACTATGACCGTGAAGAAAGCACCGGACCCAAGTTAAGTACTTATCATAAATGCGAAGTTCCAGAAAACTTGTCAGTTGTACTTACAAAAGCATTGGGTACATGGGGCATAGTTAAAAAAAGTAGAACATTGATAATGGTTGGACAAACGAGAGTACATTTTGATAATGTTGAAGGTCTTGGATGTTTTGTGGAATTAGAGGTATGTTTTTGAAAATTATTATAGTTATATTACATATATTAATTAATTTGGATATGTTTTATTTTATTTCAGGTAGTTTTAAAGGATGATCAAACAGTTGAAGAAGGCCAATGCATTGCAAAGAACATTATGTATTGTATGGGAATTGAAGAAATTGACCTGATATCTATATCATATGTAAATATGCTAAATAAAAATAAATCATAATTGTTGGAAATTTGTTTTAATATTAATTAAAAATAATATACATAAATAAAAGTAAAAAATATTACTATTATGCCCAAAAGTCTGAAGATTTATCAGTTTTATTACTATCAAATGAAATTGTTTGATCACTTTCCTGTTCTTTTTTACTTGTTGATGAAATATCCACATAGTTTAAATTATCATGTTGTAGATCTGTTTGTTTTTGTGGTAGATTGTGTGTATGCAAGTCAATATTATCATCATTTTGTACATTATTATTTTTATTTATTTCAGCATCAGTAATCAGTTTAGTTTGGATTTGATTTTTAATATCATTTACTTCTGTTGAGTTATTGTTAGTACACTTATTTATAACAACTGATTCAATTTGTGTTTGGTTTTCTTTTAGTGATTGATTAAGTAAATTATTGGATCTATCCATAGACAATTTAATATGATTATTTTCTCTATTATTTGAAGAAGTTATTATTGGACTTATTCTATGCTCAGGAGATGTTTTACATGTATTGTTCACATTGGATGACACTGTTTTTATTGGGGAAATATTGGTTACATTTGCATAATCACAAAATCTATAATTTCTTAAAATTCCAGGGCTTAAATCATTTTCTGATTGTGAAAGGTTAATGGAGCGTCTCATTGAACGATGGTAACCAATTTTATTAGCAAGTTCTTTTAAATTTATTTTATTTCTGTTGCTTTTTAAAATGTCAAAATCAGAATCATCTGATAAATTTGAACGAATGTCACTATATGACTTTTTATCGACAACTCGAAATACTCTGTCGGTGTAATGGTGCGTATTTGTTTGAAATTTTTTTTCAGCTTTTGATGTGTTCATCTCTAATATTTTTAGTCTTGAATGTGCTTTCTTTATTATCTCATCCTCAGTTTGATTATCTGATTCTAATACTGTGGTTGAATGATCTGTGGTAGTTGAAGAAATGTTTTGATTTGTATAATAGCTATTTTTTTTATTAGGGTCATCAACAAAGTGAATTTTTTTTTTTACATTCCTATTTTGGTAGTCTGCTATAGTTGGAAGTATTTGATGAGCCTTTTCAATTTGTTTTGTCAAATTAGATGCTCTGTTAGACAGTTCTTCAATTCTCTGTCGCTGATGTTTTATAAAATCACGTAACTCATCATTCTCTCTTTGTAATTTTTTTACCATTTCTCTGTCCTATAAATAATTATTTTTTAAAAATAAAAACAAAATTTAAAATTACGTAATAAACTAAACATTTTATTAAAAAAATTAAACTAACCAATGAAGATTCAATTATTTGAAGGTTATTATCAATTTTTTTAGAATTTGTTTGTTCAATATTTTTTAATTTTTCAAACTCTGCCAGTTTTAATTTTATTTCTTGTAATTGTTTAACCAAATCAATATTTTGTTCTTGCAAAAATGTAATTTGATTAGATTTAATTGTTGTTTTGGATTCGTTCATATGCTTTTTTGATTCTTCGTTGAACCTATACAAATTCCGGAAATTATATACATTTAAATTTAGAATGCAATATATATTGGTATACAATTAAAAATGTTAAATACTATGGTAGAATAAATAACAAGCTACTTAAACCATGAAATTATAATAGTTTTGCGCATGGAGGAAATAAAAATGATATTAAAACATTAATTTACATTTAAAATACATATATAAAAAAGATGGATATACTTTATAAATAGGTGGGCCATTAGGTGAGAAGTTGGGAAGGTAGTAGAGGGTAAATTTAATATATATCTGCTGCGCCGCCACATAAATAATGCTCCACTTCTCTTTCCCCAACCTAAACTTAAAATTGGAATATCTTGTCAAAGGATTAATAGAAATCAAAAATTTTAACACCAAAATTTAATTATAATTGATACGCCATCTATTTATGGAATGTATTTAATATAAGTTGCAGTTGAAAATCAAAAGTAGGTAATGGTTTTACCTCCAAAAATAAGGGTGACAAAAAAATAACATAAATGTAAAATTGTACAGCTGCTTGTTTTTTAAATGTTTTATACATGAAATTTTTAAAAAAGTCAATACTTTCTATTGTAATGAGATCATACATAGTTTACATCTTTCTAAATACTAATGTTTATATCAATCAATGCTAATAATGACATTTGTTCATACTTTAAAATTTCCATTTCTTTTAATCTTAATGTATATTTTATATTCTCGATATCTTGTGATTTTTTTTTATTCTCTTCTTTTGCTTTATTTAATTTTTCTTCTGTGGATTTTAGTTTTTCCTAAATATTCAAAATAGTAATTAGTAAAAATAAATGGTAAGATATTTTGCAAATAAAAATATTGGGTTATGAAAATTGAATTTAAAAAAGGCTGTCCTAGGATAATGGGAATGGGTGCAGCCACTGTTGTAGGTGGGAAGTTAAGAAGGTAGGATATAGACAGAAATTTAATGTATATCTATAAGCAATGAAAAACGAAAAAACAATTCTGAGCTGAGTTCGGTTGATAGTGTTGCTTTGTCATACAATGATAAAATAATTAAATATGCATTAAACATTTTCTTTAATAATATTTGTTTAATATTTTCCTGTTCTCCCAGTTTTCCCATTTATTAGGAAAACTAGGGAAAATTAAAAAATGACCTTTTCTAAAGTACCTCTTTAGTCAGATTTTCTTTCAGAAAAAGTGCTATTATTGTAAATCGTAGTAAAATTGCAGGTAGAAAAGTTATCCATAGGAAAAGAAAAATAAACATTGTAAGACTAATACATTCCTCGCTCCACTCAGAATTTAAAAATATAATATATAATATATTTATTATAATGAACTGGTTAAAATGTAGATAAAACAATTACTTATTAAAAGAATAGAAAACTGCAGATTCTTCTTATATATTTATAACATCAAGGTCGTTGTGAGGATCAGATTAGAAATAAAGATAAAGAAATATAAAAACTATTAGCACATTGATGGATAATACTGTTAAAGCAGTTATTGTAGTTACAAAAAAATGTACAAGAGCTATTTCTGGAAGCTTAATAGCGATTTCCTTAAACAATTATTAAGTTACGATTGGATATTAAGTTGATCCGCGAATACAATTGCACCATAATAAACATAACTGCATTTTATAATTTATACATTTATAACTGCTATAACATCACTGTCCCATCACATCCTCAAAACCTGTCAATGTCCATAAACGTATTAAATATTGTGCTAGCTAACAGTATTATTTAATTTATTCAATAAATTTATAATTATAATAGACTTTAAAATTATTTTAACCATTAATAACTAATGCTATATCAATAGCTTTACTATTATTGATTTACCTAATGTAACTAATTGGGAAAGTTGATTATATATATATGTATAATTAAAAAACCCTGGTGTATTTAATTTATAGTAGTCAACTATAATTTGCAAAATACCAAATTGATTTATTTTTTACATTTTAAATATGTATGAGCTTATTAAAAAATATTAATTAAAGCTATGGCATAATTAAAATCATGTAAAATTTAAAATATGTATTACTTCAAAAATGTTAATTGATTGATTTAGTTGTTCTAAGCGTAGTTGCTGTGTGATATAGTCCATCTTTTCTTTTTGAAACAATAAACCACTCTCACAAAAATGAAAATGAGTGGCTGACATTTGTTCTAAATCTGCAACTTTTTTTACTAATTCCATGTTTTTTTCTTTTAGTTTTTTTAAACATTCTTTATACACAGTTATTGCTGAGGTGTTGTAATTTTGATGGTAACTGAAAAATAAAAATTAGTAAAGAAAATATATTTTTTCAAAATTAATAGTGGTATTCATAATGAATCAGAATAAGTTATTTGTGTGAATAAATTTCTAAGTTACTTTTTTAATAAATTTTGTATAGTATTTTTCTGTGCTTCATTTAAATTGAACGATCTAAGGATATCTTCAACACTTGCAAGCCAATTTTTTATTCTTTGTTCATAACTAGTATCACACTCAACATTTGAAGCTTTGTTTGAACAATTTGTATTGCATTGAACTTTATCATACTCACTGGAGAAAAATAATGCAGATTTGTATAGATAATTTGGTTTTTTGTATAGTTCACAACGTAAGCTTTCAATTAAAATTTTTAAGATACAAATGTTGAAAGAATTAAAAATATTAAAATGTTTAATAAAAATTAACTTTTTTTAGAGGTTTAAATAATTTAAAAGTACTCAATAATTTATTGACTAAAAACAGAATTTGAATGTATAATACAGTAAAGTATAAAACACGTATTATACGTATGTATAAAACTATTAGTTGTATACGTTTTCTACTGTATACAATTTTATTTTTGTGACTGCATTGAACAGAAATTAATATTTATAATATCAAAAAATAAAAATAATTTATAAAAAAATTATTGATGCAGGGGTATGCAGTAACAAATCTTTTGTTAATGATTTTTTTTTTTTTTTTTTGTGGTTAATTCTTGGGTTAACTTAACCAATATAATTGGTTGTGTAACCAACTTGGTTAATATACAATATTTTGCCACGGACACTAGAAGAAGTTCTAGTAATGCTTATTTAGCTCATATGATTAGCTATTTAAATAACCTTAATTCAAGAATGGTTCCTGTTGTAAGTGGGTAGTAGGGAAAGGTGGGATACATAGTTATTTAATTTATACCTGTTACTAAACATAAACAATTGATAGTGAAAAACAATTCGGAGCAAAGTTCGGTTATACATGCTTTGAAAGGCTGTAATATTTACGATTTTCATAAAAATTTGTTTGAATACAATTACAAATATATTTATTCATAACGGACATTGATCCAGATGGAGAAATAACTTCTGATTTGATTATTAACCATATCGTTTTAAAAGAAAAACATTAGAACAATTGTTCATATTTGCTAGTTGAGTAACATCATGATTAGGTGCACAATCCTTTTACAGTCATATTAGATGTTACATTTTATCTACGACTAGTTGAGCAATAACACCTATCAGAAATTCAATCTGTGATGATCTGATGAAAATATGTTATTACCATTAACTACTAAATATCTCTACGAATTGGGTTTTTTCACACCAACCAATATTAAAAATAACAATTGTGAACGGTTATTTGTCGAACAAGAAATACAAGTATCAAATTGAATTATTATGCAAACATTAAGCACACCTCTCACTCTACTATTAATACACAAATAGTATTTCTTTTTCAAATTTTTTTGTCATTTGTTTATAATACTATTTTATATTTGTATTTTGTATTTATTTATTTTATTATACTTATATTTTAATGGTTTTTTACAATAAAAAAGTTTAAGTTTTCACATCACATCTTTTGGAAAGCATACAGTATACACACTACAAATACATTCATATAAATGTTATATTATTTTTACTACCTACTTCATAATTACTTAAGGTAATAACTTAACACACCTGAGATTATTCTTTACTGTTGTAATAGCTTTAAATAGACACGCAACCAGTGGATGAATTTGATTGTTTTTGTCATTAAAATAGTATTGACATGTTAATTTAGTAACATCAGAATTTGGCTGAAAGCCTAATGTTTCTAAAATATCCTGAACAACACTTAATTTAAAATTAGGTTTTGTAATTGGCTTATTTTGAATGTTATTTCCTACATGGCTCACATAAGAAGAAAATTCATCTAAATTACCTAATAAAGGTACCTAAAACAAATTATAAACTTAACAATACTCATATTAAAATTATAATATTATAAAAGGTCAGGGTTACCACCTAAAATCTCAATGATATGTAATAATTTTTTTTGTTTCACAAAAAGCATTTTTAGTGACCTTTGAAATAAATTTTTGTTAGTTTGTATACTACTTAAAAATCAAAAATGCTCTTACTTATAATTATCTTGTATGGTAATACTTTTGATAGGTACACATATCAAAGGAGGGGCATCTAGCCCTCCCCATGGATTTTAAAATTTCAAACATAATTTTAATAATTACAATTTTTTTTAAGTACTTTTTGTTGTTAGATTTTATTATGCCCCTCTCTGATACATTTCTTGCGGGCGGCCGTGTAGGTACACAAAATTAGATGTAGGAAAAAATTAATGATAAAATGAAAATAAGGTTCACGGGAGAACCTTATTTTTAATATAAGTGAGTATAGTAATGTTTTCGGTTTATAAAAATAGCCTAGATATCACACGTGCATGCTTATCTTTATTTTTTTACTATAAATATAACTGGTTTTTAGTTTATTACCTAATTCTATATTAACAATAATTTTCAGTACTTGTCAGTACGTGTTTTTTTTGTCGGTTTATCATGTGTGTAACAAAATGTTTACAGTTGAATTGTTTGGAATTATTTAATTCGGAAAATCAGTTTTAGATGACTATGGAAATCATCGCAAAATAATAAAACTAATTCATGTTATAAGTAACATGTTGATACTAAGATGTACATTAGAAAAACAATTGGTCACAGGTGAAATTGATAAATCAGCACTATAAGATATCAGTCATATCAATGATACAAAACACAAATAAATTTCTTACATATTGACCTTAATGCATGATCCAACTCAAAACTCAGTTTGGGACAAATAGGTACTAGAACTTATTTGTTAATGGTCACAAGATTTACCCATTACAACTGTTTACTATCTAAGGGTTGTTTAATAAATTTATAAAGAAACTTTAATTCTGATAATCAAAAACAAATTTTTTTAAAGATAAATAATGTTTTGTTTAGGTACATTTTTTTTCATTATTAACAGTTGTCGATAATAATTCAATAAAAAAAAAAAAAAAAATTATGGGTCACATATTTAAAATGTGGGGAGATACCATAGGCCAGTAGATTAAATACTAAATTAATACCAAATAAACAAATAAAATATATAACTATTGTAGACCTGATAATTTTAAAAATCTTGATACTTGTGAATTATTTTAAAGAGTACAGAACATATTAAGTCTCCACACATTAAGGCATGACCCGGGACAGATTGACTAAAAAATACTCTCCCTTGAAAAACAAGATAGGTGGTAACCCTATTAAAGGGTAAAATAATACCTCAGTAGTGAATACAGAAAGTGTGAATAAATTTTCTCGGTTCAATAAAAAATCAGCAACTAACAAGTTGAAAGCTTGAACTTTAGGAGAAGAGGAATTAATTGTACTGTTTGCATTCAAAAATGGACCATCTTTCAAAGCTTTGATCAATTGTTCTCTGATATGTGCTCGTGTATTGTTCATTAGACCTTTTTCTTCAAACCTGTAGAAGAAAATAGAAGCCTTAAAACAAATTCATTTGGTTTAGACATGTTTAGTATAAAAACTATTTACCACGCATAAAACTTATTTTGAATGTTTGAATTTTCACTGTTTCTATCTCCGGTCTTGTGGGAGTTTAACAAACTGTTGTTTGGTTCATCAAAATCCATTTTATAGTGAATAAAAACCAAAGTATAAAAATTAATACACTATCATCAATAACGTATTTGGATTGAGAAAATAATATTTTATATTTTAATTTTGAATGAGTAGATCATTTTGAATAAATCAAAATGATCTATTATTTAATTCAAATTATTAAAATTTAATTTTTAAATATGCAATGCTTTAAACTTTTTGCCTTTTGGTAACGAGCTATTTAGAATAGATCTTTTGTTGACAAACAAAACGTAAACCGTTTATAAAGGAAATACTAAACCATTCAACTTTGTATGATAACATCAATAATATTATTATCCATAATGTTATCATATAGAGTTCAATGTACTATACACACTGAGAGAGATGAAAATAAATTTTATTATACAACTACTGTACAAGGAGTATTAATCGAGTTGCTACAACTGCTACGAAAGTCAACTACTGCTACTGTCATATACTACATCGAACATATGAATCCGAATCACGATTAAAATATAAAATATTTTATATATCTATGATTTTAATATCTTTAATCGTGATCTAAATATGCTCTACCAAAAACATTCGTTACGAATGTATATTACTCTGAAATTAAATTTAAAAATTTGATTAATTTGATAAAAAAAATTGCTACGAAAGGCAATAATTCCGAATTGATTTAACTATCTTTAGTAACGTAACGTGTCCTCACTATGGTGAATCTTTATATCACGAATTTAGACATAGGATACTCAATAAGCAATTATCAATTGTTTTACGATACTTCTTCCTTTTTGACCACGAATTAAGATATACAAGATACCGAACGAGCGTGTAAAGAGTGAAGCTCGAACCTTCTCACTTTTGACAAGGCCACTAACACCATCTAGTGTACTCTTTACAAACTATATCAATATTTTATATAGAATAGTGTAAGGGTTAGGGTTAAATATATAGTTTAATCACCGAGAACTGTACAACTGGCCCTAAGACCATGATAGAATAAATATACAATTTATTACACACCTTACTCCTCCAGTTTAAATTTTAAACGGGTTTTAGTTGGTTTTTATACCAATTTTGTCTTAAAGCGCTAACTGTCTAGCCAAACAGTGAGAACCAGGCGGACTCAGAAAAACATTGATAAGACATTTCCGTTCGGTATCATGTATACCTTTATTCGTGTTCTTGACAGATAATCTGTGTGTTCCTCATTAAAATATTTTACTCAACGGATTGATAGTTGAGTAAAACTGTTTTTATTAAACTTGTTATCATAAGTCTGCATTATCAACATATTATCAGAGAGCCGATAAAATAATAATGTTAACCATGGTCTTAAATGAATAGGTCCGACGACTGTCACCTTCCTGCTTATAGATCGACGTCCGCTTACTGAGTCAGATTTAGTTCACAATTTGCTCACGAGCGCTGCCGGTTATACTTATTGATGTTATGTAATTATATTACGATATCAATATATATTATATCCATTAAATTAAACATATGAATATCCATGATTATATCACATTATTGTACATGACTTCATCAACACGAAAATGTTTTTCAAAAATTAGTATTTAGTAATTACATTATTATCATATAAATTATCGACCTTCAGGGACTTTAACCATTAATTTTTAATGACATCATTTTCAGGAATATAAAAAACTGAGTTTTTTAATTTTATTGCATCCAAATTAACACATTGTATTTTTGGGCATATTTTAAAGAAAATTACAAGTACTTAGAATATAATTAAGGATAAAATAATAATTAGCAAGATGTAGTATTATCTATAACAGTAGTGAATAACAATATTATGTTGGTAATCGGTCAAAATATCCAAATAAATCCGTTTTTACGAAAATTAGTATATTACACTTTACTTTCTAATAAAATTAGCTCAAATATCAAAATAATTAATTAGCTCGTAAAATTGATAAAATAAATCGCGTTTGTAGCAATAACGTCACGAAATATACTGCACAAACATTAGTCAAATAGTCAAATAATTTTTAAAATAATTTTCGAGCATTTTGACCGAACGAATATAATTCTATAAATAAAAAATATTTTTAATAAAATTGAAAAGGATCTAGGAACCATTAGTGACACGCATAAAAAAAAAAAAAACATGAAAAATATCTTCTAATTTTTCACCATCTATTTGGAATGTAAGAGACGCAACATTAAACAACGGAGGTCGGACTAACAATGTATGGGAGGGATGGAATAATCAGTTTTCAAACCAAGTAAATATTTATTATTAGGTATTAAAATTCAATAATTCAATATTGATTTAGGTGAATTACAAGCATCCAACAATTTGGACATTGACCACTAAGATGCGGTACGAAAATGTAGCAGACGAAACTAAAGTCGCATAGCGTCAACTGGGTAACCATTGGACCACCACCGAAAAATAAAATAAAAGATACCTTAAAACATCTTTGTGAAGAATACAGTAGGGACAGTAGGGACATTCCAAATTGTTTAAATGCTATTGCTAATTTTATTAGAAATTAAAATACAATTTTCTATTTTTAAAAACGTTTTTCTAAATTTTTAGAAAATAGCCTAGTTATTTTTTTAGCAAATTATTTTATCTTTTAACTAAAGTAAATTTTATTTTATACTATTTGTTTATTTTACTATTTGACTAATGCGTGTGCAGTTTTATCTTAGTGATACTATCGCTATTAACCTAATTTATTTTACTATTAGTAATAAAGCGTACATAGGTTGAATTAATTTTGCGAACTAATTTTATTATTTAATTTTTGAGCAAATTTTTTTTGGAAAATTTTTATAAAGCGTTTTTTACACCTATAGAGAATAGTATACCTATTTTTTTTTTTTTAACAAATTATTTTATATTTTATTTTATTGTATATATAGTGTATTTATAAAAACAAATCTTTGCAGCTATAACTGTGCACAAACGAAGCCACGGGTAAATTTTAGGTAGGTAACCATTGAAATATCTAAAAATAAAATTGAAAAAATAAATGGCCAACGTCGAATCATATAAGCAACTTGTATATAAATCTGTAATACACAGGCAATATCGGGTCACAAAAACGAATCTAAGCCAGGCAACGGCGGATAATACAAGCTAGTATTATATGTTTATATTCTTATAATATATTAGGTATATTTTTATAATTAAATAATTTGATATTAATTATCACATATAATACAAGTATAATTTATTATTTATTCAGTTATAAATACTCTACTTCCACAGTAGCATATAAAAACATTAATTTTAACTTGTTTTTGTTTGCTTGGGCTTTGGCTGTATTTTCTTTAATGATATTTGTTTAATATTGTACCAGTTTTTTCAATTTGTCCATGTTTTTTTCCCGGTTTTTCACATTTGCTGGGAATTCTTGAGAAAATCGAAAAATGATCTTTTTTAAGTACTTTCCCAGTCAGATATCCTTTCAGAAAAAAGTGCTATAATTTTGAATCAGAGTGAAATTGCTGGAAGAAATGTACACAGAAAGAAAAGGCTAAAATATTTTTTTTCTAATTTTTACATTTCGTACATTTTCTGTTTTTCCGAAATTTTATCCCGGTTTTTCTCAGATATTATGAAGACCACTTGAAAAATCAAAAAATAACCTCCCTAAATTACCATGAAATAGAAATTTAAATTAAAATTTCTATTTATAAAATAAGCTAAACTTGATATATTGGAGCAAGATTTCTAGTAGAAAGGTTTGCACAACAAATCGTGGGGTATTTTGCGAGCATAAATTATGTTTTGTTAAGAACAAATTTTGTATTTATTTTTTTAATCGATTTTATTTGCATTTGAAATTTGTAATATTTTAAACGATTATTAAAAATTGGCAAATTAAGATATCAAAAATAATATGTTCTAATCAAAGCATAGTTTATATTCTCATGTTTATTTTGGTACTAAAACCATGTTTCTATGATCAACAAGACCTGAGTACTATTGGAAGTTGGAAAGTATGTTTTTGGACATATTTGACGAATTTACAATCGTCATGTGCTGCTGTCGGATTACAGTGGCAGGATTCTAAAATCATACGCTCCCCTAACCTAACCGTATCTCCGCGCACACATAATCAACGGTACCGCACTGGAAACGCGTTATTTCACCAGTGCGCACGGTTTCTTGTCACATAAAAATAATTACATAGCAATGTAGCCGTTGAATATTATTTTATTTGTTTGGATTATAATAATTCATAATACTTGTTCCTACTAAACCGTATTTTACATTATGAAACCATCGTAAAGTTGTCAAAAATCAATTAGAACACGTGCGATTATACAATTTTTTTTTTCAAATTATAGGAAATTCTTCGATGAAATTTCTGGTTTGATGAAAATTTTTTAAATTTAAGTCAGTATAAGTATATAATAAAAAAAAAAAGAGCTGATACTGAAACAAGGTGTGCCACTGTTGTAGTAGGTGGGCAGTTGGGAAGGTAGGATACGTAAAGTTATTTAATTTTTATCTGTATGCAGCGATAAACTAATGCTAATGAAAAACGATTCCAAGCGAAGTTTGGTTGTACATGTATTGAAATGCTATCATTTTTACGATTTTCGTTAAAATTTGATTTTAACTCTTAGGAATAAAAATATACTAAATTACACACAATTTTTTTTTTTAAACACTAAGTATGACTTATAATGAAACCCCTGTCAAAATGTCAAGTATTTATGTTCACTCTAACAATTTTATCTACAGAGAACGAACCATATAAAAATTACGTGAATAAATTCGAAAAATTAAAATGTAATTAATTAAAAATGGTTTAAATGTTTTAAAAATTTGACTAGGTATGTCTAGAAAAAGCAAATATGAGTTCTGTAAACAATTTCAGTTCTTTACGAATATTTGAATAAAAACAACAAAACAATATAGTTAAAAATAAAAGAATTATTTTTATAAATTTTCCCACTAGGGAGGTTAGATTAGTACCGTTTTCATTTTAAAACATATTTAAGTTTATGCCAAATATAATTACCAAGTAGAGATTAATACAAATATTATGCACGATAGAAAAATATAATATTTCATTGACGATGTTTTTAGTAAAAATCGTTCACTTCATTATTATAATATGACTATTTTACCACATCAACATGGGCAAAATATTTTTTTAACTTTGTCATTAAACTCTTTATTTCTTGTGAGTATTATTATTATTGTGAGGTTTTCAAGTACATACATTAATAATTTCAATTTTTAAGAGTCTAGTTGTGTTCTAGTTAATAATTGTACTGTATTCTGCAACCAATCAACAAAGTTTGCAATGTTTGTTGAAAATTAAGAAGTAGTATAAAATTGGGTATAGATGTATTTTTTTTATAACGAAGGTTAAACAATAATTTCGGTGATTTTAAACCAGAATCTTTAAATATTTGTTATTTTTAAATTATAATCAAAGTTTTTACAAACCACGAATTAAATCGATCACATAAAATAATTATACATTCATAAAGTTTTTCATCAGTTTCTATGTAAAATATTATTATTTAACGATTAATAAATAACGGCTTTTTCTTGAAATTATTAATAATCCATTATAATATTTATTACAAGCGTCTAAAGTTTGAACATTTGAATTATTCACGAGTTTTAAAGACAGTCTCCAATATTTTACTTTCCTTTGTCAATTCACAATATTAATATAATTATTAATGTAATTTTTTTGCGGAAAGATCGAAAGAAGAAACTAGGTTTTATAGGGTTCTAGTCTAATGTTTAAACATTACATGATTACATTAAAATATATTTAATTACTGAATAGCTGAAAAGTTATCACTGGAAAACAGTTTTTCGGTTATAAAAAATGCTCTAAATTATTTACACCATAAGTAACTTGAAAGTTGTAAGTTTCCTACAGGTTTTATAAGAAACTATAAAAATTAACAACAAATACGTTGGTTTTATTTTTGTTGATTTGCAAGGCAGTAGCGGTTTTGACATTAAATTGTCGAGGCTGCAAGAACTTTGTACCATTTTAGATATATTGGTATGAATACCCCAATCCTCAATATTCCTTCATTTTATTTAAAATCCATTTAAAATTAGTTAAAGGGCTGCTTCAATTTCACTATTTCTTATAATTAAAGTAAGTATGTAATGAGTTACAAGATTACTATTTACTGGTAAATAATATATAATACAATATATTTATATAATTTAAACAAAACCTATAATGTGCCTTTCTAGTTTTAAATTACAAATCATTTAATATTTAAAAATGTATGTGAATGAAAAATTATCATAAACAAAATAAATTCAAATAAATAAATGTATAAATTAAATAATAAAAATAACAACTTTTGTTTTCTAAATTGACTCGCATCTTCCTAGTAAAAATGACCTACACATTTATGTAACTAAAATAGTCTGGCAAATGGTGTTAGACATTTTTAAGTGCAAAATGCATATGTGATCCTGTCCTTTTTCAGGCGTATAGACAAAAGTTTTTCAGGTTAAGTATAGCCGTCTACGTACCGGAATAATATATACGTTTTTTTTTAAGAAATAAACACAATCTATGGTAAAACAATAGTGATAACAAGCACAATTACCAGGTATATAGGATACGGAGAACCAAATACAGTAGCCCGACTTCGGTATCTACAACTACTGTATAGGTTTGGAAGAAAAGGTGTGGTTGGAGTGAATGAGCTAAAGAATGTCTTCTTATGTTGAACGAACCCAGAGAAGTGATTTAATTAGTGATGCGTATGGCATATTTATGCTTTTCATGGTGACCCACACAGACGATCCCCACTTCACTACGGTAGCTATGTGGGCGACGAGCGTAATTAATATTGTGAATTAATGTGTACCGTAATAAGGTGGCAACACTGTTTATGAGATGTTTGTTATGGAACTGGTAATTATGCTGTGTAATCTTGATCGTTTATTTTACAAGTTTTAAATATTCAATATATTATAGATAGATATATTAATTATTTTTACATGTATGTAATATAAGTATATATGTATTATGGTATAATAATTTAATAATCTATTGAAATACATAATACAAACAATTTTTACTATGTTTTTAAATAATTTGATTTTGTAATATATTATATAAAATTATCAGTTCACTTGTTCATAATACGGTCCTGGCCATCCTAAAAATTCCCATTTTCAGGCCACTACCCCCTGAATAGTACATATGATTCTGAGTGAAGCAAAGAAGTGTATAGTTTTACAAAGATGTTTATTTTTTTTTTCCTATGACCAACTATTCTACCAGAAATCTTGTTCCGATTTTAAAGTGTAAGACCTTTTCAGAAAGAAAACCGGACTGGGGAGATACTTAAGGAAGGTAATTTTTTTATTTTCTCTGGAGTTTTCCCAATAAATTGGAAAAACCTGGAAAAAACATGAAAATACCGAGAAAAACTTAGAAAAATCGGAAAATAGATACAATATTAAACAAATATTATTGAAGAAAATACA